GGAGTCAGGAGTGGGCAGGAGGCCTTGTCTGGCTGCACGGCCGAGTTTGGCTCCTGGGCAGTGATTTATTTGCGTTATCTGACAGGTCTGTGCACTTCTGCCAGAACTTTCCCCCAAACACAAACCAGTGAAAAATTGAATGAATAACAACAGAATTGAAGTTACAAGTGCTGCCAGTTTTCCTTTGGCGTGCTCAGAATTACCCCAGATGGGAATGTGATCTCTGCTGCAAATGATTAATCACAGAGGGATTACATGGGGAAATATGACACTGCAAATGTCTGAGATTTATTGGAAAGGGCATCTGCATTGACTTGGTTTATTCATGCTTTGTTGTCAGTCCTGTCCCTTCCAAGGGAGCTGTCCTGGCACTTGCAGAGAGGTTATTATTTTTTTTTAAATTCAAGAGTTATTGAATTTTTTTTTAAAAGTTTAAATGAACATATAAATAACCTTAATTAATGTAATTATTTACTAAGTTGATTGAGAAGTTACAAAGCTGATGAACAAGTTACGCTGTAGAAATATTAAATCTCATCCTTTCAGCATGTTAAGTTTGTTCTCTCCTTACTCCTAAATATAATTATGAGCATAATCCAACGTGATGCATTTTATCCCCATTTAAAATTAGATAAAATGTGATTTATCTCATGCAGCCTGTCTGACCTGTTAGATGTTTTGGATACTTCTTACAGCCTCATCCTTGCCACAGGTTAGACTTTCATGCCTGTTACTGGATTTCATGCTCTCAACACAGCATAAAACAAAGGGGTTTTACCCCTTTTTTCAGACAAGGGCTGAAGATCCAATAGTTTGAGTGTCTTTCTCTTATTTGTTTAAGTAATTCAATAGCAGAGCAAGGAATAAACTGTGTTTTTCTTTCTGACAGTGTTAGAGATAAATGTAAAAGGTAGTGATGAGCCCTGTTTTCACTGATCCCTGGATTTTCTTCTGGATCCTGGCCATTTATGATGGAGTAAGAACCTCGCAGTGTGAGGGCCCGTGGTGGAAGCTGCGGGAAGTGCTGGTTACACCACGGGCTGTGGGGTCTTCACCCTGCCCTGGGAGGTCTGGGGACTCCCAGGGATGGAGAGAAGGGAGTTGCAAACACCAGGCAAGCGTTTGGGAGCAGCAGGAGGAGGAGGCTGGGCCTTGAGGCCACTGGAGAGAAGTGTCTGGGGTGGATTTGCTGCATCAGTCTGGTTCAGGAGCAGAAGCAACAGGCAGCTGGTGCAGCAGCTTCCTGGTGTTTTGAGAGTTCTCCACTATCAGAGGTACCTGGGGTGTGTTTGGGCACTGCTTAGCACGGAAAACAGAGGAGGAGGAGGATGCACAAGAGGTTCAGGATGGGATCAGCGCTCCTGCTCTTGTAAGAGCCAGGCTTTGAGAGCCCTCACCACGCTCTGCTCCAGGCCTGGATGCATCTCCTGGGGTCCAGGTGAGGGAGAGAAAGGTGGTTTGAGAGAGGTCACTGTTTGCTGGAACGTCCCTGGCTGGTTCCCAAGCAGGTTCCTCTCCTGTCCGTAGCCATCCCGGTGCTCCAGGCACTTCCCCATGTAATGTAGGGCTCACTTTGGTGGAGAATTGAAGCAACTTTAGTATTTTATTTTGCTCTTTTTGCCTGTGTAGATTTGAATCTGAAATGAGTCAGAGTGACACATCTATCAGAGACAACCAGGGACCCAGGGAGGGTAATACGTGGCAATGTCTCCTGAAGATAAATCCAAGTGCTTTGATGACACAGTGCAGCCTGAAATCCGAGTTAATGGCCGTGGCAGATTAGGACATGAGCCCTGAGCCTGTGATTTCATTGTTAACTCTTATTTTGTGTGGTGAATGGTACTGCTGGGCTCTGCAGAGCTGAGCTTGAACCTCAGCATCCCCTTCTGAACACTGACATGGTGCTTCCCCGAATTAGCAGAAGACTCTGATTGTCAATCAGTTGGCTTCAGTGGAAATTTCCACTGACTTCAGTGCACTTTGGCTCCAGCCCCAGGCTCGTATCTGTGCCTTCAAACCATTCATGCAGCCTCCCTGCCTGCAGCTTTGCAGGTGTTTATGGAAAAGACATTTTAAAGCTCAAGTGAGGGCAGAGGTTGAAGGTATTAAGAGGGACTAAAGGAGTTCAGACTAGTTCACTGATTTCTAGACCACCTTTAGACCAAGAGGAAACCAGAGCTGTGTGTTCATTGCAATTAGTACTGAAGGTGGCCCATTAACAGAAAGTCAGCTTGTGTTGGCAGTAAGGGCTTCAAGTCAATCACTCTTTTCCCTCTTAGTGTTTATTAAAAATGATTTTCCCCCATGATTTTTTTTTCCCTCCCGTCCCAGGTTTGATATTTGAAACCATTTTCTTTAATCTCCCAAGTTTTGTGGTGGAATAATGAAATTTGCTTCGTGCCAGGAATCAAAAGCAGCTGAAATTAGTTTAGAAAGGAACAATCTCATCTAAAGGGAAAAGCCTTTGACTGCTTCTTGTCATTCCATATGTTCTTTGGGATGAGAGAGACAGGATAGGACAGGACATGGTGGATTTTTTTTCCTGTTAAATATAGAAAGAAGAACGGGTTTGGTTTTTGCCTTGGATCTGTGACCCAAATGAAGTTGGAAGTTTGGCTCAACAACAGCATCTTCAATGCTAATAATGATCACAGAACCACAATTTCCTGAGCTGGAAGGGACCCCCAAGGATCATCCAGTCCAACTCCTGGGCCCTGCACAGACACCCCAACAACCCCACCCTGTCCCTGGGAGAGTTGCCCAAAAGCTTCTTGAGCCCTTATAACAAACACCATTTGGTGGTTTTGTGACCACTTTCCCAGTCTTTGTTTTTGATGGCAATGCATGTTTTTCAATCCCCAGTAGCATAAATGGAATGAAAATTGCAATGTTATTCATGTTCATGCATGACTTGCCAGGTACCTCAGCGAGTACATTGTCATATATATACTGTGAATGTAATTATTTCATAATAACCATCAAGACCATCCCTGTCTTGATACAAAGAAGTAGGAGGGGAACCAAGAAACAGGGAAAATGAGCGATTTTTTCCCAAGGTTACGCAGCAGGTTGATCCAAACCCCTCTCCCTGGTGCCACCAGCGATTTCCACGTTAATATTCATGCACTAACAGGAGCTGGAGAAGAATGGAAAAATGGTGATTTAAGAAGTGAAAGCAGGTTTTTTGGCCTGCTCCTACTGATTTCTGCTGGAACTGGAAGGGGATTGTGAGAGCACCTGCTATTGGGTGAGAGAGTGGGTGGATGTGTGGCCAGCAGGGAAACCAAACTACTGGAGGATTAAGGAGGATATTTCTGTCCCAGTGACTGGTTTTTATTTCCTTTCTGAGTTACAGCACACAGAACCCTGGTCCTTCTGCTTTTTGTGGCACTTTGAAGGTGAAAAAGCACAGATGTGGGAGCAGCACTGTGATCACCCCTGAGCAGGACCATTCCTAAAGCTCAGACAGGAGCTTTCCAGGACAGGGATGTCTGGAACCATGAGGCCAAGGAGATAAAACAGCTTAGAGGGAAATGGTGCATTGAAGTCTTCTGAGTAGGACTTGAGCAACCTGGTCTAGTGGGTGGCATCCCTGCCCATGGCAGAGGGGTTGGAAATAGGTGATTTTTTTAGGTCCCTTCCGACTCAAATTATTCCATGATTCTTTGACTTCCAGAGAGGCTTGGAGCTGGCAAGCTCAAATTCCTTACAGAGCACTGTCAGCAGGTCTAATCCTGCTCCCAGGGAGAGTCAGCTGGTGCACAGTCAGTGGTGTCAGTGGAGCTGAGATCAGGTCTTTAGCTGTGCTACACTTGTCAAAGCAAATCCTACCCAGTCCGTGGAAAAGGTCTCTTGGAGGGTTAGAGGTGGAATGACTCCAGCAGAAGGGAAAGGACATCCAGGAGAGCGTGTAAGGAGCAAGTGAAGAAGGAAGGAATGTTTGTGGGGTCTTGGGGGGAGTGCCCTGGAGGAGGTGGTTGCTGTTGGATTGAGCTCCAGCAGCGCAGGGGTGGGTGAAGTCTGTGTGTGAGTGAACAGGGCTGTGAAGATCAGCACCACTGATTGCTTTGGACTTTCCTGGGACACAGTGGCTCCAGAGTTGCCAGCAGTTTTGTTTTTCAGCTCTGCTGGTCCATATCATCAAACAGCTGCAGGTCAGTGCACGGGTCCCCCTGAGGGCAGCTGAGAGTAAGCAGGTGATGAAACATCTTTCCTGTAATCCCTAAGGCCTGTGGGGTTCTTCTGGAGAGGGCTGGCACTGTCTGGATTGCCGTGTCAATCCCCTGGGGCAGTTCTTTCACGTGGCTTTGCACTCCTGTGAGCATAATCATGGAATAAGAGATTCAGAGAATGGTTTGGGTTGGAAGGGACTGTAAAGATCATGGGGCAGCCACAACTTCTCTGGGCAATCTGTGCTGTGGCTGCCCATCCCTGGAAGTGTCCAAGGCCAGGTTGGATGGAGCTTGGAGCAACCTGGTCTAGTGGAAGGTGTCCCTGCCCATTGCAGGGGGGTTGGAACCCAACCCAAAATAATCTTGAAGGTCCTTTTCAACCCAAACCATTCTGTGGCTCTATGATGGAGGAAGTATCTTGATGTTTAGACAAATCTCTCAGAATTTAATATCTATTTATGTCCTTATGATTACAGAACTTGCCCGTATGTTCCCCAGCATGAGTGCAGGTCACTTCCTCAGTGCCAAAAGTGAAAGGGACCATCATGTTCCTTCTGTATGAAGTGCCCAGAGAGGTCTGTTTTGCCTCCTCTGGGGAAGTGATCTCCCTTATCCATCAGCAGTTTGTTAACCTCAAATATGAGAAACCTTCAAAGCCAAAACCATTCCAAGGCCTTCTCCCCCAGGCTGAGAAGGACATTGAAAACATGGCTGTTCCAGATGACAAACATCCTGGTGCCACGGGAGCGCAGCAATTCTTTGCTCACACCCTCCAATCTACTCTCTCCTGACGTTTTTTGTTTCTCCCCCTTTAGGAAGGCAGCCAGGATGGATTACAGCTCCCTCAGCGGAGTGCCCCGCTTCCTGACCCGGCCCAAGGCGTTCATGGTGTCCGTGGGGAAGGACGCCACCTTGAGCTGCCAGATCATCGGGAACCCCATCCCAGTTGTGAGCTGGGAGAAGGACAAGCTCCCAGTCCAGTCTGGGGGGAGGTTTAAAACCACGGAGGACGGGGATCTCTACCGGCTCACCATCTACGACCTGAGCCTGGAGGACAGCGGGCAGTACATCTGCCGGGCCAGGAACACCATCGGGGAGGCCTTCGCAGCCGTCAGCATCAAAGTGGGGGAGGAGACCACGGTGACAGAGCAGGCCCCTTACTTCATCCAGAGACCCTCCAACATCAAGGTGACCCTGGGGGAAGACGCCATGTTCAAGTGCAAGGTGCAGGGCAGCCCTCCCCTCTCGGTGAACTGGGAGAAGGACGGGAGGCACCTGCGGAACCAGGCGGACGCCGGGCGCTCCAGATCGAGTCCGCCGGGGAGTCCAACGCCCTGACCATCCAGTGTGCCCGGCTGGGGGACAGCGGCACCTACACCTGCCGGGCCGAGAACCTCATCGGCTCCGCCAGCGCCTCGGCCGCGCTGGTGGTGGAGACGCGCGGCTCCTCCAACCCGGGCGGCGGCGCCAACTTCGACTCCGGCTGCGGGAAGACGGCGGCCCTGCTGTCCCACCTGCAGAAGAGGCGGGAGGAGATCAGGAGGACGGACGTCTCCCACGGCACTCTGGACTCCACCTCAGCCCAGGCTTACTCCGAAGGGCTGCCCGGCATCGGCTACGGGCTCTCCCGGGACTACGAGCGGGCGCTGGGACTCGCCAAGGGGGCCCGGAACGCCGCTCTCGGGGCGCTGACCCGCACGTGCAGCGTCACGGAGGGCAAACACGCCAAGCTGAGCTGCTACGTGACGGGCGAGCCCAAGCCGGTGATCGTGTGGAAGAAGGACAACGAGGTCATCTCGGAAGGGCGGCGGCACGTCATCTACGAGGACGACCAGGAGAACTTCGTGCTGAAGATCCTCTTCTGCAAGCAGGTGGACAACGGGCTGTACACGTGCACGGCCTCCAACCTGGCGGGCCAGACCTACAGCTCCGTGCTCGTCACCGTCAAAGGTGGGTGCTCCTGTTTCCCACGGGCCTGCCCAGCGCACTTGTGGGGTGGGGTGGGGGCAGGAGCGAAGCTGCCACCAAACTCCTGCAGAGGAGTGGGTTAGATGAGAACAACGATGAGCTGGATGAGGACAAAGCCCTCCCAATGGAAAAGGGGGTTATACACTGGAGTAGATGAGAGTTCCATCACTGGGGAGCTTTTAGGAAGGGCATTAAAGAGGTGCCAGTCAGGGATGGATGATGTAGAACTGGCAGGCTGTGGGGCAGCTGGGATGAACTCCAGTCTTCTGAGTAAGGCTTGGACAAGCTGGTGCAGTGGGTGGCATCCGTACCTGTGGCAGGGGGTTGAACACAGATGGCCTTTAAGGTCCCTGTAAGATCTCTACAGGTCCTGTCAGTCCTGGTTTTGTAGTAATCTAAGAGATCCATTACCGTGCTCTGGATCAGCGACTGCTAATGCCCTGTCTGACCCTCCAGGCTTTAATCACATCTGGGTTTGTATTCCCCACAGGGTTTGCCCAGACTGACACACGTGCCTTTTAAACAGTAGTAGTGGAAACTCCTCCCTACAAGCTGAGTGTGTCTGGCTGCCTTGGAGATCCCTTGGGGCACCCACCCCAACTCTAATTACAGTCCATCTCAGTTTTCCTGTACAGTGACCCACCAGCAGCCTTGTTCTTGCCAGGCCTTCAGCCTTCTCCCAGCTTGTGTTCCTGGAAAGCCTGTATGCCTTGTTTGCTCCCAGGAAATCCACCAGGTCCAGGATGACTCTGTTTACCATGATCAGTGGTGAAGAACTTGCCTTCAGAGGGTCCCTCAGTGCTGGGGGAGGTCAGACCAAGTTCTGAATGGCAACAAAAATGTGGCACACAGATTTCATACAATCCCAGAAAGGTTTGATTTGGAAGGGATCTTAAAGATCATCCAGTTCCAACCTCCTCTGCAGGGAGACCTTCCACTACACCAGGTTGTTCCAAGCCCCATCCAACCTGGCTTTGGACATTCCAGGAAGCTCTAAATTTTCCAGCTGCTCTCCCATCTGGCCAGGGGACAGCAGGCAGTTTGCAGCCCCGGCAGCACCTGTAAATTAGCTGCCAGAGGCAAAAGGTTTTGCCACTGTAGTGGTAAAACAGATTTTAAAACCCAGACAACCAGTTTTTTCCCTGGCAGCACAAGACGCTGGAAATCCAGATGAGCAGGAAACTGTGTTCCATGCCCATCTTTTAAGACTCTCAGCTTTTATTTGCTTTTCTAGTTTCCCTTTTCTGGACCTCTCTTTTCCCGCTGTCTTTCCCGTCGGTGGCTCAGAGTCCATCAGTGACACCTGATCCGTGGAGCTCACTGGCACTTGTCCCACCCACTGCCGTCCCTCAGAGGTGCTGAGTGATGCTGGGAAGGGCATTTGTCCTCTTCCATAAAGCTGGGATTACCTCAGAGCTGAAGGCTGATCCTGGCCCTCGGGTGGGCGATCGCTTCGAGGGTGGCTCAAGCCCCGTTCCTTGCACAGACAAAGAGCCCCTGCTCTGCCTGTGCTTGTGTCATTATCCTCTTTGGGTGCAACCTGTTCCAAAGCAGGTGGGAAAGCCTGGGAAGCAGCAGGTCTGGGAGCAAGGACCATGGGAAAAAGGTTACTGATCAATGTCCGTTGTCTGGAGACGCCTGTGAGTCAGAGGGATGAAGTGGAAATGTTTATGGATTGTTTCTTTGTTACCCTGTGCCACGTTTGGCTTTCTGTCCGGGCCAAGGCTGCCATGGAAAATCTGCATGTCGTGGTTATAATTAGGCCCTGATAAATGACTCTCCCTTGTGTCACCAGAGGTGCTCCTCAGCCCTCCCAAGGCAGCTCAGAATGATGCAGCAGCAGCAGCAGCAAAGGGAGCTTTTAATTCTGTTCTTTGTGTCACTGGTGATGCCATTTGCTCGCCTGCCATGGGGTTTAGGGAGGGAGGTGATCTCGCCACGCAACCTTCCCTTTGCTCAGGTGTGGAGAAGAGGCTGAATTATCCCAGCAGCCACCCTTGGAATCATAGAATCTTGGAATAACAGAATTATAGAATATCCTGAGTTGGAAGGGACCCAAGTCCGGCTGCTGGCCCTGTAAGGGACAGCCCCAAGTGCTTTTGGTCTCTCTGCAAGTAACAGAATGTTTAGAGAGCCTGCAATGTTGCATCCACAGTGTGTGTCCATAGACAAATATACCAGGAAACACAAACTTTATGGATTTAAATATCCTCTGGCATTTTGGTTCACAGAATTTTAACACAAGAGTCTGAATGAGAATTTCTGTGGGTCTTTTGAAGTTAATAATAAAAAAGACCCCCAGACTTCCTAGCCCTGCATCCTGTCTGTAAGGTGAACTTGTGCTTTGAAGATCACTCTGCTGAGAAAAAGAGATTTTTCAGCTGTTCCTAAACTAGATTTAGTGAATCAGACTTAAATCTCAAAGCAGAGGCTACAGGAAAGAGAGTCACCCTCCCAGTTAAGGAAAACTGAAACTTGATTAGATTTAGAAATGTGTCCAGAGCAGAGATACAATCACAGTCCAGACACTGAACTGTAAAAGAAGTTGGGAAGTTCTTCCCAAGATTAAACCTTTAACAGCCCAGACATTGGGAAGGATGGCAGGGACATGAATAAACCAGCTTGAGTTTCCTGAAGGCTTTGGAGGTTTCCCTAGGCTTGTAAAGTTGGTGGGAAGAGCATTCATGTCTCCATCCTGGGCCAAGCAATGTTCATCCGAGTCCCTGAATAAAGTAATCAGATTCTGCAGGGAAAGGTTAAAGGTTGCAAGCCAAAACAGGGAAAAACAGCCTGGTGCTGTGGCCACTTCATTCTCCCTCTGATCTGGAGTGATTTTGGGTGACCACTGCCATGAGAGTCGCACTGGAGATCGGAAGGAGAACTGCAGCTTGAGAAATGTGGAGTTAGAAAGGAAGCTCGGAAAGCCCAGGGACCAGGAAGGCCAAGGGCACAAGGTGGTGGAAGCTTGTCCATCCATCTTTAGATAGCTCCCCTCGGGAGGATTTTCCATATTCTTCCTCCCACTGGGTTGTTTTTTGGGAGGCAGAGGGAAAACTTGCCCCTGGAATAATCAGTGGAGCACCTGGGAGGACACCAGCAATAAGCAAGAGGAAAATGTAGGCGAGTGAGAAAGTGAGGTCCAGCAGACAGATGTGCCCTGGGAAGGTTAAGGAAACATTGGCTTCTCTTCAGGCTGCACCTATTCTTAGCAAAATATGTGTTAGCAGGATTTACTTCTTAAAAATAACATCATCTCACTGCCAGTTTGCTTGTTATGGACCAAACGAAAAAGCCTATGACGCTCTGGAGAAACATCTCCTCGAGATGAGCGGCCAAATTCACCCCTGAGCTGATTTCTTGCTGTTTCCTGCAAACTCCATGAGCTGCCCTTGCTCTGTGCTCCCCCTGTGGTGGGTGGGTGGCTGTGGTGGGTTTTGGAGCCACTGTAGCAACTCCACAAAGGAGTGGGCTGGGTGCATCCCAGGCTTTAATTCAGTTTATCAGCTGCTCTCTCTCTGAGGCTCCATTCAGAGTGAGATAAGACTCGTGTGCACGTGTCAGCAGGACGAAAGCAAAGTTGTTTTCGGAGGGTATCTGTGACCCCAAGGTACCAAAGATAGCCTTGTACTGACTTTCCCTGGCTGGGAGAGCAGTGCTGTTACTGCAACACATACTAAAGGGTCAACCAACCCTTCTCTGCTTGTACATTTAAGAGCTTTTTCCTAGAATAGCTTTTTTATTTTTTTCCTTCACCTTAGGTACTGCTTAGTGCCTGTAAAGGGAGAGGGGTTAATGATATGCCCAGTTGCTCCCAGGGTGGGAGTGCACTTGTGTTCTTCTCAGGTGCAGCTCGGATTTCTTTCTGGCCCCTGCGCATTCCGTGTGTTCCCAGTGTCAGCCCCAGCCTCCCTCCTACTGCTTCCAGCTCCTGGAGGCTGCATCCTCCTCACCAAAGCTTTCTTGGTCCCATAAAGTCACAGAATGGTTTGGATTGGAAGGGATCTTAAAGCCAATCTCATTCCAACCCCCTGCCATGGGCAGGGACACCTTCCACTAGCCCAGGTTGCTCCAAGCCCCGTCCAACCTGGCCTTGGACAATTCCATGGATGTGGCATCCACAGCTTCTCTGGGCAACCTGTGCCTGTGTCTCACCACCCTCACAGAAAAGAATTCCTTCCTAATATCCCACCCAACCCTGTCAGTGTGAAGCCAGTTCCCCTTGTCCCATCACTCCAGGCCCTTGTCCAAAGTCCCTCTCCAGCTGTCTTGGATCCTCTTCAGGTACTGGAAGGATCCTCTTGCTTGTCCTATTTCATGCCCCCTGAAAGGGAGCACGGGGTGTTTCCAGAGGGTGATGCGTGGGATTACAGGGCAGGAATCTGAGTTTCCTGTTGGATAAAGGAAAAAGGACAATTAGCATGCGGAGTGTGGGCAGGGCAGGTCTGTGGAACCACAGCTGAAGGCTTTGCCTTGCCTTAAATTGAGGTGCATTAAGGCAAAGCATGTATTTTTATTTATTTATTTATTTATTTTAATGGCCAAGTTGACCTGGTGAGTGGGTGTCATCATGTTCTTGAACATCCTATGTGGGTTCCCGGTCTGGCTTTAATCTCAGGACAACAGCCAAGGTAGTTGATACCATTGCTCCCTCCAGGTGTCCTGCCAACCCCTCAGAGTCTGAGATCTTACTTGAATTGAAAGAGGGGAGGTGTATATCAAATACTGGGAAGAAATTCTTTGCTGTGAGTGTGGTGAGGCAGAATGGAGTCACCAAAAAAAGGCTGGGAGCTGGCCCAGTAGTTATCAGAAGGTGAGGGTACATATCAAGACATGATCTCTCATGAAGGATGAGTGGTGATGTATCAGCACTGGCTAATCCAAGTCTGTGACCTGACTGTGGCACCAGTCCCGTGGCTGTGACCACCAGCTGTCCAACTCCCCTTTCTCCACTTTTGGTCTGGGGTATCAGGGTGATGTCACTGCTCAGCTGTCACTGGAACTGAACATGGTTCAGTTCATAAAATGACTTCCCTCGCTGTCATGCAGCTGTTGTGTGTGTTTGATCCACACTCTGGTTTCTCCCTAAGCCAGAGCTCTGCAGCCCCACTGCTGGAGGGAGGCAGAGGCACTTGGGAGACTTGGGCTCCTTCTCTAGTTCTTTGTCTTGTGCCACTGACAAAAGCTGATACAGGATCTTTGGTGCTGGTGGGGGAGCACAGAAAACTCCTCCCTCAGTGCTTTCCCCACATCAGTCCTGTGCTCAGCCACCTCCCATCTGTCTGTGCCCTTTCAGATGGCTCTGCTGAGCTCACTTCTGCTGCAAGTCCCTTAAAACATTGGTTCTTGCACCAGCTGAGCAGCCCAGCTGCTCACACTAGGCCAGAATTGCTGCTCTGAGCTCTCTCCCATGACCAGGTTGTTTGTTGTTGACCCAGCTTTTGCAGGATCACCTTTAAGGGCTTTTATTCCAACCTGACCCTGGACACTTCCAGGGATGGGGCACCCACAGTTTTCTGGGCAACCTGTGCCAGGGCCTCCCCACCCTCACAGGGAAGAATTTCTTCCTAAAATCCCATCCAAGCCTCCTCTCATCACAACCTCTTGTTCCTCCCTCCCTTCCCGTTTTCACCCTCTGAAGAACCCGCCATCCCCTTCAAGGAAAAGCTGAAGGATCTCGAAGTGAGGGAGAAGGAATCTGCCACCTTCCAGTGCGAGGTGCCCGTTCCTGGCACAGAGACCTCCTGGTTCAAGGAGGAGACCAAGCTCAGGCAGAGCAAGAAGTACAACATCGAGGAGGAGGGCACGTACCGCCGGCTCACCGTGCAGAACGTCACCGCCGACGATGACGCCGTTTACATCTGCGAGATGAAAGAAGGGAGCAGGACCATTGCAGAGCTGTCTGTCCAAGGTAAGGTGGTTTAAATGGGGCAGATCTTGCCTGCCAAGCGTGAGATTTGTGTGTGAAACTCCAGACTCGGCCTCGTGAGTGGTGTTTACCACATCCACGCGTGCAGCGAACAGGAGAGGAGTCTCTTGGGGTGTGAGAGGGATCATAGATTATCCTGGGTTGGGAGGGACCCACAAGGATCACAAAGTCCCTGCACAGAACACCCCAGCAACCCCATCCTGTCCTTGAGAGCAGTGTCCAAACCCTCCTGGAGCTCTGGCAGCCTTGGGGCTGTGCCCACTGTCCTAGGGAGCCTGTTAAGTGCCCTAACACCCTCTGGGGGAAGAATATTTTCCTAATATCCAACCCAACCCCTCTCCCCAACAGAACTTCATGCCTTTAAATGAAAAGAAATGGTTGGTCAGTGGGTCCCTGGAGCTCCTACCAGGCTGTATCTGGGACACAGGGTCAGAGAGCAGGGACAGGTTGAATTTCTGCACAGGGTATGTCACACAGGTTTTGTGTGGTGTCCTGTGAACACAGGGGTGAATCTTGTCTGAGAGTGGTGCTGACCACGCTGGGAAGAGGGTTTAGCAGATGTGGTTTGTGGTCTGATGTGCGGTGCAGGCTGCAGTCAGCACCAGGGTGATTTAGATTGGAAACCAGATCCACACTCCGGATCCCTGGCAGCTGGAGCTGTTCTCTGGAGCTCAGAAAGATGACAAGAAAATGACAAAATGTGGATATCCAGGTGTAAGTCTCCTGAGTCTGGTGGTTTCAGACTGAAGTGGAAGTAGGCGTAGGGTTGGGATGGTGTTGGTGTCTCACGCTGAGTAGACACAGACAGCAGAGTTGCAGGCACTGGAGACCTGTCATAGCTACAGGATTGCTCACTGGAAGCCTGGTGTTACTCCCAGTAAAACCAGGAGGAGTTCTCCACTACATAAATTGCTGTGAGACAAGCTGGGTGATGTAACATCCTTGTGCAAATTCCTTTTTGCATCATCAGCAAAAGGCTGAGAGTGCTCACAGGTGGATGCAGGAGGAAGAATTTAGTCTGGAGATGTGGGATAGTTCAGACAGGCACTAATTGTTGCACCTTCCATTGGGTCTGGACCCAGCCAGGCTCTGTGAGTGTGTTTGGCCCCAGTGGGACAGCTGGTGTTTCTCTGCTTGTTTGTGCTATGATGGTATGTTCCATGGAAGAGAGAGTGACTGAGCCAGGTGGAGCTCTCTGGAGAGAAAGGAGGCAGAACCTTGTGCCTGCCCTGAGAGGAGAAGATTGGAGAGAGAAGGATGGGTTTTGGAAGGTGTGAGAGAGTGGTTGGACGTAAAGGGCTGCAGGGATGGGGGCGCTGCTGAGGGCAGTGAGGCCAAGGAGGAGGTTGAGCAAAGAATCAGGTCTTGAACCCTACTGATGAAACCTGTGCCTGACCTGTTGCCTCATGAGGGAGTTCAGCACTGCTTCTCATTACACAGCTCTGGGGGAGGGCTCTTCCACCTGGCAAAGACTGGTCTGGAGCTGGAGCCTGTCACCATCTGTCAGCCGGGGTTGGCTCCTCAGCCTTTGTCCAGTCTTTGTAACTCTCAGGTTATTTATTATGTGGTAACAAGCACAGTCATTTGGAAAGGACACAAATAAGTGCAGCTCATTCCACATGAATTTCTGGGTTGATTCTAGGAAGAAATTTGGGGTTTTTTGCATATTTCCTTTGAATCCAGGTGAGTGATGTATTTGTCATCTTGGTTATGTAACTTACTGCTAACTTTGATGGAGGCAAAATCCCAGAGGTAGACAAGAGACTTGTCTGGCTTAAGACTGACCTACTTCAGCAAAGTTTTAATTTGAATTCCCAGCATATCTGGGCATTGAAAGCTGCATCACTGTCAAATCTGCTCCTGGCAAGGGCTCGTACCTTGTGTTTACCCACAGCAGACTTCGTGTGGTAGATGAGAAACGTGAGTGACTGCAGTCAGACAGGATTGCTTTCCTCCCTTGGAAGGCCAAAATGAGTCCTTGGGATTATCTGTTCTGTACCCTCAGAGCCTTGGAATTCATTTAGGGGTGTCTGCATAGTGGTTATAATGTTTTGATTAGATGTGGACTCGTCCTGTCACAGTCAGGACGGGCCAGTGCTGCCAAAATCTTCAACAGCTGCTGTCTGCTGACCAGGATTGCTTTCTCACTTTGAAGGGAACATCATCAAGAAGCTCCCACGGAAGACTGCAGTGTTCATCCACGACACAGCCACCTTCTGCGTGGAGCTGGACAACGACTGCCCCAACGTCCGGTGGCTCAAAAACAGGGAAGAGGTGAAGCCCAGCGACCGAATCTCCATCACACGCTCCGGCAAACAGCACACCATGACCATCCGGGAGTGCAAGGTGGAAGATGCTGGGGAGATTGCCTTCCTGGCTGATGAAAGCAGGACTTCCACCCAGTTCACCGTGACCAGTAAGATTCCCGTTCATTTTGGCCTCGGTGTTGCGTCTTCCCCGGAGAGCGGGTGCTCCCGTGTTGGTTTAGGAGCCATCGTGGTAATTTCTTTGCCCAAAGACAGCAGAAGGTTTGGTGTCTGCCCACAAAAAGCCAACAGCCTGAACATGAGCGCTGTGAGACGTTTTGGAGGGATCAAAACCCAGAGAGAGGAGTCAGAGAATCATAGAAAATGGTTTGGGTTGGAAGGGACCTTAAAGATCAGTGGGTTCCAACCCTCAGCTGCAGGCCAGGACACCTTCCACTAGACCAGGTTTCTCAGGGCCCCATCCAGCCTGGCCTTGAACACTTCCAGGGATGGGGAACCCACAGCTGCTCTGGGCAAGAGCAGTCCCAGAGAAGGGCATGGCACAAACGTATATCTCAGCTGACAGAGCAGAAGCAGCAGGTGCAGTGTAGTCAGGATTGGACCTGAAATGAGATTTTGGTGAAGTTGTCTAGTTTTGTTTAGCCTTATTTTGGTGACACTGCATTTCCCAGCCAAAACCTGCTTCATTTAAGACAAAAACCACACATAGTTTCTGGCTCTGCTGCAGTTCTGGTTTCTATGTGAACAAATTATCCATTCTAGTCAAGATTTGGGAAGAATGATACTTTTTTTTCTCCCCCCTACCACTTCCAAACTGCAAACAGTCAGTGGCAAAACAGAATCTTTTATTTAAAGATTAATAACTGCTGTGTTATCTAAACTTGGCTGGGACATTCTGATGCCAATGACCTAAAATGAGAAAAAAATTCTCAAGTGTCACATTTGGCTTTGTGACAGTTTCAGAGGTGTTTGGAAAGCTGTAACATCCAACCAGTTCAATGGGAACAACAAAGTTCAGTTTGAGTTTGTTGTGGAGAAAGTGTAAATTGATGGAGCAGAAAAAAAGGTAAGAAGCTGCCTTCCCACAGGCAGGTATCGCTGAGGAAAATATTACATTACCATTTCTGATGGTAAGGTCAGGAGATCTCATTCCAGGGCTTAATACTCAGCTTAATGTTACCCTAGTGGGACCTTTGACATCTAGCTGGGACCAGCAGTTACTGACAGGCTGGTAACTGTGCACCCCAAAACACTTCTGTGTCTATTTATGTAAGGAAGGAAAAGTGTATCGCCTTGAGATTTCCTATTTTTACACTTGCTGCATCTCTGACCATCTGCTGGGAGAACCCTGGGCACTGGGCTCGTGTCTTCTTCAAATTAGCTGGGCAAAACTGGTGCTGGCTGTTCAAAGAGCGTTTAGAACACACAAGCAATGTTTGTATGTTGTTTGCTCAGTGCCTTGCATTGTTACTACGCCCATTTTAAAGTCGAGTAAACTGAGGCAGGAAGAGGAACAGTTGTCCCAGAGATCAGTTTTTAGTTTAGGCTCATCCTACAGGCTCCCTCCACGGCCAAGAATACTTGAGGATGTGCAGTGTGGGATTGTTTCCCCCATCTCCCACACCTTCTTTGAGCTGGGATGGGTTGCTCCTGAGTGTGCTGTTATCCATGGGATTAAAGTTGGAGTCTGGTTGACTGACTTAACCCAGACACCCTTCAAATAGCCTGAATTAAATGAAATTAATCCTTTGCCACATCATTAGAGGTGTAACTAGAGCATATCAGATAATTCCTACCCTCTTGATGGGTATCAGTGGCAGCACACAGTGAATAACCCTGGTGGGACTTGAGTCTTCTCCGAAGGGTTCAAGAGGAATGAGAAGGCTGAACATAAATATTCATTATGTAAATACCTGCAGGGAGAAGTCTGTGGCCTCAGGAACCATGAAATAACCACACCTCTGCAATTACAGGGCCTCACAGTGGGGACGTGTCTTTATGTCACTTCCTTTTGAAGTTGACCCCCAAAATCTGGTTCTGTGTAAATTAGTAAAGCAGAGATCCCCAACGATACTATCAATTAGCTGTAATTAAGATGAAGTTACAACAGACCTTCTGAGTGGGGATAGCATGAAATACAGAAGCAGGACAGAGAACAAACACCCAGATGAAAGAGGCTGCAGAGAACACCTAAACCTGTGTAACAAGCACCTGAGATGTCCATAATTACCAAAAGGTTTGAACAACCTTTGGTGGTGGTTTTACCCACCTTATGAGTGACAATAAAGAGCTGAGAGTTAGTCTGCTTTGCTCAGGAGCTGTGTAGGCAGCGGGACGGGTCTGTATCTAGCACTGAAGATTTAAGTCTACAAAATGTTTGTTGAAGATTGTCTGTGTTGACAGTTTTAATGTTGTGTGGAAGCCACACGTTACTGCGGAGATGAGGATGTTGTGCACTAAAGGTTGGACTCGATGATTTCAGAGGTCTCTTCCAACCATAACGATTCCATGCTCCTTCTGTAATGCACCCCAAAAGCATCTTCTATCCATTCCCTTGCTTTTCCATCTCATATCAATGTTTTAGGGAGGTTTATTAAGCAGGAGCAACTTTTAGTCCAGCGTAAGCTTTCCGGGCGACGCACAGCGGCTTTTCCACCCCGACATAAACTCCTTTCTCCGTTTTTATACTGATTTTCTTTCCTTGTGCAGCGCCCAAAAAACCTCCCACCCAACCCCCAGCCGACCCTGTGGTGAAAAATAAAACAGAAACCTCAGTGACCCTGGCATGGTCCCCTCCCAAGATGGACCGGCCCATTCCAGTCGACGGATACATCGTGGAACGCAAGAAACTCACGGGCTTCACCTGGGTGAGGTGCCACGAGTCCCACGTCCCTGCCCCAGAGCTCACCGTGAGCAACCTGGCGGAAGAGGCTGATTATCAGTTCAGAGTGTCTGCAGTCAATGCCTATGGACAGAGCCCCTACCTGGAATTCCCCGGGAGCGTCCACCTCGGTGAGCACAAAACCCGGTCTGGGGTGATCGGACACGTGGGGGGTTTGAAAACATCTTCCATGACTTTGAGGGTGGAGCAATGGCACAGAAAAACCTTTTTCCCCCCACCTTTCACTGCTGGTTCTCCTGCTTCATGTCAACCTCTGACCATCACCAAAGCTGGGTGGTGGTTGGGTTTCTGTGGTAGAGCTGTGAGTGTGCTTATATTGCATCATCTCATGTCCAGCTGTGTGAGAGGCAGAGCTCTCTGCAATGAACCCTAAACCTACTAAGTCTTCTTCTAGGCTTGGTGTGAAAGTAAAACTTGAAGTGGACTTATGATAGAATTTTCAATATGTGCAGGAGATACCCATCTTGCACCTAGAGAGTATTGATGGGTGATGATGCCATCATGAATTCCAAGTTCTAACCAGTGTCTCTCTAATCTTGGAGTTACTGGGAGAAATATTGGGGGTTTACTTTATTTCTAGGGTGCCAGTGTGCCCCTAGAATCACTGGGCGCAATGGGATTGCTTCTTCCTTTGATTCACTGCACCAGACAAGATTTGCAAAGACCTTGATCATACTGTGTCTTGTTATTGTGTCACCCTTTCCCTCCCTTGCTGTCTGAAAATGCCCAGAATTGTAGATATTCCTAGACATTCCTAGAATATCTACAGGTGACTAGTAGGAATATCTAGGAGTGACTCCTCGGGATCCTTCTGAAATCTAAGATACCTGAGGGATACTCAGGGATACCTGAGTGTTTCAGGCTTATGCCTTTATATATCTTAGGGGATAAAAAATCAGTAAAATATGCTTGTTCTTTCCCTGAAAAAACAGGATTTACCCTAAATCCAGAGGTCAGTAACTTGAAGCTGTAGGAAACAAATCCTATAGACCGAGAATTCATTGCCTTCTGTATAAGACTGATTTTATTCTCATGTCTTCTTTACCCTGAGAACTTCATTCTTAGGATGAACTGTCCTCCAGCAGGGCTGTCTGGTGCCTTGTTCTCAGAGATGTGTGTTGCTGTTCCTCCCTAGAACCAGTCCTGGCTGTGAAGAGCCCCCTGACAACAGCTGAGGCTGTACCTGGAGGGGATGCCCTGTTTACTGTCGACCTCACCAAGACGTGTTCCGGCTCTTGGTACCTCCGTGGCAAAGTCTTACAGGAAAGTGAGACCTGCATCATCAAGAGAACCCAAACCACTCACACCCTGATCCTAAAGAACGTCACCAAGAAGGATGATGGAGCAGAAGTGAAATTTGTTGCCAATGATGTCGAGACCAGCACCAAGATGAGAGTGAAAGGTATTGATTTCCCTTTGTTCTTCCAGGCGAGGGGCTGTGGCTGTGACCTGATGATTAGGACTGGGGCTGGAGGCTTTCACTGATGCCTGGGCTGTGGGAAATGCCTGAAATTGCATCATGTGGACTATTGGAGGTGCTGGGAATGACCTCACCATGACAGTTCAGAGGTCAGAGTGAGTCCATCTAGAAAGCTGGTGGTATGAGGACCAGACTGCTCACAAATTTCTGTCATTCACAACCATCAGTCAGCAGATTCTGTCACCAAATCTACCACTGAGTCACCTTAAAATGGGAATTTCAGCTCCAGGTTCACCTGAACTTTCAAAAGTAAAGGAGCATTGATTCCTAACAAAGCTTTTTCTTGGAGGTTTTTGGTGTGTGTGATGTACAAGTTAATATCACGCAAATTGATTTAAGAACCAAGGTTGGGTGCCTCCTTTATGAAGTGACAGCAACATCTGTATCCACCCACATTGCCTGGCAAAACATAATGAGCAGACATTGGTTCTGGAAGGCTGTGTTTGGCTTTGGGTGAAAATCTCCTTCAGAGGCCTGTTGAGAGTATTATTAATCAGCAGAAAAGCATGGTTTGGTTTTTTATTTCTTAGTGACTCTGGCAATAAAAACCCATCAAGTCTTCTGAAGTGGAAAAAAATGCTCAGCGTTGACATGAGTGGGAGGGCAGGGACAGGATTTAATACTTTTAGAGATCTCACAGTCTAAGGAAACTCACAGCAGGGACAAATTATCTCAATAAAAGTTGAAATAACAACTTCTGCCCTGGCAGGTGCTGCAGTGAGATTTACCAACAAGAGCAAAGAGGTGGAAAAGGTCTCTGCTCGGCTGAGGGAGGAAGCCAAACTGCAGGCCGAGCTTTCAGACACAGAGGCCACAGTGAAGTGGCTGAAAGATGGGAAGGAGCTCAAGGCCAGTGAAAAATATGAGCTTCAAACCGTGGGGAAGAGGCACATCCTGAAAATCCGCAGCACTTGCACGGAGGATGCTGGAGTTTATGAGTGCACCTGTGAAGGGGACAAGATGCTCTTTCAGCTTTCAGTGAAAGGTATGTGACTGCCTGGGCTGCTTAATGGGCTTTCCCTGCCCTAAAGTGATGGAGTCATCAAAGGGACACAAAGGGAAAGCTCCAGAGGGAGTTGTGGTAATTCCCCATCCATGCCCAGCCTGGGCAGTGTCCGTGGTTGCAGAGCAGGATTACTGGGGATTGAACACAAGGTACAGTGTTGGTTTAGTGCTAAGAGCTCTGCTCCCACTCCAGTTGGCATCCCGGTATTCCATGGGAGCTTGGTGTTATTTCAGGACGCTGGGTGGTGGGCAGGGACAAAGTGCTGTTGTGGTGAAGGAATTCAGCTGCAGGGGCAGGACACGACACACGTGGCCCCATGTCTGCCCTGCACTTGCTGTGTGACATCACACATGTCACTGAAGGGAGAGTTCAGCTCTGATTAAAGCTCTGAAGGACCGGGATCATCTTGCCATTGTGAAATTTTTTAATTCTTCTTTAATTATTATTTGATGATTTTTTGTTTGTTTTCTCTCAATACTCTGGTGGATAAAAACAGGCCTTTCCAGGGCACACTGGATGGCTTGGCCCATTCCCGTTTCAAGGCTTTCAGATGGAAGGCTGTACAGAACAAACAGCAAGATGGAATTTCATTTACATGTTTCTGGCTTGGTAGATTTGAACTAACACTGGTTTACAGCTGCCCCGTTCAAGCTTTTATGAACTTGTTTATAGTAGAGTTTGCTCTGCCTTGGAAGGGACCAGGTTTGGGCTAAAGAGCCCCAGGGTATCCCCAGACTGTTCCTCATAGGGCTCAGTCAGATGTTTGAGGTTCACAGTGTGCAGCCTGACTCCAGGACAGTGTAAACATCATTTGGGGGGGGTTCAGCAGGTATTTTGCATTTCTGTCTGTTCACTCATTTCATTTCATTTCCTTGTTCTGTCCCATAACTCACTCCTCACTTTCTTCCCAGCAATGATCACACTGTCTCTACATGGAGTGAGTTTGAGGTGCTTCATCATCATGTTCTGTTGGTGTCTCACCCTCTTTGGTCTCTGTAGAAGTAACAAACCCCCAGAGTAATGTGTTTGTGTTTGGTTTGTTTGTTTTTTTTTTTTAACATTCGACAACTTGCTTGCTTATTCTCAAAGAGCAAACTCAGGAGAGAGGAAAAAACAATCTAAAAATGTGACTAAATCTGCATAAAGAGGAATTTCTGTCTACACTTGGCACCTGCTCTCAGTTTTGGTTTTCTTCTCTGTCTCTCCGCCTCTTCAGCATCGTTTTTCATGCTGACAGCTCTACCCACAGACCTAATTGAATTAGTTGATGGATGTTTCCATGTGCTCTTCACTCTATGACTATCAAATGAGTAATCACTGTTATTATTTCCTCAACCTGAGGACTGTTCTGGTGAAGGAGGAGAAGTCTCAGCAGTGTTTGGTCCCTGCAGATTTCATGGGTAGAGGAAGGGCTGGGATGTTTTTTTCTCTGGAGGGATGTTTTTCACTCCACTGTTATGAGCTGTTAGAGAAACAAGTGAAAACAGAGGACCCAAGAAAAAAAACAATTTAAAAACTTGTGTTTTTCCCTGGTTTAAAGGCTCCTGGTACAACTTCTTTGCCCATAGGTATTGCTTTTAACAAGCAGACTTGGTAAACCCCAGACAAGCAAGAGTAGTGGGGACCAGGTGAGGTCAAATGCAGGTTCCTGTCCTTGCCAGAAGCTGGTAATGGAACTGAGTGCTGTGAGGACCAGAGCGAGAGAGACCCCTGATTGCACAGGAACAGACTTCCCTCCCTTTTCTCCTCCCCTTTTTCCCCCTCTTTCCTCCCCCCTTCCCCCCCTTCCCCCTTTTCTCCCCCTTCCCCCTTTCCCCCTCCCCTTTTTCCTCCTCTTCCCCCCTTTTCCCTCCTCTTCCCCCTTTTTCCCTCCTCTTCCCGCCCTTTTCCCTCCTCTTCCCCCCTTTTCCCTCCTCTCTTCCCCCTTTTCCCTCCTCTTCCCCCCTTTTCCCTCCTCTTCTCCCCCTTTTCCCTCCTCTTCCCCCTTTTTCCCTCCTCTTCCCTCCTTTTCCCCTCCTCTTCCCCCCTTTTCCCTCCTCTTCCCCCTTTTTCCTTCCTCTTCCCCCCTTTTTCCTTCCTCTTCCCCCCTTTTTCCTTCCTCCTCTCCCCCTTTTCCTTCCTCTTCCCCCCTTTTCCCTCCTCTTCCCCCCTTTTCCCTCCTCTTCCCCCCTTTTTCCCTCCTCCTTCCCCCTTTTCCTCCTCTTCCTCCCCTTTTCCCTCCTCTTTCCCCCTTTTTCCCTCCTCTTCCCCCTTTTCCCTCCTCTTCCCCCTTTTCCCTCCTCTTCCCCCTTTTCCCTCCTCTTCCCCCTTTTTCCCTCCTCTTCCCCCTCTTTTTCACTCCCTTTTCCCCCCTTTTCTTCTTCCCCTTCTTCTTCTCTCCTTTTCTTCTTCCCCCTTTTCTTCTTCTCCCCTCTTTTCTTTCTCTTTCCCCTCTTTCTTCTTCTTTCTCTTTCTTCCCCCCTTTTCTTCTTCTCCCCTTTCTCTTCTTTCCCCCCTTTTCTTCTTCCTCCTCTTTTCTTCTTCCCCCCTTTCTTCTTCCCCCTTTTCTTCTTCCCCCCTTTTCTTTCTTCCCCCCTTTTCTTCTTCCCCCCTTTTCTTCTTCCCCCTTTTCTTCTTCTTCCCCCTTTTCTTCTTCCCCCTTTTCTTCTTCCCCCTTTTCTTCTTTCCCCCTTTTCTTTCTTCCCCTTTTCTTCTTCCCTCCTTTTCTTCTTTCCCCTTTTCTTCTTCCCCCCTTTTCTTTCTTCCCCCTTTTCTTCTTCCCCCTTTTCTTCTTCCCCCCTTTTCTTCTTCCTCCCCCTTTTCCCCCTTTTCCCCTCTCCCTCTTTTTTCCTTTTTTTTCCTTTTTCCCCTTCCCTCCCTTTTTCCCCCCTTCCTCCCTTTTTCCCCTTTTTTTCCCTCTTTTCCTCCACTTTTCACCTTTTCCCAGAAAACAGTTGCATAACCACAACTTTGATTTTAGTAGCTTTGACTGCACAGTCACAAAAAAGTGTCTCAGTTGTGTGGATTGTTTTAAAACAGTATGTTAAAAAGATGTTTGAAAATCAAACCCATTATCCAAAATAAGATGGAACTTATGGTTCCAGGGGCACATTTTTTAGCTTGGATATTGGTGAGGCTTTGAATCTCTTGCTTTGAGGCAGTTGGTGACTCAATTATTTCACTACATGTTAATATGATGCCAGAATTATTGTTTATTTTCTATGCTCCAGTTAATTTCCAGGAATAAATTTCTTTTCGTTTCAATCCTATGACATATTTAGATATATTTTTAATTTAATGTAATTTATTTCATCCAGACTAGATTTTAACCTCTTGCAGAGCTGATTTTCTTTTTGCCAGGTGGTTACAATGCAATGACTGAAAAAACTTTCATGGCTTTCCCTCCAGTTTCTTTTATTTCTCTCCTCCCCTCTCTCAGATCTTGCCTTTAAGCCCTGCTGCCTGGGGCTGCCTCTCCTCCTGCGTTGGATACCTGCTCTGGTTTTTTGGACACGTGATAATCAGGAACATGACTGGAAATTTAGCTGCTTCTGCACTGGAATCTAGTCCTTAGATCCATAATGAAACATGCAGTTTGGACTTGGGATAAATGAACACCTAATGCAGATGTAAATGCACTTATTTAGTGGTGCGCACACAATTCTTAACCCGAGCTCCGTGTCTGTGTTTTGTTCCAGCACTTGCAAACTTCATAAACAAAGAGAAAAGTGGGGGACTTGTCAAGGCCACCACTGGCAAACAGGCTGAATTTGTTTGTGAGACCTCCGAGGCCAATATCATGGTGAAGTGGTACAAAGACGGGAAAGAAATCACAGCTGGCAAGAAATTCACCCTGGAGGATAAAGGAAAGCTGCACAAGCTCGTGGCTTCGGCTGTGACAAAGGAAGATGAAGGAACTTACACCTGCAAAGTTGGAGATGACACCCTTGTTTTTGATTTAAGAGTCTCAGGTAAGTTCGTGATGCAAGTGTGGGATTGGATTCGGTGTGAGAAATTCCAAGTTTAGTTCATTTTACTTGTCCTTCCTTGTAAATTGACGGATTTTTGGGGTCAGGGTCGCACAACACTGTTTTCAGAGGCTCTGGCTCTTGTTGTGGTCCTCGTGCAAACCCACAAGAATATAAAAACGACGTGATATTTTAAAATCAACACAAGCTTTAAGTAGGGCTGGAGTTGCAAGTTAATGCCCACCCTGGCTCAGCAGCTGTGGGAGCCTTTATTCTTTTAGCTCAGCAGGAGCCTCATCTTAGGACCACCTCAGACAGGAGGTCCAAAATCTCCCTCCTTTGACCAGTTTAACTCCTGATTTTGAGAGTGAAGCATCCCCTGCCGTTCCCGAAGGACACTGTGATCTCCTCGTGGTGCCACAAGCGAAGCTGTTGGTCCGTGTCACGTGCCCATCACACAAAGCACGTGGTTGTCAGGTCAAGCCCAGAAGAGAAATGCTTGTCACCACCGCATTCCAGGGCAGGATGGAGCCAGGGTATGAAATGGCACAGGGAATTCATCTGGGAAATTCAATACCCGTGAAATCCAACTTGGTTCAGTTTGCGTAGCCTGGTGGGAGCCTTTCCTCTAAAAGTGGTTTTCTGGCTTATGCCTGGAGCCTAATTTTTAACCTGGTCCTAAGTGAAGTGAAAGCTTCTCGTGGCACATCTACATTTCAGGCACAATGAAACGTAAGAGAAGCATCAGCTGAGTGCTTGTGACCTGTGGCAGTACATCCAGGTCACTGTGATGCTGAAAACTCAGCAAAGCTGGTTAATTTAGGACAGCACTTGTCTTGAGGAGTTGCTGCAGGGTTAACTGAGCCAGAGGGATTGCTTCCAGTTCACAGCTGGTGTTTGCTCAGGTATTGACTCTGCATCTCACCTCCAGATCTCTTTGGCTGAGAATCCAACATGATGCAAATTCACTCAAGAGTGTAATTCCCAGTTCCTGACTTTACCCACTGAAAAACTGGTCTAAAAGAGCCAACCAGGTTCTGCCTAAACATATTCCTAAAGGGCAATTTATATAAATTGATTTATACTGTCTGATTAGAGTGTCCTAAAGTGGATTTGAAAGAGTGTTCTGGAGCTGCCTCAGTCTGAACATCAGGTGCAGGGGAAGCCTGCAGGATTACCTGAGCTGGGTGCCTAAATTTTGATGATTGTGGTGAATCTCACCTGTAACTCCTACGATAAAATGTCAAATGTGTCAGGCAAAGAAAACTGGGATCACCTCAATCATAGAATCACAGGATGGTTTGGGTTGGAAGGGATCTTAAAGCCCATCCAGTTCCACCCCTGCCACAGGCAAGGACATCTTCCACTATCCCAGGTTGCTCCCAGCCCTGTCCAGCCTGGCCTTGGACACTTCCAGGGATCCAGGGGCAGCCACAGCTTCTCTGGGCAACCTGTGCCAGGGCCTGCCCACCCTCACAGGGAAGAATTTCTGCCTAACATCTAATCTAAATCTTTCAGTTTAAATCCAAACCTACCCTTCTGTCAGTCTGAAACCATTATCCCTTGTCCTGATAATTAAGATTTCCAGTGAAATACTTGCCTGGCACGGCAATTGTCCTTGGGGTACTCAGTGACTGAAGGCAACAGTTGCTGCTAAAAGAAATGCAACACTGAGCTGAGGTTGGCTCGAACTGACAGCCCTCAGCTCGCTCCTGAGGTAAGAGCTGCCCTGGTGGAACGAAGGGTATGAAATCCCTGACGTGCCCATCAAATATTCCTTGTTATCTCAGGGACAGGGTGTGTAGAATAGGTTCACTCACGTTTCACCTCAAGGTGCTGTCTCCACTTTGCTGCCTTCGCTTTCACCTTTACAAATACTCTTGAGACAAACCTGAGCTGCTAAAGGTGACGTGGTTTTGCTACCTTCATGACACATGTTCTCTGTGGGTGTGACTGCACAGCTCACACCTGTGCCATCAGCAGGGTTTGAGCTGAGGTATCAATGCAGGAACCTCAACTACTTGAGCTGTGTGAGCAGTTCTGAGTTCTCTGCTGGGAAGATCCGTTCCTACAAAAAAAATATGAGGTTCTTGGCTCCTTTATTCATGAAGTCATAGAATGATTTGGGTTAAAAGGGACTTTAAAGATCATCTTGTTCCAACCCTTCTGCTGTGGGCAGGGACACCTTCCACTAGACCAGGTTGCTCGGAGCTCCATCCTAAATGAAGGTGGAGAATATTTTAGCAACTAAATTATTCCATATATACCCTGGTCTGGGGAAGAATTAATCCTGTGGGGCTGATATTGTGAGGAGGGAACTGGAATGGTCTCAGAAACCCTTAAAAAAGGCTCCTCATCCCTTCTAACTAGATTTTCTGAGACTTTTAAATTCTTAAGTGTTTTTTAGTCTTTTCAAGTCTTTTCAAAGCTATTTCTATATTCAGGCATCAATATATCCCTAAAACTTTGCTTAAAATCAGAAACAAGGGGTGTTGAATAAAGTGCCAGCAACTGGAGGGCATCTGGACTCGATTTAAAAGATACATGAGGATGTAGGGGAGATGAATGGGATTGCAGTGCAACTGAGAGCAATTATCTGAAGATCAGAGCAGGAGTTTGCACCATCTGTTGGAGAGTCAGGCACCAACATTGGTGTGTGTGATAATGAAATAATGATCAGTGATCACTGTCCCCTCCCTTTGCGCTGATAAACCCGCACCGAGGCACAAACTGCTTTCCCTTTCTCGCTCCAGACGAAGCTGTTACTTTTGTCAACAAGCCCAAGACGCCTCCAGAGATATCAGTCCGTCCTTCTGAGACCCTGGAGCTGGTGTGTGAGGTGTCAGCTGCTGGTGGGGCCGTGGTGTGGAAGAGGGATCACACCGAGCTGAAGCAGGACCAGAGGACGACGCTGGTGTCCCAGGGGACACAACGAAAGCTCATCGTCAAGAAAGTGACACAGCAAGACCAAGGGAGCTACAGCTGCGAAATGAAGGATGACAGGCTAACATTCCAAGTCAAAGTCAGAGGTGAGGAAAGGCTGGAAATGCCAAAGATAAGGGACTATTCCATTCGGAGTCAGATCGTACATTCAGAGGATCGTTTCGTGGTCTCTCTGGGGTGAACTCTCTGAGCCACAGGGCTTGCTTTTTTGACCAGATTTAATAATGATGCACTCAAATTCTGCATCCATGACTAGTTGTGATCTGAAAGAAATGCTGGGCAGGGATGGAAATTCCTTCTCCTCTCACAATTAGCTGGTGTGTCTGTAGAAAAACTCTCACAGAATCACAGTGTGAGGCCACAGCAGGGATATGTAAAAGAGAAGAGGGAGGTGCTTGAAGAGCTCTGATTAGATCCCATCCTTGGAAGTGTTCAAAGCCAGGTTGGATGGGGCTCGGAGTAACCTGGGATAGTGGAAGTTGTCTCTGCCCATGGCAAGGGATTGGAATGAGATGATCTTTAAGGTCCCTTCCAATCTGAACCATTTTATGATTAGGTGGAGAATGACTGAATTTGAGTGGCCCAAATAGGCAGAAAATGGTGCCTGGATATGAGGATACAAGGGCTATTCCCTCCTGATTCACTGGAATCTTGGAGAGACATAGGAAGAGAAAAAGAGAGAAGAGGGAGAAGGTTTCAGGCAGTGCCTGATGGTGCTTTAAGATCCAGGTTCAAATGTGTGCTAAAACTGTGATGTTTTAACACTACACCAGAATTCCCATGAAATTCCTGTACTTATTCACCTCTCAGCAAAATACAGATGAAGGAGTTTTCTTGTACTAATGGGCCATCGCAGAGATGATGAAGGACCTTGATTTGAAGCCCTGTGAGGACACTGAGGGCACTTGGTGTGTTCAGCTGGAGAAGAGGGGACTGAGGGGAGACATCACTGCAGTTCCAACTGCCTGGGCAGGGGCAGAGGAGGGGCAGGACTGAGCTCTGCTCTGGGGGGACCAGGGACAGCCCCCAGGGAATGGCTGGAGCTGTGCCAGGGAGGTTTAGGTTGGATCTCAGGGAAAGGTTCTTCCCCCAGAGGGTGGTTGGCACTGAACAGGCTCCCCAGGGCAGTGGGCACAGCCCCAAGGCTGCCAGAGCTCCAGGAGGGTTTGGATGATCCTCTGGGGCACAGGGGGTGACTCTGGGGATGGGCCTGTGCAGGGCTGAGGGTTGGACTGGGTGGTCCTTGTGGGTCCTTCCAACTCAGGGTATTCTGTAATTCTGTGATACCTGTGAGGGGTAAGTGCTGTGGAAGAGAAGGAACCTGATTAAGCACTGGAGAAGAGAACTGCAAAAAGCTGTGTGTGACTGCTGTGCTTTTCTGACAGAGCCAGAAGTTGTGTTTACAAACAAGGACAAAGTGAAGAAAGAGGTGAAAGCTGCACTCTCAGAAGATGCCACGCTGAGCTGCGAGGTGGCCCAGGAGAAGACGGAGGTGAAGTGGTACAAGGATGGGAAGCTGATCAGCTCCAGCAAGAAGTTCAAGGTGGAGTCAGAGGGCAAATCCCGTCGGCTGGTGGTGGGTCAGGTGGAGCAGAAGGATGCTGGGGAGTACAGCTGTGAGGCTGCTGGCCAGAAACTCACCTTCAAGATCCACGTCACAGGTGGGAGACACATTTTGGTTTTTTTATTTAGTGTCCTTGTCTTTGAATCTGGGGTGCAGGACTGGGCAGATCAAGAGTTTACCTGTAGGTACCTGTTGTTCTGTGCTCCTCAGCACAAGAAAGACAAGGAGCTACTGGAGAAGGTCTAGTGGAGGGCACAAAGATGATGAGGGGTCTGGAGCATCTCCCTTATGAGGAGAGACTGTGGGAGCTGGGCCTGGTTGGTCTGGAGAAGAGAAGGCTGAGAGGGGATCTCGTTAATGCAGATAAATATCTCCAAGGTGGGTGCCAAGGGGATGGTTCCACAGTGTTTTTGGTGGTGCCCAGCAACAGGAGGAGGAGTAATGGCCCTAAACTAAAACACAGGAAATTTCACTTCAACTTGAGGAAGAAATTCCTTACACTGAGGGGGGCAGAGCACTGGAACAGCTGCCCAGGGAAGGGTGTGGAGTTTCCTTCCCTGAGGACATTCCAAACCCACCTGGACACGTTCCTGTGTCACCTGCTCCAGGTGACCCTGCCTTGGCAAGGGGGTTGGACTGGATGCTCTCCAGAGGGGAAGGATTCTGTGATTCTTTGATTCTGTATCCTTATATCAGCTCCTCAGCTCCCCCTGTGTGTGTCCTCAGGCTGAGATGAAGTGAACAGACTTTTCATCAGCAGGCACTGTGTCAAAGGACCTCTTCCAATTTGATCATCACTGCTGGTATTTCTCCTCCTGTTATGGATAATCTTCTATGAAAGTCACTCCTTCCTCTTTTTGTGCAAGTGAGAGGACAAGAGCAAATGGCTTCAGGTTGCACCAGGGGAGGCTTAGATTGGATATTAGAAAAAAATACTTCACCAAAAGGGTTGTCAGGTGTTGGAACAGGCTGTCCAGGGCAGTGGGGGGGTCACAGTCCCTGGAGGGATTTAAAAGCCATGTAGATGTGGCCCTTGAGGACAGGGTTTAGTGATGGATCTGCCAGCACAGTGTTAATGGTTGGACTCGATGATCTTCCACATCCTTTCCAACCTAAATGATTCTAAGATTTTTTTTGGACTCAGTGTATTTTGCAAGAGATCTGGTAAACTTTATCTCAGGCTCTAGTCAGCCACAGAATCAGCTACACTCTGAGTGATTATTTCTGAATTGGATGATAAGAAGGAGTTTGGTTGGGTTTTTTGTAATTAATATTAATAACACTCCACCGTCTTTACAGCCAAATCCCTCTTTGTTAACATCACAATTCTAGTCTCAGAGCTGATCAGGACAGGGAATCTACTTTCTCCTCTTGCTTTCTTACAGCACCAAACCCATGAGGAGCACAGTCTGGCAGAGGTTTGGCACTTTATCAGCTGTGTAGAAGAACAACTGTGTTGGGAGTCTGACTCCATCCCCTGTGGGGTATCCAGGGTGTGAGCTGGGGCACTTTGACTCTTTTCCATGAATTCTGTAGCTCTTTTCCATGTATTCTGAATCAAACAACTGAGAGAGCTGCCAGTTTGAGTGAAGGATGAGTTACAGTAAGGATAGAATTGAGAGGCACCTTCCAGAGAAAATTCAACACGGTCAGGGATAGAAAGACCATCGTTGAAACCTAAAATGTTTTGGGTTAGAAGGGACCTTGAAGATAATTTAGTTCCAACCACTCTGCCACAGGTAGGGACACCTTCCACTATCCCAGGTTGCTCCAAACCCTGTCCAGTGTATCCTTGGACACTTCCAGAGATGGGGCAGCCACGGCTTCTCTGGGCAAAATTGGTATTAAACCAAGTACATGGTCAGCTGTTGAAACTGGTTCGTGTGTTCCTGCAGAGATGCAGATAGAAAACACAGCAATTTAGTGCTTTTCCATGGGAATTTCTGTCTCTGAGGACTATTCTTAGCTGTCTGCCTCAGAACCCAAAGGTTTTCAGCTCCCTCAGACCGGATGACTTCCCGATAACGCAACACCCTCCCCCAGGCCCTGAGAGCAGAGATTGCCTGGCTACCGTTGCTGTATTCCTCATGGGAACAACTGCAACGTGACATCCCAGTCCAGCTCTGGCTGCAAAACGATCCAGTGTGAAAGTCAGGAGGGATTATGAGTACTCTGGGTGGTTGGATCTCCTGCGGCAGAAATCCGTCTCCTACTCCGCTATCCCAGAGTCCGGCGGCTTTCTGGGTCTTAATTTATCCTTTTACCCTTGCACTTGGAAAGCTCTGCAGGGTTCCTGTACTCCAGGGCTCCACTGGAAACTCAAAGCCTGCTCTGTTTAAGGGCAGGTTGAAGGTTAGGTGCTCAGTGTTGAGTTTTGGGATGCAGCTGTGGCTTTTTTTTTGGATTAATATAAGAAGGGTTACTGTACACCTTGGGACTGGGTTGGGCAAGTAGAAAAAGAGCTGATTCTGGAATCTTGTCATTTCAAGGTTCATGATGTGCAGGGAAATCTGTAATTGAAAAATGGAGAAAGCTCCATGTCCTGAAAATGGTTTTCCTCAGTTCCACTGAAACTTCCCTCACCGGTTTCAGCTGAGGTTGGAAATGTCACCTGCGCTGGATGAACTTGCTGAAGTTTAAAATAAATTCATAAGGCAAATTACCATGTAAATCACTTCAGGAGCTGGTTAAAAGTTTTAGTCCCGTTTCCTAATCATTATGAAAGTGGTTTATATTAAAGCTCAGGGATGAAGAGGACAGGTGAGATGAAGCTGGAATGTTCCTGCCCTGCTGAGCTGACATTTTAAACACAGCACCCATGGACACAAACTGGTCTGTAACTCACTTGGTGAACCCTGCACATTCCAAATCCAAGCTGTAAATGGACACTGAATCTTTGTATTTTTGAAAGCAGTTTTGAATGCTTTTGAGCCTTGGTGTGTGGTGGAGCTGTCTTCGATACCGAAATGCTGCTGCCACGTGCCTTTGAGGAGTTTTGCATCACCCAGCATAGGCCACGTGCCTTCTAAATGGCACTGACACCTCCTTACACCCCTTCCACAGCCAATGTAAACAGAGGAGCTCAAGTTTAAAGCCCATAAGCTGGATTCCTGCTCTGGTTTGCTCCCTGCAGGACGTCTCTCTTTCCATGGGCTGTGCAGTGTTCATAGCAAGGCTCTGATGTGGCTCCAGGACCGTGTGTGGTGACACAGTCAGCAGTGTAGGAACTTGACCTGAGCTTACCCCTTCTCCTCACCCTCCCAGGCAGCTGCTGCCACTCAGAGCCCAGATATGATGAGTTGGGATGCAGAGGAGAAAGTTGGTGAGGAGGAGTAAAGGATGGCCCTGGGAGGCTGCAGGGAGTGACTGGGAGAGGAGGGAGGGAGCACAGGTTATGGAAGGGGCTCACCATGACTGCCAGGGAGAACCAAGAGCCTTTAAGGTCACAGAATCATTGAGGTTGGGAAAGAACTCCAAGGCCATCGAGTCCCCCCTGTGCCCCATCCCCACCCTGTCCCCCAGCCCAGAGCACTGAGTGCCACGTCCAGCCCTTTCTTGGACACCTCCAGGGGTGGGGACTCCAAACCTCCCTGGGCAGCCCCTTCCTCTGCCTGACCACCCTTTCCAGGGACAAATTTTCCCTAATTTCCAATCTAAACCTCCACTGGCACAGCCTGAGGCCATTCCCTCTCCTCCTGTCCCTGTTCCCTGGGAGCAGAGCCCAACTCCCCCGGCTCCCCCCTCCTGTCAGGGATTGCAGAGCCAGAAGGTCCCCCCTGAGCCTCCTTTTCTCCAGGCTGAGCCCCCCCAGCTCCCTCAGCCCCTCCTGGCACTCCAGACCCTTCCCCAGCTCCCTTCCCTTCCCTGGACACGCTCCAGCCCCACAACACGTTTCTTTCTCAGTGTCACCTTCACCAGGTGGCCCAAATACCTCAGTCTGGGTGGATGAATTATCTTCCATGCTTGCACTGCAGCTGGAATGTGCTGGGAAACCCATCCACTTGCTAATCCAGCTAATCCAGTGGAGGTGGTGCTTCTGTTCAGCAAAATCACAGACTTCAGTGCCCAAGTCAAAACCTGGGACCCAAATTGTTGTAGGCTGCCCTTGCTGTGTGATGTTCATCACATAGACCCACCAGAAATATGTGCAGCTATGCCTTGTGGAAAATCAGTGGGGAAAAAGTGCGGCAGCCCATTTATTTAGGTCCATTTCTCCTTCCACATCTCAAATGTAAAATAAAAATAAAAGCTAAAGGTGACCACGTCAGTTTTTGGTAAAAGGAGAACCAGGCAAAACAATCATTAATGAGTAAAAGGTGCAATTTCTCAATCAGTGCTACTTAGTAAAGGGACAGTGGAATTTTATCAATGCATTATACCTAATTATCTAGTAAATACACGGGATATTCTTTTGATGCCAACTCCTCTTGTTGAGATGGAAATTCGAAGTGGTGCCGTGGAAGAAAGTGATTTTAAACCCTTGATTCTTGTTGCTGTTGTTGAGTATTAAAACAAGATTCTTCAACTTTTATAGGCCAGTTTTATTTGCTATGTAGGTCAAGTATTTTTCCATATTAAGAACTGTGCCTTTGTCAGTTTCTTTGGGATTGGGTTACAGGATATTTTCAGAACAACACCCAGTCTTAATCTAAAATACTTGTTAAAATCCTGTAAATAATGTGACAGTGGAGGTGGCAACTCGTAATGGCGCTGTATTTGGCTCATTCCAAGTGTGAGGAGTAGGAATATCATAAAGATACAACGGAGGAATTTTATCTTTGTCTTCATTACAAAAAATTTTAAAATGAGGTGATCAAGTTGTTCATGGAGATGAGTCAGAGAGATATAACTGCAAGGACCGTTTTTTGAGGGGTTTATGTGATAAAAAGAACTGCAAAGCTGTGTTACTCACAAGAAGTTATTATAGAATCAAAGAATTATTTAGGTTGGACAAGTCCTTTAAGATCATCATGTCCGATGGTTAGCTGAGGACAGCCAAGCCCAACATCCTGCAGAGCACCTACAGCAAACACATGTAATATCTCCTTGTCACGAGTTATTTACATCTTATGTATATTTTTAAATTGTTTCCCTATTTCAGAGGCAGAAGATGCCTTTGTCCACAAGGAGAAGGTGAAGAAAGAGGTGAAAGCTGCACTCTCAGAAGATGCCACGCTGAGCTGCGAGGTGGCCCAGGAGAAGACGGAGGTGAAGTGGTACAAGGATGGGAAGCTGATCAGCTCCAGCAAGAAGTTCAAGGTGGAGTCAGAGGGCAAATCCCGTCGGCTGGTGGTGGGTCAGGTGGAGAAGAAAGATGCTGGGGAGTACAGCTGTGAGGCTGCTGGCCAGAAACTCACCTTCAGGATCGATGTTGCAGGTGAGGGACTGCCTTATTACACCTTTTTTTTTTTGGCTGTAACTATAAAGTTTCCTAGTGACATAAGTTAACTTTAAACCTTGCTCTGTGTGGGTCTGCAGCAGAACTTAAATGGTTGTTCTTAAAGATCAGTTTTAAGGACTTGTGTTTGGATACTTTGGGAGAAAGCCCACTTAGGCTGAGTAGTCTTTCCCTGGTTTTGACCAGGAATGTTGATTGGGAAAAAGGATGTGAGAACAAGACAAGCTTACAACAATCCTTCTACTCTAAGGGTCTGTAGCTCCACTCTAAGAATTTGTAGTTTCTGTCGCTGCTGGGAGAGTTTTTCTGTCGCATCTGTACAAGAGATGTGGCTTTGCTGAGTTTTGCCAACAAGACTGCCCGTGGAGTTGCAGCACGCAGAGAGGTTCAAGTGTCAGTTCAGATCAATATCCAGAAGTCTGTGTGTGCTGGTGAATCCTCAGTGCACCCATTTCTGTCATTACTGCCAGTTATTTTCGTGGGAAAAAAAAATCACCCAGTAGTTCCTTTCTCATCTTCCTCTCTTCTGTCCTGCTTGACAGTGTTTCGAGGGAACAATAACTAAATTTGATGTAGATGTTTCTTTTCTGACTGTGGACCACAAGCAAACCTCAAAGAAGCATTCAGTAAAAAGCACATGGATTAAAAGCACATCCCAGGGATGTAGGGCAACACAACTGGATTTGGTGCAAAGATCTGCCCTTTCTTTCATGAGGTTCACCCAACACAGGAATCTAACCAGGCCTCTTTAGAAGTGGGGGCATTTTCCCAGCCTGGTGCCCCCGGTCAAACTGCTGAGCCTGTTATTTTGGATCTATCAGTGAGTGATTTTTAAGTCTCTTCCGTGCTGGAGGTGGTTTGGGGCTGGCCTGCTCCCAGGTACCCCATGATATTACAGCACTGGCACTCATGTGACCGCCAGCTGTGGGCCTTGCTGAGGAACAAACGATTGGGTTTCACTCTGCTTGCCCTGCCACGTCTGCATTCTGTGATATACATTGCTGGGGGATGACCCTGCAAGGAAACTGGAGACAGATCTGCCTCCTCACCCCTTGTGCCAGAAAAACTGTGGTAATCCTTGTTCTGTGGCTCAGTTATGTGGCTTTTCTTTTTGTCTAGAGCTCTATGCAGGTTGTGGGAATAGTACAGGGTAAGGCTGAGGTTGCCATTTTATTTCAAACAAGGAATGCATCTGATTGCAGAAACGCTCAGGAAAAAATGAATCAAGCTGTGAAGGGCAGAAATTAGGAAAAGGATCTTATCAAATGTTTGAAGGAAAAGCTCTTTGTAGCTTCCTGTGGAAGGATCTTCTCATCTGGGACCAGGAGACCTTTCTCCTTCGCTGGAAGAGCAGGCACCGAAGTGCTCTTGGCCATTGTTTTTGTGCAGCTGAGCAAGTGGGGAAAGCTGTTGGCAGCAATAATGGAAGGTTTCACGGGTCTTTTGGGTTAAAATCCAAAGATTGACCTGCTTTTGGGGCTTCTGAAAGAGTCATGTTCATGACTACGAGGGTTCACCATCCTTTGCAGGGTGATGTAGTGGGTCCATCACTATCAGCAAACTTCTCTACATCTCACATCATTTCTGTAAGCAGGGGAAAGGAGAGTGTTGTACCTCAAAGTGTTTTTCACATCACAGGCTTTGAGGTACTTGAGTATCATGGAAAGAGGGACAGGCATTTTGTCTCCAGTATATAACTGATATGAAATGGGCCCAGGCCCTCTCTTGCCACTGAGAGATTTGCTGGTCACTCTAGAGGCAGAAATGGTGGGATTCATTTAGCCCCTCCTTCAAGACTGCTGGGGAAGAATGCTGTAGAACTAGACATAGAAAATGGGTCTTCTGACCTTCTTGCTTCAACCCCAGACCATCTTTGTTATCCCCTTGTTGTTGACTGAAGATACAACTGAGCAGAAATACCAAGGTGAGTTTGTGTAAAATACCCTGAGGGGAATCCAAGCAACTGAAAGCTCTCCCTGAAGAGAATGACCTGGGATGGAGCACAAGTGTGAGCTTAGGAGTCCCTCCCTCAGCCTCCTCCTGTGTGATAGAATCCCAGAACGATTTGGGTTGGAAGGGACCTTCAAGGTCATCTCATTCCACCCCCTGCCATGGGCAGGGACACCTTCCACCGGACCAGGTTGCTCCAAGCCCCGTCCAACCCGGCCTTGGGCACTGCCAGGGATGGGAAGTGTAACATCCCTTGCTTATAATGAAGGGAAAAATATCTGCCTAGAGAGGGTTAGAGCCCAGATGAAGAAATTAGCCCCCAGGACAACACTTTCCAGGAACATTGGCTTGTTCTCTTCAGAAGTGTCACAGGAAGTGCTCTGAAACTTGTAACCCACACTTTTTTTGCACCACTGTCAATTCCTAACCCCAGAGACACAACTTTCCAGCAGAGTTCTCCTTCTTTCATTCCTTATTTGTGCTCTGTCTTTTAAAGGATTTACATATACAAGGGATTACATATATTTTTTGCTGGCCTTAGTAATCTACTTCCAGGTCTGTTCTTCTGCTGGGTAAGATATAAATTCTGAAAACTTGTAGTGGGGAGGTAGCAAGTTCCACACTGACTATTGAATAAACTGTTGATCTGTTCTTCATGAACCAGTTCTCAGAATTCAAACAAGTTTGGTAGTTCCAAATAAGTGCATTACAGAGATTTCTTTGTTTTATTATTCCTCTATCTACTGTATCATGTTAGGATCCCTATCTCCAACCTTCTATCCCATGTCCAGCTTCTCAGATTATGTCCTTGGAACTTATCAAAACCAAGCCTAAAATCAAATTACTGTTCTTAATTCGGTGTCTGTTTGATTGGACTGTGTGGCAGCCATTCCATCTGGAAACCCAAGATGCTCCTGGCACAGCTCCAGTGGAGGTGACCAGGATGATTAGGGGGCTGGAACACGTGTCATATGAGGAGAGGCTGAGAGAACTGGGTTTGTTCAGCCTAGAGATGAGAAGAGAAAGCAAAAGGAAGCTTTAACTGCTGCCTGCATCTGTTTAATAAGAGGATATGGAGTCCACAGCTCTGTGTCTTCTCAAAGGTCCAGAGTGATAGGAGGAGAGATAAAATAACCAAGTTGGAACTTGCATGGGAGGTTCTGAAAAGACATTAGGAACAATTTGCACCTTGAGGGTGGCCAAGCTCTGGAACAGGAGCCTTGAGGTTGTGGGGCCTCCACTGCTGGAGATACCCAGTGAGATGTGACTGTGGAAGAGCTTGGTGTAATTTCATCTGCTCTGAGTGGGGAAGTGGGACTGGGTGGCCTCCAGACATCACTCCTAACCTGAATTATTTTATGACTGTGATTTTGTACCCTTAGTACCATATGTCCTGCAGAATATATCTGGGAAGTGATGCTGTTCCATAAGGATTCAGCTCCATGTAAATGTCTGTGAAGGTCCTCCAGCTGTTCTGCATTTATTTCATAACCCTTACTGATGTTTTCCTAAATATCACTTGGGCCCAGCCCTGGGGTCAGCACTGGCAAATGAAGGACCCTGCATGGAGCTTGTCCTGTTTACTGTGACTGTGCAGCCCAGACTTCTCTGCAAGTGAACAAAACACACCCTGCTTTCCCAGGAGAGCCCATCCTGCTTGGCCTGTAGGGAGGGACCCTCCAGAGGGCCTGCAGGAAAGCTGGTACCACCCTTCAGATCAGGCATGGAAGTTCTTCTTGCTGCCCAAATGAGCAGCAGCTGGAAGCTGTGATGCATGGAAGGAAATTGTTCCTGCCAGTGCTTCATGGAGCATTTGCTTAACTCTGACTCTTTCAGCCTTTTTCATTCCACAGCTGATTTTTTTGAGCTGTGAGGCACCAGGTGGTGTCTCACCAAAACCCCAACACCATGTGATCTTGGAGGCAAAGCTTTCATTTTCATGGGCTTTTTCCTACACTTTTTTTCCTGCTTTCCAATCTTGCAGATGACGCGTTTGAGCACAGGGACAAAGTGCAAAGGGAGGTGAAGGCAGTGCTGAAGGAGGACACCACTCTGAGATGCGAGGTGGCCCAGGAGAAGACCGAGGTGAAGTGGTACAAGGATGGGAAGCTGATCAGCTCCAGCAAGAAGTTCAGGGTGGAGTCAGAGGGCAAATCCCGTCGGCTGGTGGTGGGTCAGGTGGAGAAGAAGGATGCTGGGGAGTACAGCTGTGAGGCTGCTGACCAGAAACTCACCTTCAAGATTGATGTCACAGGTGAGAGAATGTGCTGTATCCCTGGTTTAACCTAAAAAATTGAAGGAGAGGAAAGTTATGTGGCTTGGAAAACTCCATTTCAACAGGCGGTGACTGAGCCAGCACGTAAATGGTGTTGCTTCACTCATGGAATTGTCTTCACACTATTAGGTCTGTCTCCCTTCTTTGGAAACTAAAAAAATGCAGTGGATTTCTGTAGCCCAGACTCAGGTCAGGCTGAAGATCATCGGGGAATTTCCCTGGGAACCTGGGAAGATGCACTGATAGCAAATTAAGGATTAAAAAATTGCCAGAGAAATTAAAGGGCACAGCAAATCTGAGCGCAGATTATCTCATGGGAGCTCCCTCCTCTAATCAGCTTCATTATAGAGGAAACCTTTTTATTATGAATGGAAGTACTACAGCTGTTCTCAGAGGCAGCAGATGAGGAAAACCAGATATCACCACGATATCAGCAAGGACAAGTTTTACCCTTGACATCCCTCAGTTGGATCTCGAGGAATTTAAAGCAAATTGAGGAGTTCATACATTGGATATATTTTTGATTGTGACATGGTGTAGTGCAGAGGAAATTCCGTGGGAGCTGGCTGATCTTCATTCATTAGAGAAGCACAGTTTTATGATGACACATCTTTAAAACAGTTGGGAAATAAAGATGCAGACACAAAGTTTGTTTCCCAGCATTATCTTTGCTTTGGCTGCAATTGCAGCTCTTGGCAAAACTGAATTTAGGTCAGCAAACGGACTTCTTACAGACCTCATCCACCTGCCCTGCGTGTGGCTGGATTTTGGGATCTGTGAACTTCTTCTCTGCAGATTCTGGAGAATGGCAATGGTGGAAATAAAAGCAATTTTGGGGTCATGTCTTGGACTACCAGTAAAGGAGTCCTTCACTAGCACTTGATGCAATTCAAATATTAGCAGTTGAGCTGGGTTACCTGTAAGGCACGACAAGGGGATTGGGCTACAACTTATTTTGGAGAAACTCTGAACTCCTCTCTCTTTTCAGAGCCAGAAGTTGTGTTTACAAACAAGGACAAAGTGAAGAAAGAGGTGAAAGCTGCACTCTCAGAAGATGCCACGCTGAGCTGCGAGGTGGCCCAGGAGAAGACGGAGGTGAAGTGGTACAAGGATGGGAAGCTGATCAGCTCCAGCAAGAAGTTCAAGGTGGAGTCAGAGGGCAAATCCCGTCGGCTGGTGGTGGGTCAGGTGGAGAAGAAAGATGCTGGGGAGTACAGCTGTGAGGCTGCTGGCCAGAAACTCACCTTCAGGATCGATGTTGCAGGTGAGGGACTGCCTTATTACACCTTTTTTTTTTTGGCTGTAACTATAAAGTTTCCTAGTGACATAAGTTAACTTTAAGCCTTGCTCTATGTGGGTCTGCAGCAGAACTTAAATGGTTGTTCTTAAAGATCAGTTTTAAGGACTTGTGTTTGGATGCTTTGGGAAAAAACCCACTTAGGCTGAGTAGTCTTTCCCTGGTTTTGACCAGGAATGTTGATTGGGAAAAAGGATGTGAGAACAAGACAAGCTTACAACAATCCTTCCACTCTAAGGGTCTGTAGCTCCACTCTAAGAATTTCTAGTTTCTGTCGCTGATGGGAGAGTTTTTCTGTCACATCTGTACAAGAGATGTGGCTTTGCTGAGTTTTGCCAACATGACTGCCCGTGGAGTTGCACCACACAGAGAGGTTCAAGTGTCAGTTCAGATCAATATCCAGAAGTCTGTGTGTGCTGGTGAATCCTCAGTGCACCCATTTCTGTCATTACTGCCAGTTATTTTCGTGGGAAAAAAAAATCACCCAGTAGTTCCTTTCTCATCTTCCTCTCTTCTGTCCTGCTTGACAGTGTTTCGAGGGAACAATAACTAAATTTGATGTAGATGTTTCTTTTCTGACTGTGGACCACAAGCAAACCTCAAAGAAGCATTCAGTAAAAAGCACATGGATTAAAAGCACATCCCAGGGATGTGGGGCAACACAACTGGATTTGGTGCAAAGATCTGCCCTTTCTTTCATGAGGTTCACCCAACACAGGAATCTAACCAGGCCTCTTTAGAAGTGGGGGCATTTTCCCAGCCTGGTGCCCCCGGTCAAACTGCTGAGCCTGTTATTTTGGATCTATCAGTGAGTGATTTTTAAGTCTCTTCCGTGCTGGAGGTGGTTTGGGGCTGGCCTGCTCCCAGGTACCCCATGATATTACAGCACTGGCACTCATGTGACCGCCAGCTGTGGGCCTTGCTGAGGAACAAACGATTGGGTTTCACTCTGCTTGCCCTGCCACGTCTGCATTCTGTGATATACATTGCTGGGGGATGACCCTGCAAGGAAACTGGAGACAGATCTGCCTCCTCACCCCTTGTGCCAGAAAAACCTGTGGTAATCCTTATTCTGTGGCTCAGTTATGTGGCTTTTCTTTTTGTCTAGAGCTCTATGCAGGTTGTGGGAATAGTACAGGGTAAGGCTGAGGTTGCCATTTTATTTCAAACAAGGAATGCATCTGATTGCAGAAACTCTCGGGAAAAAATGAATCAAGCTGTGAAGGGCAGAAATTAGCAAAGGATCTTATCAAATGTTTGAAGGAAAAACTCTTCTTATCTTCCTGTGGAAGGATCTTCTCATCTGGGACCAGGAGACCTTTTTCCTTCTCTGGAAGAGCAGGCACCAAAGTGCTCTTGGCAATTGTTTGTGTGCAGCTGAGCAAGTGGGGAAAGCTGTTGGCAGCAATAATGGAAGGTTTCACGGGTCTTTTGGGTTAAAACCCAAAGATTGACCTGCTTTTGGGGCTTCTGAAAGAGTCATGTTCATGACTATGAGGGTTCACCATCCTTTGCAGGGTGATGTAGTGGGTCCATCACTATCAGCAAATTTCTCTACATCTCACATCATTTCTGTAAGCAGGGGAAAGGAGAGTGTTGTACCTCAAAGTGTTTTTCACATCACAGGCTTTGAGGTACTTGGGTACCATGGGAAGAGGGACAGGCATTTTGTCTCCAGTATATAACTGATATGAAATGGGCCCAGGCCCTCTCTTGCCACTGAGAGATTTGCTGGTCACTCTAGAGGCAGAAATGGTGGGATTCATTTAGCCCCTCCTTCAAGACTGCTGGGGAAGAATGCTGTAGAACTAGACGTAGAAAATGGGTCTTCTGACCTTCTTGCTTCAACCCCAGACCATCTTTGTTACCCCCTTGTTGTTGACTGAAGATACAACTGAGCAGAAATACCAAGGTGAGTTTGTGTAAAATACCCTGAGGGGAATCCAAGCAACTGAAAGCTCTCCCTGAAGAGAATGACCTGGGATGGAGCACAAGTGTGAGCTTAGGAGTCCCTCCCTCAGCCTCCTCCTGTGTGATAGAATCCCAGAACAATTTGGGTTGGAAGGGACCTTCAAGATCATCTCATTCCACCCCCTGCCATGGGCAGGGACACTTCCACTGGACCAGGTTGCTCCAAGCCCCGTCCAACCTGGCCTTGGACACTGCCAGGGATGGGAAGTGTAACATCCCTTGCTTATAATGAAGGGAAAAATATCTGCCTAGAGAGGGTTAGAGCCCAAATGAAGAAATTAGCCCCCAGGACAACACTTTCCAGGAGCATTGGCTTGTTCTCTTCAGAAGTGTCACAGGAAGTGCTCTGAAACTTGTAACCCACACTTTTTTTGCACCACTGTCAATTCCTAACCCCAGAGACACAACTTTCCAGCAGAGTTCTCCTTCTTTCATTCCTTATTTGTGCTCTGTCTTTTAAAGGATTTATATATACAAGGGATTACATATATTTTTCACTGGCCTTAGTAATCCTTCCAGGTCAGTTCTTCTGCTGGGTAATATATAAATTCTGAAAACTTGTAGTGGGGAGGTAGCAAGTTCCACACTGAGTATTGAATAAATTGTTGGTCTGTTCTTCATGAACCAGTTCTCAGAATTCAAACAAGTTTGGTAGTTCCAAATAAGAGCATTACAGAGATTTTTTTCTTTTTTTTTTTTTTTTTTTTTTATTCCTCTATCTACTGTATCATGTTAGGATCCCTATCTCCAACCTTCTATCCCATGTCCAGCTTCTCAAATTATGTCCTTGGAACTTATCAAAACCAAGCCTAAAATCAAATTACTGTTCTTGATTCGGTGTCTGTTTGATTGGACTGTGTGGCAGCCATTCCATCTGGAAACCCAAGATGCTCCTGGCACAGCTCCAGTGGAGGTGACCAGGATGATTAGGGGGTTGGAAAACGTGTCATGTGAGGAGAGGTTGAGAGAACTGGGTTTGTTCAGCCTAGAGATGAGAAGAGAAAGCAAAAGGAAGCTTTAACTGCTGCCTGCATCTGTTTAATAAGAGGATATGGAGTCCACAGCTCTGTGTCTTCTCAAAGGTCCAGAGTGATAGGAGGAGAGATAAAATAACCAAGTTGGAACTTGCATGGGAGGTTCTGAAAAGACATTAGGAACAATTTGCACCTTGAGGGTGGCCAAGCTCTGGAACAGGAGCCTTGAGGTTGTGGGGCCTCCACTGCTGGAGATACCCAGTGGGATGTGACTGTGGAAGAGCTTGGTGTAATTTCATCTGCTCTGAGTGGGGAAGTGGGACTGGGTGGCCTCCAGACATCACTCCTAACCTGAATTATTTTATGACTGTGATTTTTTACCCTTAGTACCATATGTCCTGCAGAATATATCTGGGAAGTGATGCTGTTCCATAAGGATTCAGCTCCATGTAAATGTCTGTGAAGGTCCTCCAGCTGTTCTGCATTTATTTCATAACCCTTACTGATGTTTTCCTAAATATCACTTGGGCCCAGCCCTGGGGTCAGCACTGGCAAATGAAGGACCCTGCATGGAGCTTGTCCTGTTTACTGTGACTGTGCAGCCCAGACTTCTCTGCAAGTGAACAAAACACGCCCTGCTTTCCCAGGAGAGCCCATCCTGCTTGGCCTGTAGGGAGGGCCTGCAGGAAAGCTGGTACCACCCTTCAGATCAGGCAAGGAAGTTCTTCTTGCTGCCCAAATGAGCAGCAGCTGGAAGCTGTGATGCATGGAAGGAAATTGTTCCTGCCAGTGCTTCATGGAGCATTTGCTTAACTCTGACTCTTTCAGCCTTTTTCATTCCACAGCTGATTTTTTTGAGCTGTGAGGCACCAGGTGGTGTCTCACCAAAACCCCAAAACCATGTGATCTTGGAGGAAAAGATTTCATTTTCATGGGCTTTTTCCTAAACTTTTTTTCCTGCTTTCCAATCTTGCAGATGACGCGTTTGAGCACAGGGACAAAGTGCAAAGGGAGGTGAAGGCAGTGCTGAAGGAGGACACCACTCTGAGCTGCGAGGTGGCCCAGGAGAAGACCGAGGTGAAGTGGTACAAGGATGGGAAGCTGATCAGCTCCAGCAAGAAGTTCAAGGTGGAGTCAGAGGGCAAATCCCGCCGGCTGGTGGTGGGTCAGGTGGAGAAGAAAGATGCTGGGGAGTACAGCTGTGAGGCTGCTGGCCAGAAACTCACCTTCAAGATTGATGTCACAGGTGAGAGAATGTGCTGTATCCCTGGTTTAACCTAAAAAATTGAAGGAGAGGAAAGTTATGTGGCTTGGAAAACTCCATTTCAACAGGCGGTGACTGAGCCAGCACGTAAATGGTGTTGCTTCACTCATGGAATTGTCTTCACACTATTAGGTCTGTCTCCCTTCTTTGGAAACTAAAAAAATGCAGTGGATTTCTGTAGCCCAGACTCAGGTCAGGCTGAAGATCATCGGGAATTTCCCTGGGAACCTGGGAAGATGCACTGATAGCAAATTAAGGATTAAAAAATTGCCAGAGAAATTAAAGGGCACAGCAAATCTGAGCGCAGATTATCTCATGGGAGCTCCCTCCTCTAATCAGCTTCATTATAGAGGAAACCTTTTTATTATGAATGGAAGTACTACAGCTGTTCTCAGAGGCAGCAGATGAGGAAAACCAGATATCACCACGATATCAGCAAGGACAAGTTTTACCCTTGACATCCCTCAGTTGGATCTCGAGGAATTTAAAGCAAATTGAGGAGTTCATACATTGGATATATTTTTGATTGTGACATGGTGTAGTGCAGAGGAAATTCCGTGGGAGCTGGCTGATCTTCATTCATTAGAGAAGCACAGTTTTATGATGACACATCTTTAAAACAGTTGGGAAATAAAGATGCAGACACAAAGTTTGTTTCCCAGCATTATCTTTGCTTTGGCTGCAATTGCAGCTCTTGGCAAAACTGAATTTAGGTCAGCAAACGGACTTCTTACAGACCTCATCCACCTGCCCTGCGTGTGGCTGGATTTTGGGATCTGTGAACTTCTTCTCTGCAGATTCTGGAGAATGGCAATGGTGGAAATAAAAGCAATTTTGGGGGTCATGTCTTGGACTACCAGTAAAGGAGTCCTTCACTAGCACTTGATGCAATTCAAATATTAGCAGTTGAGCTGGGTTACCTGTAAGGCACGACAAGGGGATTGGGCTACAACTTATTTTGGAGAAACTCTGAACTCCTCTCTCTTTTCAGAGCCAGAAGTTGTGTTTACAAACAAGGACAAAGTGAAGAAAGAGGTGAAAGCTGCACTCTCAGAAGATGCCACGCTGAGCTGCGAGGTGGCCCAGGAGAAGACCGAGGTGAAGTGGTACAAGGATGGGAAGCTGATCAGCTCCAGCAAGAAGTTCAAGGTGGAGTCAGAGGGCAAATCCCGCCGGCTGGTGGTGGGTCAGGTGGAGAAGAAAGATGCTGGGGAGTACAGCTGTGAGGCTGCTGGCCAGAAACTCACCTTCAAAGTCCACCTCACAGGTGAGAGAATGTGCTGCATCCCTGGTTTAACCTAAAAAATTGAAGGAGGGGAAAGTTATGTGGCTTGGAAAACTCCATTTCAACAGGCGGTGACTGAGCCAGCACGTAAATGGTGTTGCTTCACTCATGGAATTGTCTTCACACTATTAGGTCTGTCTCCCTTCTTTGGAAACTAAAAAAATGCAGTGGATTTGTGTAGCCCAGACTCAGGTCAGGCTGAAGATCATCGGGGAATTTCCCTGGGAACCTGGGAAGATGCACTGATAGCAAATTAAGGATTAAAAAATTGCCAGAGAAATTAAAGGGCACAGCAAATCTGAGCACAGATTATCTCATGGGAACTCCTTCCTCTAATCAACTTCATTATAGAGGAAACCTTTTTATTATGAATGGAAGTACTACAGCTGTTCTCAGAGGCAGCAGATGAGGAAAACCAGATATCACCATGATATCAGTGAGGACAAGTTTTACCCTTGACATCCCTCAGTTGGATCTCGAGGAGTTTAAAGCAAATTGAGGAGTTCATACATTGGATATATTTTTGATTGTGACATGGTGTAGTGCAGAGGAAATTCCATGGGAGCTGGCTGATCTTCATTCGTTAGAGAAGCACAGTTTTATGATGGCACATCTTTAAAACATTTGGGAAATAAAGATGCAGACACAAAGTTTGTTTCCCAGCATTATCTTTGCTTTGGCTGCAATTGCAGCTCTTGGCAAAACTGAATTTAGGTCAGCAAACGGACTTCTTACAGACCTCATCCACCTGCCCTGTGTGTGGCTGGATTTTGGGATCTGTGAACTTCTTCTCTGCAGATTCTGGAGAATGGCAATGGTGGAAATAAAAGCAATTTTGGGGTCATGTCTTGGACTACCAGTAAAGGAGTCCTTCACTAGCACTTGATGCAATTCAAATATTAGCAGTTGAGCTGGGTTACCTGTAAGGCACGACAAGGGGATTGGGCTACAACTTATTTTGGAGAAACTCTGAACTCCTCTCTCTTTTCAGAGCCAGAAGTTGTGTTTACAAACAAGGACAAAGTGAAGAAAGAGGTGAAAGCTGCACTCTCAGAAGATGCCACGCTGAGCTGCGAGGTGGCCCAGGAGAAGACCGAGGTGAAGTGGTACAAGGATGGGAAGCTGATCAGCTCCAGCAAGAAGTTCAAGGTGGAGTCAGAGGGCAAATCCCGTCGGCTGGTGGTGGGTCAGGTGGAGCAGAAGGATGCTGGGGAGTACAGCTGTGAGGCTGCTGGCCAGAAACTCACCTTCAAGATTGATGTCACAGGTAAGAGAAGACTCTTCAGCTCATCGTTCCTATTTCTGGAATCTTTGGAAAAATTAACATTATTTTTTAAAACTTTTCCGCGTTACGCTTCACATTTTTGGCGAGCGTCGTTGGAACGGCCCAGCTCTGATGTAGAAATGGGGCAAAAAGATACAGATACAGTTACCTTTGTGTATTCTGTGTAAAAGATTAGAAATCCTTAAAACAGGGGTCCTTGGAAGCTGCACATCACTGTAGGAAAAGTAGATTGTGCATCTCCTTCCTCGCACGTTGGTGAGATGAGAATAAACCTGCACCACAACCTCTGCTCAGTTCAGGGTCCTGGTGGAGAGTGCCTGGGTGTCTGGCACTGTTTTATTTCCCTTGGAATGGCTCATTTCACCCTGAAGGGAGAACATAGCAGCAAGGCTTGATGTATATATGAAGGTCTATGAGGTGTCAGGTAAAAGGCAAACTGGGGAGAGAAGGTGTTTTTTGGAGACTCATTCCAGACACATCCCCCTGTTGGGGCTGTAGACAGGTAGAATGGATTCAGGTTTACAACTCCCTCACTACCTCCTGATCCTCTCCCAAGTGGTATGAATGATGTGTCTTCTGGAGAGCAAGAGGATTTCACCACTTGGATGTAAGATGAGCTGAGTTTTTCTCCAAGTCGCAGTAAGAGCTCATAACAGAGTCCTGGACGTGTCAGTCCTGCTCTAGCACCTTTCTCTCTTAACAAAATGATCGAAGCAGCAGCAGATGCAGCTACTGAGAACCAAAGCAATCAATTATATGGGGCTATGATGCAGCACAGGACAGCTCCTTCCTCTAAAATTTTTTACATTGCATTAAACTCCAACTCAGATGTGTCCTGCCTATGGACCCTGCCATTCAATCCTTCTGTGAACCATTCAGAGGATCTTCGGGATCACTGCTGTCAGAAAACCAAAACAGACAAAACCCACCACAAAAATCCCACCACAAAATGGTTTGCCTGTTCTTCCAATAGTTTTAGATGTGCATTGTCAAGTCAGGGGTGGTTTTCCACAGGGTTACCTGTAAGGCACGACAAGGGGGATTGGACAACAACTTATTTTGGAGAAACTCTGAACTCCTCTCTCTTTTCAGAGCCAGAAGTTGTGTTTACAAACAAGGACAAAGTGAAGAAAGAGGTGAAAGCTGCACTCTCAGAAGATGCCACGCTGAGCTGCGAGGTGGCCCAGGAGAAGACGGAGGTGAAGTGGTACAAGGATGGGAAGCTGATCAGCTCCAGCAAGAAGTTCAAGGTGGAGTCAGAGGGCAAATCCCGTCGGCTGGTGGTGGGTCAGGTGGAGCAGAAGGATGCTGGGGAGTACAGCTGTGAGGCTGCTGGCCAGAAACTCACCTTCAAGATCCACGTCACAGGTAAGAAATACCTTTCTGAATGACAGGAGAGGACAACAAAGCAGTAACTATGATATCTCTTCCACCATGACCCTGTTGCTGGGCTCTGGGTTTTGTTGCAGCCCGTAGGGTTCACCTGATGTTCTGCACCTCATTGCCTGGATTTGTGGAAGTGGGAACATTTGGCTTTAGATGGCACAAAGGCCTATCTCTTTCTTACTTGGGCTATATAATAATAGTTGCAGATATAAATATAATAATCAAAATATTATTTAACAACAATAATCAACATATATTCACGAACCTGCATTCCCGGGATCCCAAAGAGTGATTCTTTGTACAGTGACCCCCTTGAAAGGACAGAATCATTCAAAAATCCTCTGTTTATTAGACTCCCCATCCCATTTCCGAAAACTGAGAGCTGGAATAAATTTTTCCATTTGCATTTTCAGCAGCAGTACGTCTCAAGATGGGTTGAAAACAGAATTTTTCTGGTGAATTCGGGTTGCTGTGTGCTTGAGACCCCAGCCTTTTGGGATGCCTTACTAATTCTGCCAGGTGCCAAATGCCCCTTTGCTGTGAAAGATTCCAAGAAATTGGTCTTTTGGAACAGGATTCAGGTGGTGCCCAAACTGCTTTAAGCACGTGATGTTAAAGGAAGTTTTGTTGTTGCAACAACCTCGGGGACCTTGCCAACCATGATCCTGAGCCCTGGAGGGAGATCATGTTCCCTTTGTCTCATTGACAGTCACGTTTGTGGCAGTGGAAGAGGCCGAGAAGAGTCTGTTCCAGAAGCCCATCGTTATTTATTGTGTCCTAGATCTCAAGAGAAAGGAATTTGGGGGGTTTTGATGACATGCAGGACAGGTGTTTTGGGGAATGTTTGAGTCAAATATTTTTTTTTTCATGGTGATTTGCAACCACAGGGGTGATGTCAATGATATTTCAATCCTTTCCATTCCTAGGCTCTTAATTCCCAATTTCCACGTGGCAACTCAGTCCCACAGGAGGGTTGATACTGCCCAGTGACAGTAATTGGTTTTGGCAAGCGACAACCCAAATATTTTCTAAAACCTGCCTACAGAAGCCCACAAGATCAACCTCATTTTAGTCCCTCAATCATAAATAATCAATCATTTCCTTCTTTTTCTATGCCCAGAGCCCAAACCTGCATTTATAAACCAGGAAAAGGTCCAGAAGGAGGTGAAGGCTGTGCTGACAGAAAGTGCCTCCCTCGTGTGCGAGGTAGCCCAGGATGCAACAGAAGTGAAGTGGTTCAAGGATGGGAGACTTCTGGTTCCCTCCAGGAAATTCAAAATAGAGACCGTGGGCAAAACCCGGCGCCTGGTCATAGAGCAGCTGGAGAAGAAGGATGCTGGGGAATACATCTGTGAGGCTGCAGGCCAGAAGATGACATTCAAGCTGGAACCAACTGGTGGGTGCTCATTTTGTGGTGCTGAGCACCAGTCTGTGAGGAGAGCTGGATATTCCCTACCCAGCAGCCGTGGTGCAGCCACCATCTCCCCTGGAGCAGGGAAATTGATTCCCCCACAGGGAAATTAATTTTCAATTTAGCAGTGCAGAGGTGGGAAATGTGGACTTATTTTTGGTGTGTGCCCCAAAAATGCCCAGTTTTGTGGCAAAGTGTTGTACAAGATGGAGAAGAAACCAAGAGCAAGGTACTGAAATCACAGAATGGTTTGGACTGGAAAGAACATCAAGGATCATTTAGTTCCAACCCTCCTGTCAGTGAAGCAAATGGAAAACAGGCCTTGAATTCAGGCTTAGCATATTAATATTCCTTATTAACTTGACCTAAAATCCTAAAAATGGGAGAGGGAAGAATTATACAGGTTATTTACTTTTTAGAAAGAAGCTTTTGGGCAGCAGATAAAATACTTACATTTGCATTTCCTTTCTCTGCTTCTCTTCTAAGCAGAAGCTCTGAGTTAACCAAGAGATCATTTTGTTTCTTCCCACTCAGCAAAAGATGATACCAGCCACAAATATTCACCCATATTCCCTGGATTGTTGCAGGTTGGGGATGAGCTGGTGTTGAGTCAGGAAAGAGAGAGCAACAGAAAATTGCTGTGTTAAGAATTTGGTTATCTGAGTTCTTAATTTTCCTGTTCTGACGTCTTCCTTAGAACCAAAGGCTAAATTTGAAAAGAAAGTTGTCCAGAAAGAGCCTCTCATTGTCCAAGAACACGAAAGTATCACACTGACAACCTCAGTGACGCCCGAAACCGCTGCAGTGAAGTGGCTCAAGGACGGAACAGAAATCAAGGCGAGCAAGAAATGTGTGATCAAGAGCGAGGGGGCGTCCAGGACCCTGGTGGTGAACCTGGCTGAGAGCACAGACACTGCTGTCTACACCTGCCAGACCAAGGATGACAAGCAGGAATTCAAAGTGCAGGTGAAAGGTGAGCAGGGAGCAGAGCACAGGTTGTGTCCTGACCCGACAGCGGCACTTCCCTCATGGTGGGATGGAGGGGAAGTCCAAACCTATCCCTAAAGCTGTTCCAACCTCAGGGCTTGTTGCACCTGCTCTGGATGTCCCACCATGGGCCAGCAAGGATCTCCTCTTTCCAAATACCCAGTTTTTGTCCTCTGCTTGCCTGTTGGGGACAAGGAAGCTTTTCCTGATGTCTACTCCCCTTCTGTTTCTGTCTCCTCATCACCCCGGTAGCTGGGACATGACAGACACTCAGCTCTTCCCCTCTGTGCTCACAGGAAAAGCTGGTGAGGGTGTAGAGGGATGCTGTGTGAGGAAAAAAATTGGTGATTTAGTCACACAGGGAAACAATTCATGGGATGGAGCACCTGGGATGCTGTTCCCTGCTCAAGGCTGTAAATTGGCAAGCAGGATGAAGTAGAGCTGGTCCACAGATGGAGATGAGAGGGGTGATGTCCCAGAGCAAAGCCCTGCTCCTTTCTCTTCAGACACTCCTCCTGGAGATGTCTGGAGCTGAGATGCACTCCCTCAGCTCCCTGAGGAGTCATTCCAACCTCTTGAAATGTCTCTTTGGGATGAGAGAAATCACACCCTGGATTTCTCCGACACCACTGGCTGTGTCTGCAGTGGAGGAAGAGACAAAGGTGGCTGGGACTTATATATCCATGCAGATTTTAGCATTTAGTCAGGAAAAGCAGGCTCTGCTGTAAAAACACCTCATGGTCTCATCAGGTAAAAGATGAGAAAGAAAGGAAGGCGATACCCAACAGTGTTTGAAGACATTGTTCTTGCTTTACAGAATGATGGTGATATGAAAATACCATGTCAAAGGAATCTCACTGAATTTCCACTTTCCAGATTTGTTTCTCTGTCTTTGATCCCCAAATATGTTCTAGGGCAACTTTGTTTGTTTGATTGTTTGGTTGCCAAAGCTGTCCAGAAGCAGTTCCTCCAAACAAAGCTTCTTATCTTTTCCTTTCTCAACGCTTTCCCTTCTCCTGGATCCCAGAAGTCCCAGTGAAGTTTGCCAAGAAGCTGGAAGCTGTCAAAGCCGAGATTGGGGGCAGTGTCACCCTGAGCTGTGAGCTGAGCCACCCCAGGGGGAAGGTGACCTGGCGCAGGAACGGGGTCGAGATCAAGCCCAGCAAACGTTTCCAGATGCACGAGGAGGGGCTCAAACGGACCCTGACAATAACGGGGATCCGGGCTGAGGATGAGGGGGAGTATTCCTGTGAGTCCAGAGACGACAAGAGCAGCGTTACCATCACCCCCAAAGGTACATCCCTAGTGGTGACAGTGTTGGAGTTCTGTCCTCAGCCATTACGACTCTGCAAAGCAGAATTTGTTCGTGTGTCTGTGTTGCCTCATGTGTTGAGAGCAAAATACAAACCTCCCTTTTCCTCTCAGTGTCACTGGAACATCTGTTTGTGGAAAACAATGATTTGGAGACCTGTGGAGCTCGGATCTCTTAACATTGACCCCCATGTTGCATTTGAGGCTAGAATTCAGTATCCCAAATCTATGATTTTCTTTTTTTTTCCCCCTCCCTCTTTGTTTGCCTCTGACTTCAGGCCTCTTTATATACAATACTTACTCAGACATGAGAAATATCCAAAGATGACCTATTATTGTGATCACTTACTGTGAGTAATGAAGGTGAACAGTGACAGGACCTGAGGGGAATAACCTGGAGTTGTGTCAGGGCAGGGTTAGGTTGGATTTCAGGAACAGGTTCTTCACCCAGAGGGTGGTTGGCACTGAACAGGCTCCCCAGGGTGGTGGGCACAGCCCCAAGGGTGCCAGAGCTCCAGGAGCGTTCTGGATGATCCTCTGGGGCACAGGGTGTGACTCTTGGGGATGGTCCTGTGCAGGGCCAGGATTTGGACTCAGTGACCCTTGTGAGTCCCTTCCAACTCACCATATCCTGTGATCCTGTGGGATATTAATGCTTCCAACAAAATAAAAGATTTTGGCTCTTTGAAGGTGCTCATGCCACGTCTCGAGGACAGGCTCTAAACATTTTGTTCCTACCCACCAGCTCCCAGAGTGGTGAAATTTGTGACCGGCCTCAACAGCGTGGTGTCTGAGGAGGGAAAAGAGGCCGTGTTCAAGTGCACCGTCTCTCCCGGCGACGCCGTGGTCACCTGGCTCAGGAACGGTGTCAAGGTTGAAGCCAGCAAGAAGTACGTGATCTCTCAGAAGGACACCAACCACAGCCTCACCATCACTGACCTCACGCTGGAAGACGCGGCTGAAATCTGCGCCTGTGCCGAGGGGGTGGAAAGCACAGCCAACCTCAGAGTCCGGGGTAAGAGCTGGTCGTGCTCCTTTCTGCAGGGTGCCCTGCCCGTGGGGTTGGCAATAGATGATGCCTCCCACCCCAAACCATTCTGTGATGATGATTCTACAGTGTTGTTTTATAATAACGTGTAGTAGGAATATTCTGCCTTTGCGTCATTAAATAGGGGTGCTCAGAATGCTTTGGGACTGGAGGCATATGAGCCTCCACTCTAATTTTCCTCTGAAAACCCATTTTCTGGATTATCTGCTTTCTCACTAAAATTTCCCCTCCTTTGGCAGAGGCCTCGATCTCGTTCAAGAAGAAACTGGAGCCCAGAACAGTTGAGGAGAGGGAGGCAGTGACCTTGGAGGTGGAGCTGACCAAGCCTGCAGAGGTGAAGTGGATGAGGAACAGCATCGTGCTGAAGCCCAGCGACAAGATAGAGATCAAGGCTGAGGGAACAAAGCACACCTTGGTGGTGAAGGACATCTCCTTTGCAGACAGGGGCTTCTACTGCTGTGAGAGCCCTGATGACAAGACCCAAGCCAAGATCAACGTGGAAAGTAAGTTCAGTGATCTCCAGTTCTGTAAATACCCTGGACAGGGTCTGGAGGTGGATTCTGGTCTCTGCCATTATCATGGAGATACAGGGACACAACCATGGGCTTGGCCACCAGTCACATGAGCAAGTGGAGGTGAAAGAAAGGGCAGCAAACAGAGAATGTCTGCCTGGTTCCTGTTGCCTCCATCTCATCCCACCAGCTTTCAGTCATTCTGTTGACCATAAAGCTTCTTCCTGATTCTTCTGTTTCCTCTGAAATTTCTCACTCTGGTGGGCTCTGTGTTTTTCCTTTGTATGTTTTTTTTTTTTTAGCAAACCATTCCCTCTTCAGCCATTCATTGTCCTAATTTTCCTCTGCAAACAACCTCTTCCAGAATGTCTCTTTCTGTTCAGTCAGGGTCAGAAAAACTCCAAGAGCAGATCTGAGGGTTTTGCTCTTTCAGGTGATTTCATGGTGCCTCATCTGTAGCTCTGTGTTTCTGTCCTTTTTCCTACATCCCTTTGTCATGATTGTCACAGGACAGATGAAGGCAGGATTTCAGGGCAGCCCACCTCAGTCATGTTTGCATTCATATCCTGGCTGAATTATTGGATTATCTCTACAAAACATGCACTAGGAAGGTTGAAATATTCCCAGGAGACCCTCTGAGAACTGAAGGTTCTTGTGGATAACTCATGGCTTTTTAGAGGGTTGGGTTAGTTGTTTGTGTTTTTTTTTTATTGGTATTTTTGGTGGTTTGTGTTTTTAATTGGTATTGTGTTTTTAAATTATTTTTATTATTTTTATTTTTATTATTTTTATTATTTATCATTTATTTATATTATTTATATATTATTTATTATTATACATTTTATTATTTTGTGTGGTATTGTGTGGTAGTTAGTACATTGGTATTTTTGGTGGTTAGTGTTTTTATTATTTTTTGGTGGTTTGTTTTGGTGTGTTCTTGATTGTTTTGGTTGTTTTATTTTTATTGTTTTTGTTATTTATCCTTTGTTGTGTGCATTTTGTTGTTTTTTATTATTGGTAGTTAATTTTTTTTATTGGTATTTTTGATGGTTTGGGGGTTTTTTTGTTTGGTTGGTTTGGGGTTTTTTTTTGGTTTCTTTATTTTTTTTTAATTAGCAACTTAATTACTTTTAGTGGTGATACAAGTTTAAATACTAAATCCATTTTACTGGCTGATAGGACATGGATGTCTTGTCACAAGAACAGGTAATATCCACCCAAAATAAGGGTGCTTTGTACCCCAAGCTGTGAGGTGTCAGCGCACTTTGCACCATATCATGAATTTTTTTTTCCCTTTCACTAAAAGCTTTTCTCTCCCCCTGCTACTTCTTTCCATTGTTAAATCCTGGTTGGAGAACTGCACAATATTGTCATGGATTAATTATATTTGTTTTTTCACTAAAAAATCAGTGGACCTTGATAGAAAAGGAGGAAGTTTTCCCTTTTCTGTGATATTTGGTTGACCCACTGAAAACATCCATTTTAAAAACAGCAGCCATGTGTGGTCGTGGGCAGGCTTTATTTCCTGTGAAAGTGGTTGTTTAATTGGCAGATACCAATTAATTGTCAAGTACCTGCATGAGGGACAGGAAAATAATCCATTTTGGAAATCCTTGGGGTATTTCATGGTTGTCACCGTGAGATCTCCAATTTTCCCACGGTGTTTTCCAGTGAGGCAGATCAAGCTGGTGAAAGGCCTTCAGCCCCTGCAGGTTGCTGAGAAAGGGACTGTCACCTTCGAGGTGGAGGTGTCACACGAGGACGTGGAGGGGACCTGGCAGAGGGACGGAGTTCGGCTGAAACCCTCACCCAACGTCAGCTTCGGCGTCCTGGGCAAGAAGCACTCCCTGACTCTCTCCTCGGTGGCCCTTGAGGATGCAGGAGTCATCTCCTTCAAGGCAGAAGGCATCAGTTCATCAGGGAAACTCACTGTGACAGGTACACTGACCCAAAAGGCTCTGCTTGGTGTGGACATACTTGTCTTCCCCTGACCTGGAGAGCAAACTTTGAGAGCTCAACAGGCTGTCCCTGGAACTGCAAGGGGTGTTAAGCACTGGACCACCATCAGTGACATACCCTTGTATCATCAGCATTATTGCAGCATCATTGCCCACAGAACAACTCGTGATAAAGTGCCCAAAACGTGATGATTTTTTTTGGCACAGGTTTTATTGTGAAAGCCAGGCCCTGCCTACCCATTAGTGCTTGTGTCAGATGGTCCTGCAAACCTCATTCCCCACTCATTGGACCTTCTCTGTGGTCTTTTTTTTTCTCAGAACTGCCTGTGAGAATCAGCAAACCTCTGGTGGATGTCAGTGTGACTCAGAAACTCAAGGCTGTGTTCGAGTGTGAGCTGTCCAGGCCCAATGTGAACGTGAAGTGGTTCAAGGTACAGCACTAATGGATGTTGATATTTTAATTCCTGACTCCTCTGGAAGGGAATGAGAGCCTTTCATTGCACTTCCAGGGGATGTGAGTCTGAGCCTTTGCAATGCAGCTCTTGGCACTGCCCTCTTGTCCTGATGTTTATTTGCTCTCCCAGTTTATCATTGTTTTTATTTACTCTCCGTGTTTATTGGGTTGAAAGTTAAACTTCTTTATTCTTGTACAAAATGTGAGTGCTGCTGTTATAACAAAGCAGTTCTGTGCTTTACTTCATGCCTAGCAGTTCTCACCCAGGATTTACAAGGCCTTTTGGAACTGTGATTGAAGGGAAGCCTCAATTTCCTTTGTCAGTGAGAGTCCAGTTCCCTTTCCCTTGACAGTCATTCTGGGGTCAGCTCTTGCATTTCATGTACCTTCCTTGAGCTCAGCTGACACTTTCCTTAATTTGGGATAACAACAATCCTTCAAGGCAATCATAGAATCACAGAAGAGTTTGGGTTGGAAAGGATCCTTAAAAGTCATCCGAGTTTCAACCCCCCTGCAATGAACAGGGACGTGTTCAGCCAGATCAGGCTGCTCAGAGCCCTGTTCAACCTGACCTTTAATTTTTCCAGGAATGGGACATCCACCACCTCTCTGGTCCCTCACCACCCTCATTGTAAAAAACTTCTTTCTGATACCTAGTCTAGGTCGACCCTCTTTTAGTTTAAGACCATTTGTGTTTGAAGGGGCTTACTGCCAAACCCTGTGCAGTGTTTTAAGCCTTCAGACAGATGTCTGAGACCATCAGAAAGTTATCTGAGTTCTTCAACCACTCCAACTTGCTGAAAGCTTTTCCCCATGCTGATGTTTCAGCACATGTTCCATTAGGTCCAAGGAGGCAGGTGAACAGAGCACAGCTCTGAATGCCTGTTTTGCTCACTGCAGATGTGCAGGAGCTGACGGTGATCTGGCTTGGCCTTTTCCCCTTCTAGGATGGGAAGGAGATCCGGCAAAGTCAGAACGTGGGGATCGTTTCCCAGGGAAATAAGAGAAGCCTCATAATTCACAAGTGTGAATATGAAGACCAGGGAACCTACAGCTGTCAAGCAGCTGAAGACAAGACATCAGCTACTCTGAAGGTTCAAGGTATGTTTGGCTGAAGTAGGAAATTACATTTACTGCATTATTTTTTGGCCACCCAGCAGGGAAATTCTTTGTGGACAGTTTGTGTATTTCACAATTGCTCATTTTAGTTAAGTTTCTCTTCCTAGTGAGAAAGTGCTGGCAGAGCTGTCCTGTGCTTGCATTATCATTCCAGTAAAACATATTCAGTTTTCCGTTTATCATAAGTCATTTCTATTCTCTGGCACTTGAATGGTGTTTCTGGATTGGCAAATTAACAAATCCTGGACAGCCTGGCACAAAGCAGGGATTCAGTGGCTGGTGCTGACGTGGTTTGGTTTATCTTCTGCCCCCCATCTTGTCACAGGGGGGACTTCCCATGAACAGGGACTGGACAAACTTTGGGTATGAGCTAAAGAGATGCCCTAATTTCTAGCTTGTAAATGCTGAAGAGATGTTTTTTATTTCTGCCTGCACCTCTCCTTTACTCTCCAGGCAGCTTTTCCCTCCGTGCGTTGCACTGAGCAGCTGCTCAAGCACCAGGAGCGTTTGGTCACCGGGCTCTGAACCACCAGAGATAAGCTGGTACTCAGGGCAAGTTGCTCAACAGACAGGTTTGCTGTGCCCTGGCAGATGTTATTTCCCAGAGGGACATCTGAAAAACAGAGCTTGCTGAAAGATAGAGCATCTTTCTTATTGCTTACTAGCTGCTGTCCTCATGTGGCCGTTTGGGTTTAGCAATGTCTTCTCAAACATGTGCTCTGTTGAACTCCCCCTTTTCTCCCTGATTTTGTAATTGGGGAGGGCTGTTGTTTGCGTTCCTCTGCCCCTGAGCCCTGAGGCTGATCCAAGGGGTATCAAGGCCTTCCCTTTCAAAAGGAAAGGGCTGCAACAGCATAGAAATACGGATCAGTTCTGACAAAATGAGTGCCGAGCTGCAAAGTTAAAGAGGATCATACTGAGTTCAGAAGACTCTGCAGAAAAGGCTTTTCGTAGGTAGAACAGGGGAGCATGACGAGGAGCACATGAATGAGACAGATTTATAGTGACCCTCAAAACCGTAGGCTTGTGTTTAGCTTTCCTTGGCAGATTTTCTTGCATTAGTATGTTTAGTTTCTTTAAAAACCTGTATGAAGTTTCAGCACCCACAAAATGCTTTTGCAGTGAGCTCCAGTGTAGCTGGTAATTCTACCTGCCAGCTCAGACATAAAATATATTCACTATCTTGAGGAGAGAACTCCCCAGGAAGGGAGGCTGGGCTAGAATAAAACACAGTCCCATTTTTTTCTCTGCAGTTGTGCAGAAGGTAAACACTGCACTCTCGGTTATGGGGAAACCCCGAATAAATATTTGCCTCTTTGATTTCACAGCTCGAGATATCAAGATTGTAAAGCCACTGGAAGATGTGGAAGTGAATGAATATGAGAGTGCATCCTTTGTCTGCGAGATTTCACATGATGAGGTCGAAACCCAGTGGTACAAAAATGACAACAAGCTGAAGACTTCCGACAATATCAAAATGCGACAGGACGGTAGGATGGAAAAGAGGGATCTCCTGCTTGAGTTGGGGGTGTGTTGGGATGGGAGACCAGAAAAAAGGGTGGGACCTCCAAGATCAGGTTAAGAAGGTTCAGCAGAGAGTCCTGCTTTGGTTTTGGGGCTGTGCAGCTGTGCCGGGATAGTGTTGTGGTTGGGAACTTAAATAAGGGCAGATTTGGTGTCGCCCCAAATGCCAGCAATGGGTAGGAATTTGCATCATCAGGCAGCAGGTGGGATTCTTCTGTTCCAAGCACTTTCCCAATGGTGTGAGGGCCACGTTCAGCCAGCCTTTGGAGGAGTTGAGCTTGGTACAGGCACACAGGGGAGTGGTCGGCCTTGCTGCCCTGAGAGCAGGCGGTGCTGAGCTCAGACCAGCTGGGGGACGCTCAGCCCGGCAGGGCTCCTTGGAGGGTGAAGCTGTTTGCTCCAGGGAAGCTGAGCAGTGTCTGGCTGTGTGTCTGTCCTCAGGGAAGACCTACTCGCTGACCTACGCCCGTGTCCACGTGGAGGACGCGGCAGAGATCAAATTTGTGGCAGAGAAGGCGGAATCTCGCGCTCAGCTGACTGTGAAAGGTAATGATGGTTTTCACACCACTGCTCCTGCTCTCACACGTTACAAACCAACCAACCTCCCTGGGAAGGAAGTTAAACAACACCTCCAGCTCCCAGGGAAAGGCAAACTCCTGTATTACTGCCCATCTGATATCAGCCTGGGACTTTGCTTCGGCTAAATAAGAGTTAATTTTCTCAGAAGGCTGGTTTGGTGCCTTTTAGACATTAAAAGCTGCGTGTGAAATTTGAGGGACAAAAAGGTGTAGCTCGGCTTTCTCCAGCATTATCATTTTCTGGTGTATGTTAAAAAAAGAAAACAACATTTTGTGTGTGTATGTTTAATTAAAACAACGTGGTAGAGAAGACATTTTGAGTTAACCCACTGATGAGGAGCTCAGGAAATAGGAGATGAGTCCCTGGCTTTGCCACAGCGCTGCTGTGTAGAATGCTGAGAAAATTACCTTTATCTCTGCAGTTCAACCGCTCAAGTGGTAAAACAGGGAGGAAAAACTTCCCTTTAATCAGCTCTTTACTTGCTGTGTGTTAGATGAGTGCTCAGCATAGTGGGGATCCCTGTCAAATAACTGCCTGTAGAAGAAATACTCCTAATGAGTTTTTAATTGGCACCTTTCACAGAAACCGTGCTGACAACTCCATTTTTCTTTTTTTTCTTTTAAACTTTTTTTTTTTTTAGAGCTGCCTGTAAAAATAGTGAAGCCTCTGAGAGACAAGATCGCCCTTGAGAAGCACCGGGGGGTCCTGGAGTGCCAAGTGTCTCGCGCCAACGCCAAGGTCCGGTGGTTCAAAAGGGGCGTGGAAATTCACCCCAGCGACAAATACGAGATCGTGAGCGAGGGCGTCTACAGGAAACTCATCATCAACGACGCCGACTACGAGGATGAGGACACGTACACCTGCGACGCCTTCGACGACAGAAGCAGCGCTAATTTCTTTGTTGAAGGTAGAGAACCCCCTTTCCGCCTCTGGAAGGAGGATCGGCTGATTTACTTTGGTGTTTGGAAACGCGATGCCACAGAAAAAAAAGTGTTTTAATTCGATGCTGATTTATCCTTAAGTCCACTGGTGTCGAACCCTTTTAGGATTAACAGCGCAGGAACGTCCTGAAAAATTAATGTACGGTTTATACTCCTAAGGAAAGTGGTGAAATTCTTGTCCCAGAGAAGTTTGTCAAGCGTATTGGAGAAAGTAATTTTTTCAGGAAAATGTTGCATTTCCTTATATCAACATCTGCATTTCAAATGACTTTTTTTTGGATTTTGTAGTGCCACAAGTTTGATACCAGGATAGAAAGGTGGCTTTGGATACAGGGCTGGGAATCAGGAGATGGGGATTCCCAAAGCAGTGGTTGCAGTCTCATTGTCTGACCTGTAACCAGATAGACACAGTTGTTTTTATATTAAAAATATATATATATAGTTGTTTTTATACACACAAAAAGGACATTTTAAGGCCTTTTGAGATAATAAGTTCAGTATTGGAGAGGAGGAACGGTGTCACGAGTGTTCAGGTTGATAATGGAATAGTTCTTCCATGGCTCCTAAATCCCTGCTCTCTCGTTCCACGCAGAGCAAGCCATTAATATCGTGAAGGAGTTGTGTGACGAGGATGTGACTGAGCCTGAGGAAGCCAATTTTGAATGCGAGACATCCATTCCCTCCGTGAAACCCGCCAAGTGGCTTCTACGGGGAGAAGCTTTGCAGCCTGGCAGGAACTTCATCATGCAGCAGGAAGGCACCATCCACAGGCTGACAATAGTGAAAACCAGTGCTGATATGACAGGAACCATCCAGTTCTCCATTGGCAAATCAAAATCCACAGCAAACCTGCTCGTCAGAGGTACTGTGACGTGTCGTGGCTTGGATCAGAGCAAAGATCAGACCCTGGAAAGCAGTTTGTCATGCACTCTGTCTAATGTGCAGTGCCCACTGGGTTCTTGGAAATGTGTGTGTACCTGGAAGATCTGCTTAGCTCCCAGTTGCAGTCTGCTGGGAGCAGTGTTGGATGCACTGAATGAGCCAGCAATGTCTTAGGAAGGGAATCTGGTTAAATGACTTCAGTCTCTGTGGTATTCAGACCTGTTAGATTAAAATCTATCAAGCTAAAACTGGGGTTTGATTTACTTTTGTCCTCTTGACTTTACCAAAGAGGACAAAACAGATGAAATTTGCCAGGAGAGCTTATTTTGTCCCATTTCTGAACTAGACAAGTTTGATAGCTCATTTACTTAATTGATGTTGTCATTGACTTGATCCAGGACAAAGCTTCAAGGCTTTTTATCCTCTGCTGTCACCATGGTAAATATGTCCAATCACATCCTGAAGTCCTTGTTTTGTCTTCAATTTGCTCTTACTTGAATAAAAACTTCAATGAGAGAGCAATTCTGTAGGCACTGAACCAGAAGTGGGCCATGAATTTGGTGGTTGATGTATGATATTATCTTATAGAATGAAATTTATAGGATCTGTAGATCATGGTGATGATGCGAGCTTCAAAGCACATCAGCTCTACGAGACACCTGAGCAGTTCATAAACCAGCTGTGAACATCATACATGAGATTAATCAGCACGAAACAGAGTTTAGAAACCTCCTTTTTCTCCAGGCTGACCCTCTGTTCTTTCCCAACCCCACAGATTCCCACGTACAGATCACCAGGAAGCTGGAGGACAAGACCGTCCTGGAGAAACACTCGGCCGTCCTCTCCTGTGACTTCAGGCCCTCTCCTAAGATTGTCAAGTGGTTCAAGGACCACGTGCTCATCGAGCCCTCTGAGAAGTACAAGATCAAGCGGGAGCAATACTCAGCAGAGCTCAAGATCTTGAAGGTGAAGCCTGAAGACGCCGGAATGTACAAGTGCCGGGCTGGGAACGCAGAGACCAGGGCCACGCTCACCGTCGAAGGTACGAGAGGTTTCCAGCAGCAGGGCTGGCCTGGTGCACGCCTTTAGGGTTCAGTGTTTCACTCTGGGTTCCTCTTCTCGTGGAGGGATGGATTCCCACATTTATCTTCTGATTTTTGTGTAAGTGCAATGCCTTCAGTGAGCTGACATTCCGTGGTACTGAAATCCAGGCCTTGCCATAAGCTCAGTGATGCACGTGGGAAGCACCAGCTGGGTAAGGCAGAAACTAATGCTTGTCAAGGCTCATTATTTTCCATTTCATCAGAGGAATTAGACCTCTGGTGCTTCTAACAAAAAGTGTTCTCTATGTTAAACTGGTACAGGCCATTGATTCCGGTGGTCTTGGCTGTGGTTTTCAATTCCTGACCACTGTGTCAGCTTTATGTATAAAAATACTATACATTTTTATATCTGCTAGAGATGCATTTTATAGCTGCTATTTTATATCTGAACAAATTTGTTATTCATAATGATGTTCTCCCTCGTCTGGGTGGGGAACTGTGTTTAGCCAGTTCTTCCCCTCTGGTGAAAATGTAAGAAAAGATGTTCACTGTGTCCCTTTTCAACAAGACTTGGAGATGAGCCACAGAATCATTCACAAAAGTCCAGGGAGCACCTCTTGGTTACAGTTTGGCCTTGCAGAGGTTCTTCCCTAAATGTGTTGTCAAACACTGAAATGGGCTTCCCAGGGCAGTGGTGGAGTCACCAACCCTGGAGGGATTTAAAAGATTCCTTGAGGAACATGGTTTAGTGGTGGCCTTGGCAGTGCTGAGTTAACAGCTGGGCTCGATGATCTTACAGGTCTTTTCCAACCTTAATGATTTTGTGGTTCTGTTCTATCTGAACAACAGAATTACTTAAAACTCCAAACCCCTCCTCTGAGCTGCCTAATCCTTGAGAAACAGCATTCCCTGAGTGGAGAAACTGCAAAGAGAAAACTCTGGCCAAGGACTGGGAAAGAAAAGAATCAAACTCGTTGTTTCTTAATCCTGAGCAAGCTGCTTAATCTCTTTATACTTTTCCTTTGTGGCCAAAATCATTGCCTTCATCTTGCCCTGTGTCACAGTTTCACTGGAGGAGAGTCAAGGACAATTTAATCATAATGTGTTTGTGTGTGGGCAGTGACTGACACACAGGGGTTGGAGATCTGTTGGACATTTAGACATCTCTGTAACAACACTTTAGAAAGAATGACTTATTTTTAAATTAAAAAAAAAAGAGGAAAGAAAAAAAAGAAAATCTGATTTATGTATAAAAAGAGAGCTGAAGGTTCTGGACAATATAGTATTTTTCATGGATTTTTTTTTTTTGTTGGAGCAAATGCAGAACCAAGTAGAGGAGATGAGTTGATGCACGGTGTGAAGGAAACCAGCCTAAATCATCTGATAAACCCTAAACACTATGAAACTGTTAGTGGTAACATCTGACCTATGATAATGGTGGTGATGGTGCCCCTTGGTCTCCCACAGCCCGGAACGTGGAAGTCCTCAAACACCTGCAGGACGTGGAAATCGAGGAGGACAGCTCTGCCGTGTTCTCCTGCGAGCTGTCCCACGACGACGAGGACGTGGAGTGGTTCCTCAACGGCACCCTCCTCTACACCAACAACTTCAACGACATCAAGAACGTGGGCAAGGTCTACACGCTGACCATGAAGCAGGTGAAGCCCGAGGACGCTGGCACGGTGACAATGAAGTCAGACAAGGTGTCAGAGAGCGTGAGGCTGAAGGTCATAGGTGGGTCGTGATCACACTCCTCCTGAACGCAAATAAGAGATGCCAGTGAGATATTATTCACCATATCCATGCAGCCACCCTGCTTAAAAGCTGCATCCCTCCAGGGCTGAGTGAAAGGCGTGGAGGGGCTTTCTTCCAGTGCCAGTTTCTACTGTGATTGGTGATTTTTCTAAGGAAAATTGTTTTGATGTCTTGCCAAAACTTTCCATAGATCTTTATCATCCTTTCACTTATCAGGACAATCTCAAGAGCAATCTTCTGTGCTTGTAGATCTCTTCAATAGTATATAGTTGACAAACTATTGTTTCCAAAGATTACTTAATCTGTCTTTCAATATTTGATGGCAGCTGGAAGTGTTTCAGCTTGGATATCCTGGTTGTTCTCTGTTTTTCCTGTTAACCCCCAGAGAAACCTGCTGTCTTCATGAAAGCCTTGGACGACGTTTTCGGTGAGGAGCGAGGTGTGATTAAACTGGAATGCGAAGTCTCCAAAGAGAAGGTCAAACCTGTCTGGAAAAAGGATGGTGTGAAGATCCCTTCTAGTAACAAGTACGAGGAGATACAGTCTGGGAAGACCCTGTGCCTCCTTATCCATGACCTTGAAAAGGCAGATGCAGGTTTATACACCTGTGACATTGGCACTGATGTTGCCAAGTCAAAGGTCAGCGTTCAGGGTAAGTATTGTAGGCAATGGCCAGTCAAAGAGTGCTGGAAATATGGGTGGGATTGCTAACTTGGTCTCACATCTTCTCCTGCCTAATCCTCACGTAACACTGCAATGTTTGAATGATCCCTGTCACTCATTAAGTATATCTGGTGTTTCAGTGTAAATCAGGTGTCAAGAATATAGTGATAATGTTTCCTTCTTGAACATCGATATGGTGCAGAAATCCTCCCAGAAGAGGAAATAACTTCTCAGAAAAAATCCCAACTAACAACAGAAAAAAACCCCACAAAACCCCCTCCAAGCAGCCTGTGCTTCTTCTTTTAATTCAAAATCCATTGCAGGAACATAAAAGTGGGACAACACTATCTGTTGAAGAACCCAGCAATTCCTCCTGCCCTCTAATCCTTGTGTTTGCCTGAAGGAAAAAGAATTGTTCATGGCCTCCAAACCCACATTGATAATGAGAAAAAAAAATCTGAGTTTTTCTGATTTGAACACGGGGAGTAACAAGTTAAAAAATCCAAACATCTCATTTCTCGTGTTAACAATGGAGAAGAACCTCACACGTCATCCCCAGAGGCTTCTTTTCTGACATCTCTTCTCCCTTGTACTGCTTTGGATGTTGATTCTTCATTCAGTCCTTCCAGAGCAGAGCCAGGAGATTCACATGTCCCTTTCTCCATAACTTTGTGCTGCTTCTGGGTGGATAATACCCGAGAAATCCTTCCCACGTCACAGGCATCTGTAAGGAGCGTAGCCTTGTCCTGCCAGTCCAGCAGATAAACCACTCCTATGAGTTAAAAACATCACTGCTCCAAACTACCCTAAACCCCTTCTCCCCTTGTGCCAACCTGCACTCTCGTCCTGCAGAACTGAACATCGGCATCACCAAGCGGCTGAAGAACACCGAAATCCAGCTGGGGGAGGACTGCACTTTCGAGTGCATTCTGTCCCACGAGAGCATCGATGACTTCAGCTGGACGCTGAACGGGAGGAAAGTGGGGAGTGGGGGGAGGTTCAAAGCCTCCAACGCGGGTCGGAAGTACACCCTGAGCATCCAAAGTGTGACCCCTGACGATGTGGGCGAGGTCGTTTTCACTGCCCGTGGCCTGACCTCCAGGGCTTCTCTGGCTGTGAAAGGTAATGACATCAGGGAGGTTCTGGGGGTTGATTGCCTGGGTGTGTTTGCATAAGGTTTGTCAGCAAGCACTTGTTGTGATCCGAGTAAATACCGACCTTCCCCGCGAGCCTTGAAGAAATGAGGTTTTTCCTTAAAATCAAGTGAAAGGCTGAAGCTTTTAATAGATATTTGAGAACTGACTGCACTGGGTAGTGTGTACAGGTAGTTACAACCCAGACTGTCTTCCACAATCACCCAAGGCTCCCTGGGTGGTCAATGGAGAGAAGAAATAGGTGGTTTTCAGACATAGTTCAGAACCTGCAATTAGTCCTTTTTCATAGAATCAGGGAATCCCAGAATGGTTTGGGTTGGAAGGGACATGAAAGATCACCCAGTCCCACCCCTACCATGGGCAGGGACACCTCCCACTAGCCCAGGTTGTTCCAAGCCCCATCCAGCCTGGCCTTGGACACTTCCAGGGATGGGGCAGCCTCAGCTTCTCTGGGCAACCTGTGCCAGGGTGGGGCTTGGAGCCTCCTGGGCTAGTGGAAGGTGACCCTGCAGGGCTGGAGCAAGATGATCTTCAAGGTCCCTTCCAACCTAAACCATTCTGTGATTCTGTGATTTGAACTGCAAAACCCTCAACCATATAGTGATGACGGTTTTCACTCAAATGTCCTTTTTAAATTTTTCCTCTCCAGAGAAACCAACCGAGGTTACAAAACAGCTGGAGGATAAAACATCACAAGCAGGGCAGGACATCAACCTGAGCTGTGAGCTGTCCAAACCTGATGTGAACATCAGGTGGTACAAGGACGGCAAAGCAGTCCGAAAAAGCCAGAAATACGACTTGCAGCAGGAGGGAACCCAGGCCATTCTGATCATCCGGGACTCCACGGTCAAGGACAGTGGGGAATACACCTGTGAGACAGAGAGCTCCAAAACAACAGCCAGGGTCACTGTGCAAGGTCAGTTGAAGAGCGAAGAGGGGCTGGCAGGGACAGAGGTTGGGGTAAATACCTACAACCTGACCCAATCAGAAAAAGCAATTTTAATTAGTCTGTTTTGAATATGGGGCATGGAAAGGGTGCATGTTCTGTAATGTGAGACCTCACTAATGCCTGGACAATAGCACTGAGCTTTGCTGGAGATATTTTACCTGATCTGTCCTGGGACAGAATGTGGACCTGTTGCGCCAGGGGAGGCTTAAATTGAATATTAGGAAAAACTTCTTCATGGAAAGGAGGGTATTTGCATTAAAACAGGAGAATTGTGGAGTTACCATCCCTGGAGGAATTTAAAAGATGTGTAGATGTGGCATCTGGGGACATGGGTTAGTGGTGGACTTGGTAGACTTAAGTTAATGGCTGGACTTGATCATCTAAAGGGTCTACTTCAAACTAAATGCTTCCATGATTCTTTATTCTATAATCCTCCAAATGGGGGCAGTTGGTAATTCAAGACCACCCTGTGTGCTCAGGACTAGCTCGGGTAACAAATCTGTCTCTGTCTCTCTCTTTTTTTTTATTTCTTTTTAAAATTTTTTTTATTTTTAATTTTTTTTTTTTTTCCTTCCAGAAAAACCCAATTATTTTGTCAAGGAACTCTCAGACCTGAAAGTCGATGAGAGTGGGACCGCAGTTTTCGTGTGCCAGAGCGAGAGAGCCGCGCCCTCCGTGGTGTGGAGGAAAGGCATCGCCGAGCTCAGGGCAGGCAGGAAATATGAGATCACACAGACAGGACAAATCCTCCAGCTGACCATCAAGAACCTGGAGAAAAGCGACAGCGACACTTACAGCTGTGACATTGGTGACGCCCAGTCCAGAGCCAAGCTGGTCGTGCAAGGTATGAGCGGGAGGAATAGGATTGTACGTCCCATTTTTCCATGGGAAGTGTTATATGCACGGGCACACCCATCCCTCTGCATACGGGGGGCAGATCCGTGGATTTTTGGCTCTGGCTCGCTCAACAAGTAGGCAAAATTATAGATACAGAGCTGGCTGTGCCAAGCTTGAAGGGATTACACCTGAAGTGTTTTGGGTGTGATTCAACCCCAAAATGCTGGTGTGAGGAGGGGCTGGTGTTCCTGTGTGAACATATGATGGACATGATTCAGAGAGCCTGCTCTTAGATGAGGGGAAAAAATCATTCTGCATCCAGGCTTTTCTTTGTATGCCTTGATGCCCCTTCCCAGTAGTAATTTCCAAGAGGTGACGGGTAAATAGTGGTCCATAGAATCACAGAGTGGCTTGGGTTAGAAGGGACCTTAAAAATCTACTCCTTCTAACCACTTGCCATGGGCAGGGACATCTTCCACTAGCCCAGGTTGCTCCAGATCCATCCAACCTGGCCTTGGACACTTCCAGGGATGGGGCAGCCACAGCTTCCTGGGCAACCTGTGCCAGGGCCTGCCCACCCTCACAGGGAAGAATTTCTCCCCAATATCTGATCCAAACCTACTCTCTTTCAGTTAAAGCCATTCCCTGTGTCCTGTCCCTCCAAGGACCTTGTCCTCAGTCCCTCTCCAGCTCTCCTGGAGCCCCTTTAGGCCCTGGAAGGGGCTCTCAGGTCTCCCTGGAGCCTTCTCTTCTCCAGGTGAACCCCCTCAAGCTGTCTGAGCCTCTCCCCAGAGCAGAGTGGCTCCAGCCCTTGGAGCATCCTCATGGCCAGAATCTTTAGGTGCTTCATGCCCCTCTGCACCTGAGAGGTGAAGGGAACAACCCAAGCTCCCCCTGAAGAGCTCAACCAGCACAGCAGCTTTTATTTGGCTCTGTGGGCAGTGAATGAGCTGTGGTGGCCAGTGCTGATGGCAGGGCAGTGTTTGAGGGGAGGGAGGGAGGTCTGGTTGTTCCTCACAGGTCCCCAGATGGGAGAAACCCTTGAGAGGAAATCGATAAAACAATGAAGAGAACAGGAGGGATGATTCCAGAACAGTCAGCTGGAGATGCAGTGGCAGTGTCCACTTGCTGATTATTATGCTTTTAAATACAAGGGGGTGAAGTCAGACTCCTGCACCTCTGATCATCTGCTAGAGCAGATGTTGAGAAGCAAAGAAATGTTCTTAATCCCATTGTGGCCTTGGGCTCTGAGCTACCTGAATTCACTGTGAGCTTTCTAACAGCAGCTTTTCTGAGTGGAGAAAATACTTCACTGTCAAGAAGATAGAAGTAAAAAATCCCTTTACTACTTTTGTAAACAGGAGGAACATCAGAGGTATTTTTGTATACAGCAATAACCTTATTTTATGTATATTAATAGTTAGGTTTCTCTTTATATATGTATGTATTTATATATTTATTTCTAGTTAGGTGTATATCTACTTATACAGGCAGGCTTTTGGGGCAGATGTTTTGTTTCTTTTTCCCAAAGCTGCAGTCAGGCATTCTCTCGCCTTCCCACTGTGTTTATGGTTGGACTGAGCTCAAGGAAGGTGGGAGCTCTGTGGTCCCATCCCATAGAAATCAAGTTATATTTACTCTAGAAAAAAAAATAATCAGAATTTGGCATGGGAGGGATTATCTGCTCAGTGATGTCTAGAACCCAGTAATGCTGTCAGAGACTCATCCTTTCTACCTTTCCAGGTAGTTTAATTAGGAGAAGTTTTCTAATGCTGGATTTGCATTGTACTTGTTCTGCTTTTATGTTTTTCTGGTGCTTTAAAGTTGTATTCATCCTATTTGGTGTGTGTGTGTGTGTCCTGTGCTTATTCTCTTCCTGTTGAGTGGGTTTTGTGTTCAGTGGCAGGGGAATTGTGTGTCAGTCTTGTGCATCATGAACGTAGCTCTTTCTTGGAAAAACTCACATGGGAAATCTCGGGAGTTTTCCATATGGCTTTTCGTGCTAGAAACGGGAGATTCCAGTAATTGATGTGTCTATGTTCCTTTCAGGCCAGAAAGTGCTAATAACAGAAGACCTGGAAGATGTCACTGTGTTAGAAGGGGAATCTGCCACGTTCAAGTGCAGAATCTCTCCCGTAGACTATAGCAAAGTGCAGTGGTTTTTGGATAAAACCCCACTCCATACCAATGACCTTAACGAGATCCAGTCCCAGCCTGGGGGACATCACCTGCTAACGCTGAGAAAGCTCTCCCTGAAGGACTCGGGGGTCATTACATTTGAAGCTGGTGATAAGAAAACATCCGCCAGTTTGGTTGTGAAAGGTAAATCCGCCGTCAAAACTGCAGGAGAGGAGAGAACGAGTGGAAGTGAGCGGGGTTTAACGTGGGTAGGTGGGGGAAAAAAAAAAAAAAGGACAAAAATGGTACAAATTTAGCCCCATCTCGTGTATATCTGTACGTGGTCAAGAACAGAATGACTTACATAGTGAAATTACAGCTGGAGAATGAACACTTTGTTATCCTGGACAACCCTCAGAGTGTTTATTGGATCTCAGATGGGCATGTTATTCTGCAGTGATGGCACATTGGGTGGGTGCCTTGTTCAGTTTCTCTCGAGTGGGCTGATAAGGTGCTGATTAATGAGGAGGAATCAATTAATTCAGTGAAAAAAACCCAAAAACAAGTGCAAGCAGTGAGTTTTAAATTCAGTTTTCACTGTTTGAGAGGCAGCATCGCACGTGTTCTCTGCTATTCGTTGTTGTCAATGGATTGTTTTGCTCTGGCAAAGTTTAAAGTGAGTTAAAACTGCAGCGTTAGTCTACTTGTACGGCAAGGAAACGAAATGAATGCCAAACAGCCCAAGAATGTGGGATCAGAGAGAGCTTTTCTGACTGGAAATGTAAATATTTCTGTTGCCCAGAGATAAAAAATATTCTGTCTCCCCCCGTGTCAGATCACAGTCTCATTTTTCACAGCCACCACATTTATTTCAAAGAACAATTTTTTTTTTTCCAAAGTTTGAAAAGGTACCCAAATTTTTCCAAGCTACAGAAATGAAAATAGATTATTAGGTTTGTGCTTGATGTTTTGGTGTCTTTTTTTTTTTCTTTCTTTAAGGAAGATGAAAGGTTTTCTTTACAAAAGGCTGATATGTGATGCTGTGGAACCATAACCAGGTTTCAGTCTCCTGATTGATTGGATTTTAGGAATTAAAAAGCATTCATATGGGGGGGATGAGATTTATATTGGTCAGTTTAGCTGTTGGTGTCTAGCTTAGGTTACTTGTATAAACTGAGTAGAAAGACAAGCACTTCCAGGGAGTCTCTCTGTCCCAATGACCTATTTTGGAATTAAATATTTGGTTTCTGGACGTGTCTGTCACCTTCCAGAGGCTACAGAGACACCTTAAATGACCTATCTGAGCTATCTGCTTGATTTTTAGAGGACTTGCTCTGCTGAGACCTGCTCTAGATGAGAGAAACCTGTATTGCCCCTCACTTCATGCAGAATTAACTTCTCCACGTTCAGGTAGAAGGTTCAAACTCATCAGCTCCCACGGAAAAAGGCTCAGAAAAATTGTGCCTCAGTCTTATTGCTATTTCCTGGGAAGTGAGGGAGGTTTTATTTATGTTCCTCAACAGGAATGTTGTCTTCTCAGTTTCTCCCAGATGTCAATGGGTATTTGAACAACACTTTATGGCATCACTGGTGCTTCCTGAGGGCTTTATAGTCACAAACACCAAATTATTTGTTGCTAACTTTGACCTGCAGCTTTGATCCAAGTAATCCTGGGTGCAGATCTCATGGATTACTTGTGATCTGAGAATCCACACCTCTTCTGAAACATCTCAGATGGGTTTTACGTGATTCCAGAGAAGCCCTGAGCCTTCACAAAGGAGCTGGTTGATACTGGAGGGTGTGAGGGAGAGGATGTGATCCTTCACTGTGAAAACTCCAAATCAGACAGGCCTGTGAAGTGGTGCAAAGGTGGGAAAGAGCCTCAGGAATTCTTCCAAGTATAAAATCATATGGTTGGGATTTGAAGCCAGGGGCAGAAGAGAGAGTGGCAGATACGAGTGTGAGGCTGGAGCAGCTCAAAGTAGTGCAGTCATTGCTGTCAAGGGTAATAAATTGGAGTTATTAATTAATATTATAATTTTGGAGTGATGGTTTGGGTCCTAAATCGTCATCTGACATCTAGGTCAGAGTAATTAATCAAAGTGATGGAAACATGAAACTCTACTGAGAAGGAACTTGGTGTCTTTGCACCGAGATGTTTCCATCAAGTTGTCCAGAACAGCACCCAGAGAACCAAAACAGGAAAATCCTTCTTCTGACCTGGTTTTAGCTCTGTGCAGGTTAAATGTCTAAGTTCTCTGAGAATCATGTGATCCTGGAATGGTTTGGGTGGGAAGGGTCCTGCCCTTTTAATGAGCTCTTCGAGGAAAATGGGTGTTTGAACCCTTTGTTTCCAGTGCAAGTGGATTCAGATGTGTAAATTCATCAAATTTCTGATGGCTCTCTCCAAGGAGGGAGGTCACCCCCACACATTGGTCTGGGTAATTACTTTAGGCAGCCAAATTTATCAGAGCAATGCACCCAAAGACTGTGACCAGGCAGGAGGTGCCATCCTGTTTGATAGGACAAGGGGTGATGTCTTTAAACTAAAAACCATTTAGGTTAAAACTGGTTTAGATTAGGTGTGAGGAGGAAGGTTTTTACAATGAAAGTGGTAAACCACTACAAGAGGTTGCCCAGAGAGGTGGTGGATGGTGGATGCTGCATCTCTGGAAACATTCAAGGCCAGGATGGATGGGGCTTGGAGCAACCTGGTCTGGTTGAAGGTGTCACTGCTCACTGTGGGGGGCTTGGGTTAGATGACCTTAAAGGTGCCTTCCAACCCAAACTGTTCTATGATTCCTTGATCTAAAGGGTTGTTATCCAAGCTGAAGCAAAAATTCTCTTCTTAGATGAGCCTTTAGTGCAATTCTCTGAGTTAGAACTGGGCTTATCCACAATCACCTTACAATTGCTCCTGCCTGTCACTTGGACAGCTGGAATGCAGGATCAGGACCTGCACCAGGATTAGGGAATTCAATGTGAACAAAGCAAAGCATTTGGGTGGTTGGAATGGTCAACCTGAACCTCAGAGCGTGGAGGGGGAGGACAAGCTGCTCACAGGATTTATCCAGAGCACCAAAAAGCAAACCAGCTTAAGGCTGAGGTCTGCAGTGCAGGGAAAGAGAAGACCTGGATGATGTAGTGAAGAAGAGGTGGTGGTTAATGGTCCCAGTTTGTCCCAGTTTTCTCTGCCTTTCTCTACATGAGGATGTTTTCTCTCTACCCATTATACACGAAGGAAAGGTCTGTGTTGGCTTCAGCAGGACCTGGATCTCACCCATGATGAACAATTCTCTCTTAGGAGAAAATCACGTGGGTAAAATTCCACCACAGCCCCATTTTTTTCCCCTTCACAGAGAGGGGTGTGGGATTGAAACACATGGATTCAGATCACCAGCAGATGGGAAGGAGTCAAGTCGTAATGATGTCTACAATAAATCACACCTTTGGAGCTTTCCTCTAGGGAGCCTTTCTGTTAGAGTCACATCAGAGCAGCAGAATGCAAAAATAGGACAAAAAAGGGAAAAAATAGGAAAAAAATAGGAAAAAAATCAGTAGTCATGTGACACTGAGTGTCCCAAACTAGAGTAAAAGGGACACAAAAGAACAAGCTGTAGTTTTTCAACAGCCACAAATTAGTTGCATCTCAAATCAGCAGCTGACTTGCATATTCATAAGATAGCAGATTATGGGAAGGATTTTTTTTTCATTACCTAAAGGGAGAACATTTCAGTTGAGGTATTTTTCCAGTAAGTTGCTTCCCTGCACTAGCTCAGCTCAAAGCCTTGAATCCCAGGCTGTGACAGAGCCTGCAGAGGAAGCTCCCCAGGGACACTGCCGTGTCCAGCTGTGCTTCCCCCTCTGTGTTTGCCCTGTGCTGGTTTTAACTCTGTGTTCATGTTTGGGTAAAAAATACATTGTGGGTTTGTGGGGTTTTTTTATTATCATGAGGAATTAATACTGCTGGTTGTGACAGACAGTGCTTTGCCATTGCTGTGTCCTCTGTGCTGTGTGTGTGAGTTGACCTCCTGAAGTTTTACGGGTTTTGTGCCAGTGGTCCAGCTCTGAGCACCCATGTGTGACACACTTTGTGCCATTTACAGCAGTGCAGCGTCTGCCACTGATGTCAATAATGAAAGCAGTGATAGCAGCAGTGTCTTCAATAGGGCAGACAGCGGTTGAGAGGAAAACAAACATATGGCCTCAATTTTTTTTTTTCTGCTGTTGGCAGCCAGATGTGAGATGTCAGGATCTGTTTGCTGTTTTGCCAGTGCTTTTCCATTCCTGCAGTTTTCTACCTCTGAAACAAAGTCTGACAGAGAAAGGGGGAGGACGATTGCCAATCTCACGCATTTCCTTCAACATCTCTTTCAGAAAAGCCACTCATTTTCAAGCAAGAGCTCCAGAACGAAGAGGCTAAAGAAGGGAAACAGGTCAGGCTGACCTGTGAGCTCAGCAAAGCCGGTGCCCCAGTGAAATGGATGAAGGGAGACACTGTTCTCCACGCCAGTGAGAAGTATGAACTGAAGCAGCACGGAACCGTGGCGGAGCTCGTTATCCGGGATGTCAGACCCGTGGATGCCGGGGAATACACCTGCAGCTCTGGGGAGCTCAAAACCACTGCCCGGCTGAAAGTGAATGGTGGGTAGAGCTCTAGAGACATTAAACACTTCCTGAATCAAGTGATTAATAGGTCTATTAAAAAAAAAAAATCATACAACACTTCTTTTTTTTTTTTTTGTGGCAGTGCCATCTTTAATGTGTAAAATTTAAAGGTAATATTGCACACTTGTTGTCACCTGTATACTTTTAATTTGTGTCATCTCACATTCTGCGTTTGGGGTTTTAAGTCTGTAACTTCTCACTGGGCAAAAATTAACCAAGTGGAGCGCAGAGGATTATTTTTCTGTGCCCTGTGTGCTGTAGTTCCTGACCTATGAGCTGTTTTACATGGCTGGCGTTAAGAATGGAGTTACCAACGGAGACCAGCAGTATTGGAGCACAAGAATGTGAAAACATAAATGCAGTCCATGAAAAATTGCAGGTGGCTGAGTGATTAATTTGTAGACACCCAAATTCCCACAAATATCCTTTTTAAAGGCTCTCAGGTGCCATTTGCACTCCCCAATGGCCTTTAACAAATATAGTAGCTTTAGTAACACGGGAAAAGTAGTATGTGCTGGAGCAGAGAGTAGGAGAAATATAGGATGTGAATATTATTTCAGAGCCCTGCAGGAGCAGGGAATTCATTAGGTGATGATGCCCAGAGGATTCTGAAAGGGTCCTTATTAAAAATGAGAAAAACCTTCCCCCATATCCCTAGGAATCCACAGTGAGATGATAACATCTGGGGGAGAGATTGATTCCTGCTCCCAAGCAGGATCATGCTGATGCCACACGGCCAAGGGAGGCTCTAGGGCTGCTCTGCTCACTGGGAAAAGGACTGGTTTTAAGAGGTATCTGTTGTAGATCCAGGTCAAGAGGGCATGTTCTAATCCCTGGATTTGTGTTCCAGCTGTGCCTGTCCTTTTCAAACAAGCCCTGGAGAACACGGATACGGAAGAGGGGAAATCCGTCTCCCTGCGCTGCGAACTCACAAAAGCCGATGCCACCGTGGTGTGGAAGAAGGGGCAAGCCACGCTCCAGGCAAGTGCCAAATATGAAATGAAGCAGAAGGGGACAGTGGCAGAGCTGGTGATTCATAATGCAGAGCCAGAAGATGCGGGAAGATACACCTGTGACACTGGAGACCAGCAGACCACAGCCCAAGTCAAAATCCATGGTAGGAACGAGACACCTGCTTGTGACCATTTGTTGTTGTCCTTGCCGTGGTCCTGCTACCTCCTGCACATTTAGAGTTCGGAAAAATGGGGATCAGTACAAGAAAAAGGGGCTGTTATGTTCTCTGTTTTCTGGGATGGTAACTTCATGTGAAAACATATCCATCAAATATACCTGATGACAAAATATCTCTTTTTTCCTTATGAAATATCTCTTATGCTTTGGATAGAGACGACTGTCCAAGCTCTAAGCCAAGAGGTAAGAAGGGCCTCAGCTGCACCTTTTATCAAAGAATATGCAGTTCTTTTTTTCTACTTTCTCAAGTTTTTACTTGTCTGTGACCACCAGCACTTGGGCAGCAGAAGGGTAATTGCTCTGATATTCTAATTATTGGGAAATAACTGCTCTCTTTTCGTTTGGTCCAAAACTCTTGGTGTGCTATTGCAAATCCAAATGGAATCCTGGAAGGGCAGGTAGGTCAGAGCTTGTCTGCTGTGCGTGCCAAGAGAATTTGTTTTGGCTTTGAGTCCCGTGTGAGGTCACCGGATGGTGATGATGCCCCCAAAGTAAACTGAGAATGCTTCACTCCTCAGCTGTCTCTGTGCTCTTCAAGGAAGAGCTGAAGCCCGTGGAAGCTGTGGAAGGTGGGACAGCCACCCTGCAGTGCCAGCTGAGCAGAGAGGCCCCCGTGGAGTGGAGGAAGGGGCAAACTCTTCTCTGGCCGAGCAGCAAGTACAAGATGAGGCAGGAGGGCCCAGTGGCTGAGCTGCTGATCTCTGATCTGGACTCAAAGGATGCTGGAGACTATTCATGTCTAGTGGGGAACCAAAAAACCACAGCAGCCTTGTCAGTGAATGGTAAAAAGGCAGAAATAACCTGTGAAACCCTGGAATGGTTTTGTCCACCTCTTCCCTCCTTCTCTCCGTGCATTCCCTCACAGCACCCACCTTCATGTCCTGCTCCACCTGCTTTCATCCGTCCTCTTTTTCACGTTGCCATGTCCCCAGTCTTCGTCCTCAATCAGCTTTGATTGTGCCCTGTGTTGGATATGTGTGTGTGTGTTGTCTTCTCACCTTCCCTCAAGTGAAGGGAGCTCTCCTGCACGTGTGCTTTCCTGAATCAGCATGGGAACATAAGATTCCTTGGGATTTTCTGTTATTAAGGAGGGTTTAACGACAAGGATGGGTTTGTCATTTGCATGCATGGTCCCAATCAAGGCCATGAATTGATTCCCACAAAATCCCAAGTTACTAGAGAACTTCTTTCCCCACCCATGAAAAACAGACAGGATGTTCTTAAGGATAAAGGGTGCTGGAAGAAGGCTTGGGTAGACACGCAATAAATAACCAGTGAGCCTCTGAGCAGAGATCTGAGCAGGGTCTTGGGTTGCAACCCCTTTCCATTCTGCATCTCCCAGCCCTGCCAGTGCGTTTCAAGAAGGAGCTGAGGAACGAGGAGGCCACGGAGAGCGGGACGGCCACGCTGCAGTGCGAGCTGAGCCGGCCCGGGGGCTCGGTGCAGTGGAGCAGGGATGGGAAGGTGCTGGAGCCAAGTGGAAAGTACAAAATGAGGCGGGAAGGGCGCTTTGTTGAGCTGGTTATCCAAGACCTAGACCTGACGGATGCTGGGAGCTACACCTGCACCTGCGGGGACCAGAAGACAACGGCTGCTCTGAGAGTCAATGGTAACTCTCCTACCTATATTTACTTTTAAGCCACAAATGTAGCATATTTGGTAGCATTTCCTGGTCAACCAAAGCTTGGTCAGTGTGTGATTTCTTAGAGGTTTCATGTTCTTGGTCCGTGGAACCAAAGAGTCATTGGAGAATATTCCCTTGTCCTTTTTTTTTGCCTAGAGACAGCACATCTATATTGTATATTGTTTTCTTGAATTTGTTTCTCTCTCCTCTAGGAGGTTGCATTTCAACAATACACTCATAGAAATAATGCATTTTTGGTTAAATGTGTACACTGAGCCCACAGCACCGTGTAACTCACAGCACAGTCCAGTTCATTCCATTCCAGTGCTGATTCCCTCTCTGTTGGTATTGCATCCCTCAGCCTTGCCTGTCATCTTCCAAGAAGAACTGATGAACAAGGAAGCTACAGAGGGGGAGGCAGTTACCCTGCACTGTAAACTGAGCAAATCAGCCCCGGTTGAGTGGAAAAAGGGGAATGTGGTCCTCAAGCCAAGTGAAAAATACAAAATAGAGCAGGAAGGTCCCTTTGCAGAGCTGAGGATCCAGGATTTGGGACTGGCAGACGCTGGTGATTACCACTGTGTGTGTGGAGACCAACAGACTACGGCTGCTTTGACAGTAAATGGTAAAAAAGAATTTCTCAGCACGTGCCCAAGTAAACCTGTGTGATTCCAAGACCTCTTCCTCTTTTTCTTCTGCTTCCTCTCATCCCTGTATACTTTCTATCCTCCCCTCTGCTGATTAATTTTCCTCTCCTGTTTTCCTTCTCTTTCTCCTTTCACCTGATGCCCTCTTGATGTGCTGTTTGACTTCCTGGGTGCTGTGAGTGAGCGAGCACAGGCCAACACAGCTCAGCACAACCTCCCTAGTCCAGAACAGCTGCTTGTTTAGAAGCTTCCCCCACAGGGATTGACCTAAAAGTGGGAATAATATTTACTTTTTCTGACTTACACTGTTACACTTGTTGCTCCTAAGAGGAACAACTTTCCCTCAATACATACTGCTACACAAGGACAACCTTCATGAAAAATAGGCTTTTTTTTTTTTTCAATGCTCCTGCTATTCAGAACTCCTTTTTTTACCAATTTTGGCTTAACTCTTCCAAAGCAAATACTTTATCTCTGCAGAACACTGACAGCATGTTTGTGACTGCTCTGCTCTAAGGGGCTCTGTTTATAAAAATTCAGACAATGCCATAAATCAGGCACTCCTGTGGAGCTGCTGCTCTTCTCAAGGGAAACAAAACGCTCTGGGTCTCACATTGAAACGTGGCCCCTGATTTTATGGTATATAAAGGAAAGGATAGACGGCTTGGCAGCTATTTTTTCAGAGAGACTTGCTCTTAAAGGATGTTTCGAATCATGAGGAAGAAAAACCAAAGTAAAAATCAGGCTGAGTTATCTTTTGAAGCGTTAGGGATTGCAGGAACAAAATCCTGGAGGAGATCAAGAAGGTCTTATGGCTTCAGGGAGAGAAGGGAGTGATTAGGCCTTGGGTCAGGCTCTCTCAGGGTTGATGCCGTGTCCGTGTTGCGTTTGCTCTGCAGTCCTGCCCGCTCTTTTCACCAAAGAGCTGACAGACCAAGAAACCACCGAAGGGAAAAGCGTCACCCTGCGCTGCGAGCTGAACAAGGCAGCTGCTCAGGTGGAGTGGAAGAAGGGACTCAAGACCCTCAAGCCAAGTGACAAGTACAAAATGAAACGGGAGGGCATCGCTGCGGAGCTCACAGTCCAGAACCTGGACACGACGGACGCCGGGAATTACTCCTGTGTGTGTGGGGACCAGCAGACGATGGCAGTGCTGACAGTTCATGGTAAAGCAAACAAAGCCAGGCACACACTGAAAGTAACTGTCCTGTTTTCTCCACTCATTTGCACTCCCATCTCCTTCTTCTGCCAGGAATTATCCACGGTTCCATCAGCTGGAATGTGTGGCACAAGAGGGGTATCGGGGTCCAGGCTCAGAGTGAGCCAGCCAGGGTTGTTCCCACTCTTTTAATTAAGGATCCATCATTTTGCTTTTCCCCTGGGAGTTCCTTTATTAGACTCCCCGTTATGCTCAAACCAAAAATTGTCTTACCTCCAAGGGGTTGAGGCTTAGGTATTTTTTAAGGTCTCATAAAACTCCAAAAGGTGAGGTTGTTCCATGGAATCTTATGCCCACACTTCATTCCTGAGACAACGAGGTGATTTTACACTTACAAGCCCAGTTGTCACAGCACTCAGTCGGTGTCCTGTGCAAAAGCCCAAACCTTCTAAGGGACGACCAGAGGGTGAGCTTTGATTTTTACTGAACCTGACATCCTCAAAAGGGTATGTCAGTTCAGGTGAAAATGCTTGTTTTCCCACCATGTATTGAAATGAACAATTTCATTTCAAACTGACATTTAGAATGAAACTCCAGTGTTTCATTTTTTATTTTATTTGTTGTTTTTTTTTTTTTTATGTGAAATGTCTCTTTGTTTGCTTAAGGATGGGAAAACACAGCAAACATCCTCCCCTTAAGGTTTAAAAAGTCACGTAAGAAAACCATTTTTTCCCCCAGAAATTTCAAATTAGTCTTTCTGCTTGAAATTTCACAGGGAAAAAAAAAAAAGGGGTTTTCTACTTCTGTTTTTATTGATTTGTGACTCATGTTAAATACCTCTATGGATTGCTGCAAGCTTTAAATCCTTTCCTAATACTGATTCATGGAGACTCTTGAGAATCCGTGTTCTTGTATCAAAAAAATCAGTTCAAGATAAGAGGGAAACTGGAAGTTAAACATAATTTGAACCCTTTGGAGCGTTACATCTCACTGCTCACATTGCTGTCCCTCAGCTCTGCCTGCATTTTTCAAAGAGGGGTTGAAGAACAGGGAGGCCACAGACGGTGGAACAGCCACCCTGCACTGCGAGCTCAGCAAGGTCGGGGTCCCCGTGGAGTGGAAAAAAGGGGACAGGACACTCAGACCGAGCGAAAAGTTCAGGATGAGGCAAGAAGACACAGCTGCAGAGCTGCTGATCCGAGATCTGGAGGTGGAAGACACGGGAGAATACAGCTGTGTGTGTGGAGAGCAGAAGACCTCGGCTGTCTTGACAGTCCACGGTAAAAAAGCCGTTCTGGGTTGTGACACCAGTGTCTCCAGGACATCCCTTTCCTCTCTCTCTTTCCCACTTGCTGTCATGCTTTGATTCTGCAGCGTTTTCTCGGTTTGCTGGTGGTGTTTTATCCCCTCTCCCACTGTCTGTCAGCTTAAAACTGGTGGCTTTGTAGCCAGGTGAAGGAGAGTTATGAGATTTTTCCATCTTGGGGCACTTAAAAAGCCTCAGCAGCAAGATTATTCTTAGAGGGTTGGTCCCTGTGTGTCACTGCAGTCAGTGCATTTTGGTGCTTAAACCGAAGGAAAGTTCTTTAAAACTCCTGAGCTCAGTTAGTGAGAGTTTTTTCCATTCAGGAATAAATGACTGTCCACCTCTTTTGCAGGACTGTGATGTATCCTGCAGAGGATAAATTAAATAAACCCCACCCCGCAGCATTATTCTGCAGGTCCTGACTTGGGGAGCAGTGGGACAGATTTTGTTCCTGTCTCTGCTTTGGTGAATATTGATGAGCTCTGGTTGGCCCTCCAGAAGAAGCAGTTCATGTACAGTCCAGTAGATAAAAGAACAGGTTTTATTTGAGATATATCTTAGGGCATAAGTTGGTTCTAAGGACAGGTAGAAAGCTGTGGAGTCAAAACTCTTCTCCTAGATTTTCTGCACACTTTTGCTTCCTCTTCTTTCTCCCACTCTGAGGTTATTTCTGTTCCTCCCCTTCTCTGACTCTGCACTTCCATCCCAGTGCAAGTCTCTTTGTTTTTACTTTAGAGGCAAAAAGCAACTTGAATGCTGCTAAAAAAAACCCCTGTATCCCTGATATTAGAGACATTTATGTCCTTGGAAATTGTGGCTGAAAGGTGTACCTGAAGTTATATTCCTGATTTATTTTTCTCAGCCAAAAGGATAAATTATGGTGCAAGGGAAGGTAGAGATCTCCAGGTGGCAGTGCTGTCAGCTGGGTTGAGTACTTTCATTCCAAAATATGGTCTTTAAAGTTCAGGATGGATGATTTCAGACTGAAATAGGTGAGAGGACTACTGGAATCATCTGGGAAGTGACGAGCATGCTGACAAATCAATGTTAGAAGCAGGTCATGGCAGTAACATCCCTGTGGGATCCTGCAGTGGTTTTCTAGTAGATGCAGTTTTCCAGACTGTGTGGTTTGTTTTCCCATGTAACGGTGAAGGACTGGCCTCAGGACCCAGTTGTGAGCTCCTCAAGGCGTGGTTAATGGTTTTGATGCCCTCTCTGTTTATGTCACACCCCATAGCTCTGCCTGCCCTGTTCAAAAAGGATCTGGTGCCCGTGGAAGCCACGGAAAGCAGGGCAGCTGTTCTGCAGTGCGAGCTGACCAAACCCGCCCCGGTGGAGTGGAGGAAAGGGCAGGAGCTGCTCCAGCCCAGTGAGAAGTACAAAATGAGACTGAAGGACACCGTTGCTGAGCTGACAATCCACGACCTGGAGGAACAGGATGCAGGAGATTACACGTGTGTGTGTGGAGACAAGACAAGCACAGCTTCCCTGACAGTGCATGGTAAAATATCTGGCTTTAATAGGAGGTTTCTGCGTTGTCATCTGTGGTCTCATGGGGGATCACAATGTGGTCTTGATCCCACCTATTGCTTTAAATTGTTATGACAGCTGTACCATCCACTGGGAATATCTTCCACTGGAAGTCCCTCCCTTAGGACTCACGAAAAACATCTTTTCAGTTCCTGCTCTTTCCCATTGATGGAATCTGGAAGCAGACAATGAAGAGCTTGATGAAGTCATAAATAGCACTTGGAGTATTTCCACTAGTTAGTTAATTTCTTTAGGGCATATCACTGAGATTTCACTTGTTTGGTTTTTTTTCTGGAATGAGATTGAAAAGTTACGAAAACATTGCAGCCCGTAATTTTAAATGACATAGTGTTCATTTTAATTATTAAGCTGATTTTAAGAAAGAGCTGTGCATAGCTCCTTGAGATCTTGGGAACAGGTTTGTGTTGTTATATCTTAAACTGCCTTTAAAACATCCCTGGAAATACTGAAAGTGTAGTTTTACAACACTGATTTCCAAATCAGTGAGAGCTGAGGAGCTGAGACAGGGGTGGTGCTCCATTTCATGCCCTGGGCCATACCATAAAAAAACCTCTCTGACTTATGAATAAGGTGCTTTCCAGCTGTCCAAAGTCAGTCTTTGATGGTTCTTGGAGTTGTTATTAATCAGTGTGACATGCTCAATGTGCTCCACTGCAAAGCACGAGGCAGGGCTGCCCCCTGAAATCATCCTTTGCCTCTCAGGTGCTGTATATCCTAAACCCTCATAGAGTACAATGCTTTAACTCAGTGGAGCAGTCAAGACGTGGTCTGTCCTCAATTTTAAAGTGCTCTCTCTTCACCTGTGACCTTCAGCCCTCCCCCCACGTTTCAAAAAGGAGCTGAGGAACGTGGAAGGCACAGAGAAAGGCACGGCCACTTTCTGCTGCGAGCTGAACAAGCCCGGAGCCGCCGTGGGCTGGAGGAAGGGAGGCACAGCCCTGGGGACAAGTGACAAGTTCACCGTGAGATGTGAGGGCACAGTTGCCGAGCTGGTGATCCGTGATCTGGATCTGACAGATGCTGGAGATTACACATGCTGCTGTGGAGATCAGACCACCACGGCCGCGCTGAGAGTGAATGGTAAAGGGAGAGGAAAATGCGTAACAAATTCAAGGGGTGGTTTTCAAACAGTTGTTTTTACTTCTGAGAGCTCAGTGGTATCAGCTTTGAAACTGCAGCCTCATTTCTGAAGATTTTAGAAATATGTGGTTGGACATAAGTGCCTGGAATGGACTGGTCAGTACCGGGCACAGGTCAGGTGTTCAAGGCAAAAATTTGAGATATTCATCTTGATATTAACTCATTTCTTTGATGTTCATATTCAGGAGTAGGTGCTAAGGAGTGGGAAATCATATCATTGTGATGCTGGCTGTAAAGATTCTAACCTAACATTCTAAAGCTGAGAGGATAATTTGTTGCTGAGATATTTTTGATGCAGTTTTCAGTGTTTCAGAATAATTGGAGGGTCAAGTTCTGCCTGACCACTGTCTTAGGAGACACAGAATTCACAGAATAGTTTGATGTTGGAAGGGACATTTAAAGGTCCCTCACGGTCCCAAGGAAAAGAGAAGTTGGTGCCTCAGATATACTTTCATATGTGAGCTTTTAAAGCCATTATTTGTATTCCAGTAGAGTGTAGACACTCTGGTTAGGCTTTATTTTCCATTCTGGCAGGCAGTATCCATGGAATGTAGGGCTCAGCCTTGCAGGTCTGCAGAAGCTGAGCCTGGTGTGGTTCTCCACTTCATTCCAAGGACTTTTACCATAAGAAAACCTCCTCACATTGATGAGTAGGGTGTTTTCCTGCTTTCCAAAGCCACTCTTTTATGTTCCTCAGAGGGGACATCAATCCTGCTTGGTTAGGAGAGGCTTTGCTTGTCACATGTGGTTGACAGAAGCTGCCATGGTCACACACTGTGCTCATTTTGAACTCCTCAGCCTTGCCCGTGCACTTCAAGAGGGAGATGACGAACGAGGAAGCCACAGAAGGTGGAACAGCCACCCTCCAGTGTGAACTGTCCAGGTCCGCCCCCGTGGAGTGGAAAAAGAAACACAAGGTGCTCAAAACGAGTGAAAAATACACTGTGAGGCAGGAAGGCACCACGGCACAGCTGCTGATCCACGCCCTGGAGGTGAAGGATGCCGGGGAATACACCTGTGTGTGTGGAGAGGAGAGGACAACTGCAGCACTGACAGTGCATGGTAAAGGAGACACCAGATGGGGGATTTCTGTGGGATGTTCCTCCCTTCTCCTCTGGAAGCCTCAGCCCTGACACACAATGAGTCCTTTCCCTGATCTTGCCCATCATTAATTCTGTCGATAACGGATTTCCTTCCATGTTTTATTGTGGTTTTTATCTAGTTCTCACTAGAATTACAGCTCCATTGGTTATACTAATATTTTCCCTGTTTTCTTCTCCCTGCTCTTGTCTTTGCACCACACCAAAGGCTGAAGATGCCACATGCTTGCTTTTTTTTAATTCTGTTTTACTCACTTTTAATTTGAACCTGGAGAGGGGAAGCAGCAGGAACATTCATACTTCTTGAAAAGGATGGTTAGATTTCAAGCCTCGTTAGTATTTGAGAAATAATTTCAATAATGCAAACAAAACTTGGTTCAATGCAACTTCCTTGTATAACTCTGACCAAGGATAATGTAGATTTGTATCCAGGTGTTGCAGACTACTCAGCATTATAGTGGAAGAATAATTCACAGTCTTCAGTCAAATTCATCTGGAAGTTTTCTTGGAAAAATGGGAAACTTTATTTTTATTATTAACACAGGACAGTCAGAAGTATTTTCAGCCTCTTTCTCACCTGGAAATTCAGTAGGTCTGAATTTGGGGAGTTGATTTCTTTGCTTCACTGCCCAGACCCTTTCATCTTTGTATTTACCAATAACACAAGGATTGCTTCAGTCTTCAACTTTCAATTTAACCATGGAAAATAGAGCTCTGTATCTCCTGTAATCCCGAATCCCTTTGTGCCTGTTGTTCTCCTTCTTGTATTTGTGGTGTTGATCACTCCTAAATAGGGTATTTTCCCCCTGCTCTTGCTGAATTGCAGCCTGTTTTTCCACCACTGACTTCACTGAGGTTTTCTGTATCTTAATCCACTTTGGCAAAGTGCTTTCACCGTCTCTTCTATCCCACCTTGGGATCATCTACAAAATTACTGACAACTCTGCATTTCATTGTCCAAGTCACTAAAGAAAATGCTGAATTGTACTGAATTCCAGAGCACTGAGGAACTCAACTCATTCTTTCACTGTGAGTGTAAATCCCAGTCGAATATTCTTTGCCTGGAGCTTTCAAATTAGTGGCAGATTCCTTCTGTAGTTCCACCTGTACCTGAGTTAAAGTAAGAGCTTTATTGAATTAATAATGTTCAGCATATATTGTGTCTTTCTGCCTGTGAAACTTAACCTATGTCAGGAAAAAATTACACTGGTCCACTCCTTCAGGAAGAGAAAAGCTCTTGGCAAATCCAAGCTTTTAAAAGAATTAAGTTAAGCTGAGATGGATGTAATTCCTTGGATCCTCTCTCTGCCATTTCTCTCTTTCTGCAAGAAAGTGAAGGGGATTAATCTTGTAGGTCAAGACTGATGAGTGTTCCTTAATTCCCATTTTTGTCAGTGGAGATCAAGTCAGCACAGTCCTTGGAAGACAGGGATGCATCCAGTTCACCTCATTTAGCAGACACTTGGTCAGCAGATACCTCTGTTGGCTCCACTGACTTCACCTGGGTCTTTCTTGACTCTTGGCTCTAAACAAGAGTTTAGACTCTTGTTTCACATGGCAAGAACCAAATGTGAGCATTTCTATGTGTGAGGCCTTTTTCACCTCTTAGCTTCTGTTTTTTCCTTACTTGTGGAACATCATCCATTCATTCTCTCTGATTTCTCCAGTGTAAATATTAATGTCTGATATTCACTGATCCTGTACCTTCCACGACGAATTTCACCACCCCGAGGTGCTTTAAGAATAGTCAGACTATTTAAATATTCCCTAATAATTTTTTTCTTATCCTAGCCACAATTCCTATTACTCTCTTTGCTATCCTTAATTTTTAATATTAAAGAAAAGGGAATTAAACACTTCAGCTCTCCCATGTCACCCACCATCAACTTACATTCCTGACAGAGAGGTAAACCAACATGATTTAATGGTGGATTTGATTGGTTAAAGGTGGGACTCACTGACCTTAGAGGGCTTTTCCAAACGAAATAATTTCTTGATTCCATGATATCAGCATCATTTTGCAGACCATTTTTACCCCCTCTCTCCTGCTGGTCTTTTGTCCAGGACGTGACAGAGATCAGGAATGGGGAAAACTGCCCTTGACCTTTCTGGGTTTGTCTCTACGTCCTGCAGTATTTCTTTTGCACTCACCCAAACCTCCTGTATTTTACAGTCCTCTTGAGTTCTAGGACATTGAAAAGTTTGTGATTTAGACAGGCTGTTCCTGATAATTATTGGAGTGAGTTAGTCTCATAATTATGCTCTTAATATTATTTCTTTGAGAAGTTTTCCACTCTCTTAAACTGTCTTGTCCTTTAAGTTGGCATCTGCACAATCACAATTCTCAAATTATTGGAGCTTGCTTCCTTGTTACCCACAGAATTTTCTATTCTTCTTCCCCATCATTACCTGTCCTAAAATCCATGAGCTTTCCTGCTTCATGATTAATGTCTGCACAATTCTCCTCCACATCCTTCTTCTCAAATATTTATTTCTTGCTGGTCAGAGAATGAATTGGAGATCCTCCTCTCCTGTTCTTCATATCTATTTTATATCCAAATGTAGTTCCTGCCCCATTCCAAAGACTTTGCAGATGTTGTCACAACCTGCTGCTCCCAGGGTATATATTAGCACGTTACCATCCAGTCTTACACTCTGAATTATTCATTGTTCCTAAAGGGATGGGGTGTTAGGGTGCACCTGAACTTCCTGGTGTGAAGATTATGGCAGGTCTCCACACTGGAGACATCATCCTTCTCTTCCCTTTTCGTTGCTACCCAAGCACTTTCAAGAGATCTCTCTACTCTTGATCTTGTCCTGACTCTGGGTTATGTCTATAGGTATCCTTAACACCTAAATTCAAACCTTATCAATTTTTCCTTTATTTTCTTTTTTTTTTTCACGAATGGGTTTTTCCAGGATACTGAATTACACTGAGGAAGTCACAGTTTTGACCATACATGAAGTTTTCCCATTCCTGCCATTTATTCTCCACTCATCTCGAAACCAATCAGAAAATTTGCTTGAAAAAATTTACTTTAAAGAATTATAAGATCCTTTTTTCATCTGTGGTGCAAATTAACACCTTCCTTCTGTGGGATGATGATCCTCACGTCAACCACCAGGCATGGATAGGCAGAAACATCAGGTTCATTTAGTTTGGCGGCCCAGAACTGCTTGCCCATGAACACATTTTTGCTGCTCTGTTTCTCAGCCCTCCCCGCTCTCTTCAAAGAGGAACTGAGGGATGAGGAGGCCGAGGAGGGCCAGGCGGTGACTCTGCGCTGTGAGCTGACCAAACCTGCCCCGGTGGAGTGGAGAAAGGGACACACAGTGCTCAGACCCGGCGAGAAATACAGGATGAGGCAGAAGGACGTCACCGCAGAGCTGGTGATCCACAGCCTGGCTGAGAGTGATGCCGGCGATTACACCTGTGTGTGTGGGGACAAGGAGTCCACGGCGGCCTTGGCAGTGCATGGTAATGCCCTCTTCCACCTGGGTGTCCTTGCTAACGAGCTCAGGGTTTGGATTGCTTTTATCACCATGTTCACTGTTATCTGTGCATAGTTCATGTCAGTCTGACTTTGCATTCAAACGAGGATTAATTTTGTGATTTAGGGGTGAAACCTTCCACCAATTCCGTATACAAAGTGGTTTCAGGATCCCCAAAGCAGACGTGAGATCAAGCCTGAGGACAGCCCTCACCTTTCCTTCCCCTCAGCAGGAGGCTGGTTTCTTTCTGCTCCATTTTAACCCTCTTCCCATTGCATCCTCAGTGCTGCCTGCGAGGATCAGGGAGAGCCTGAAGGACCAGGAGGTGACGGAGGGTCAAGGGGCCGCTCTGTGCTGTGAGCTGACCAAGGCTGCCCCAGTGGAGTGGAGAAAGGGCAGCACTCTGCTCAAAGCCAGTGACAAGTACAAGATGAGGCAGGAGGGCACCGTCACGAAGCTGCTTGTCCACGATGTGGAGCTGAAAGATGCTGGAGAATACACGTGTGTGTGTGGAGAGCAGGAGACAACAGCTGCCTTGATAGTGCATGGTAAAAAAAACATATACAAATAGCTGTATTACTGTGCATTTCTTTGTCAGCTCACTGACATGGGTAGTGGCTGAATTGTTCCTTTATATTTGTAAGCCCTCTGTAAGCTCTGGTTGCACCCAGGCTGCTTTCCTCCCTCTGTCTGTTGGTTTGTCCGATGTCCCAGAACGAAAACCTTCCACTCTAAAGTGTTCTCTGCCTCTGTACCACCCCACCCCTCCTATAACCTGTGTGCCACGTGTCATTTTTAATGTCCTCTGTCCACTTTGTGACCTTCAGCCCTGCCAGCGCTTTTCAAAGAAGGCCTGAAGGACCTGCAAGCCCCGGAAAGCCAAACAGCCACTCTGCGCTGTGAGCTGACCAAGGCTGCAGCTGTGGAGTGGAAGAAAGGGAACAAAACACTCAGGGCAAGTGAAAAGCACATCATGAGGCAGGAGAGTGCCCTGGCTGAGCTGGAAATCCGTGACCTGGAGCTGCAGGATGCAGGAGATTACACCTGTGTGTGTGGAGACCAGCACACCACGGCGTCCCTGACGGTGAATGGTAAATGCAGATGACTGCCCCCTTTTTGTGTCTCTGAAACCTCCTGTTGGCTGTGTGAAGTGTCCACCCATCAGCTTTTCCCTAGGAATTAATTTGTGTCCGGGAAGGGAGAGCTTCTTGTCCTGACATTTCATTTTGGTCTGACATTCCTGAAAAGGAAGCTGAGGATTTGGCTCTTTCTTCCATGCAAACTTGTAGGTTTAAGGGAATAGCACCTAGAAAAGACTCCTGTTAGACCAGCTGATTTGTCCTGATTTGTGTGATAAATTCTTGAAATTCCACCTCGGATCCATCCAGCCTGTTGTACCTTGACCTGTCAGCTCAGCACTTCTTTGTCTTTCTGTCACTGCTGGATTAACTTTTCCAGATCATTGTGGCAATAACCTCAACCTCAAAGTCCAAACCCCCTGATTTGGCCAGGCTTGAACTTCATCATGCTCGTGGCTTAGTTTAAATACACTTTTAACTTTCCATTCCCAGCCCTGCCAGTGCTTTTCAAGGAAGAACTGAGGAGTGAGGAAGTCCAGGAAGGAGCATCAGTCACTCTGAGTTGTGAATTAACCAAAGAAGCCCCAGTGGAGTGGAAAATAGGGCCCAAAGTGCTCAAAGCAAGTGACAAATATCAAATGAGACAGTCTGGCACCACTGCAGAGCTGGTCATTCATGGCCTAGAAGTAAAAGATGCTGGAGATTACACCTGTGTTTGTGGTGACCAGAAGACAACAGCAACCTTGGCAGTTCATGGTAAAAAGACTTTATTAAAATTGATTAATAACTCTAGAGATAGACATCATTGGGAAGTTCAGTTGTTTCATCCCTGGGTCAGTAGCTTGTCTTTGTTTTTATCCCTTTCTCTTCATTCTATTTATAACTCATTTCTTGCTGAGAGAGAGTCGCTCACGGCAAATTTTGGGGTCATTATTAATCCTTAAAAGTCCTTTAAAAGGAGAAAACAAGATGTTTCTTTCTGTCCAAATCCCCTCTTCTTGGATATTTACATTTTCCAGCTCCAACCCTGTGGTTCACTGCAGTCAACCCCAGTTTTCTCCAAAACACACAGGTATGGTCTGCCAGGCCTTTTCCAGGAACTGAACAGAGGAGACAGGAGGATTAAATAAACCAACCCATAAATAAATCCTTTTGTTGATAACCCCATTACCTCATTTCTGCTCTCCTCTCATTGATGAATATCCGTTTTAATGAAATAATGATCTTTGGCTTTGAGGAACTTGATCAAAGATCCAGATCTGTCCCCTCCAGATTTTTCCAAAACCAGGGATCTGGGTTTTCCTGAGAGATGGACTTTTCCTGAGGCATTTGGGGTGTACTGTTTGTATTCTGTACCCCTTCACACAAGGCACTTTTGTGGGTAAATGTCAATAATTAGTTTTCCTGAAGGTTGTTTCCTGTGGGTTGTTCTGTCTTTGGGTTATGATTCCAAAACGGGAAACAGCAGGAATCTCAAATTCTTATTACCTGTAATGGCCCTTCAAACTTGAACTTAAAACTAGGATTAGTTTTATTTTAAAACCTGACTGCTTTCAGGTAGGGGGGGCTATAATATTTTAATTTAAAAAAAAAAACCAGAAAATAACAATATCAGCCTCCAAGAAATGCTACTTGTGTGGGTAAAACAGTCCTGTATCCAGCAGTGTTATTTGTGAGTGCTGTTGGTCTGACATCTGGGCCTTTCTGTCTCCTCCTTTCACTGTGAATAACAACAGACACCCAGGCAGCTGTCCCTGAGGGTGACTGAAATCACATCACACTTGCAGTAGGATGATTTTGGAGTTTCTAAACTGGGTTATGGCTAAGCAAGTCTGTAATAGGCTGAGGGGGGGAAAAAAAGGGCATGAAGGGAAATAATCTCAAGCGTGATAAAGAAATTGGGATTTCAATTCTGGTTTTCTGATGAGCGTCTGTCCCTGTTGCACCCTTCAGCTCTGCCCCCACTCTTTAAGGAAGAGCTCCAGGACAAGGAAGCAGGAGAAGGTGGAGAAGTCGCCCTGCACTGTGAGCTCAGCAAGGCTGCCCCAGTGCAGTGGTGGAAGGACCAGAGGATTCTCAGAGCGAGCGAGAAATACAAAATGAGGCAGGAAGGGACCAAGGCAGAGCTGGTGATCCGTGACATAGCTGAGGAGGATGCAGGAGGCTACACCTGTGTGTGTGGGGAGCACCAGACCACAGCTGTCCTGACAGTCCAGGGTAAAGCCATCCTGACCTCCTGTTTCCTGACTGGAAGCCTCTGCCCTCTGCTCTAACTGTTCCATTTTACACACCTGTTTGCCCAACCTTATTAACTGAACTCCCATTCATTTGAAAATATTCCCTGCCCCTCCTCACCTGCAGGCTGTGCCACTTGGAAAATCCCAGTCTGGATTTCTCTGTCCCATCCTCCTGTCTTTTCCTTTCCATAATGACACACCTGTTATCCTTTCATCTCTTCCCTTCTGCCATTCCTTTCCTAACATACAAACCCACTATTCTTTGGTCTTTCCTTTCCTGCATTTATTCTCTTTGTTTATTCTTTGCCATTCCTTCCTGGCATTCTCAATACTGATCTTTTTAATATGGGGGAAAAAAGAAGCACTAGTTAGTTATAAATTCTTCTGTACTGAGCTATGCTTATACTGGGCTTTGTGCCCATGACCTCTGTCCTAATGCACAGATTTCCATTGGGAGACTAATTTTCCAAGGCTGCAGATCTCCTTCTGGTCTTGTCGTGCTGGAAGAACCACTTGCTGGGCAAAACAAAGCTGGTGTTTCAGCTTCAGAGTGCTGGAGACGGGAAATGTGCCAAATCTGGCTAAACCTGGTTTCTAGCTTGGATATTTTGACTGAGTCCCACTGCTGTGTGACACTAGGTCTGGGGTCTGAGATATCCAGCTCTGTCAAACAGGTGGAATGTCCCATTATCCCACTCAGTTAGAGGGACATACGTGAAGGTCACCACATTTATTTCAAGGGCACGACTTGCAACGGGTACAGGAATTATGTTCAGTGGGGAAAGAAACGTGTTCTGGGACAAGGACACGGGCTGGGATTCAGCATCTGGAGGTTTTCTTTGGGGTCAAGAAGAACCTCTGAGTCCTGGATGAACCTTTTCAAGGATAGCTCGAGGAAGAAGGAATGAGGATGAGGGAGGAGCTGTGCCAACACTCAGAGCACAGCAGAGCAGCTCAGTAAGTAGGAAAAGACCGTACAAAGGCATGAAGTTTGTGGGAGACACCAACACATGGGAACTAAGAAGCTCAGAGATGATATTCTTGGTTATTCTCTCATGTATAAACTGGTAGAAAGCAGGTGAAAATCCACAATTTTGCTAGTAGGAAACCACCATAAACCCCAAGGGATTAGGATGTATATTCCCACTAGGATACTTTCTCTTCTCTTCCCTCTCTTTGTTGCTGATGCTCAACCTTCCATAACCTTCACAACTTCCCCCCGTCAGTTCCTCACCCATCCCTGGACACATCCTCAGTCTGTAATACTTTTTACCTGCATCCTTCAGCTCTGCCTCCATTTTTCCAAGAAGAAATGACCAGCAGGGAAGCAGTAGAAGGTGGGACAGCCACTTTTCACTGTGAGCTCAGCAAGGCATCTGTCCCTGTCCAGTGGAAGAAGGGCCACCACGTCCTTTCCTCGGGCAAGAAGCACAGCATGAGGCAGGAAGGCCGTGTTGTGGAGCTGGTGGTTCATGACCTGGGCCTGGATGACAGTGGAGATTATACCTGTGTGTGTGGAGACAAGAGCACCACAGCTGCCTTGACAGTGCATGGTAAAGTAGCCCTCGGGATGGTCCTCCAAACCTCAGAGCTGCCCAAGCCTCTGTTGTTATGGTCTGTTCCCATTCCCTCTGTGTTTCCTCGGGTTTTCCTGTTCCTTTGGACTTCATGTGCTCCCTCCTTGTGTCAGAATTGGGCCAAGAGTTCCCTGTTGGTGTTTGTCCCCCTCAGCTGTGTTGGTTCATCTCACTTTCTCAGTGTTGAGGGAAGTTGGGGGAAATCTTCCATCGTGTCCCCCTGACCTGGATCAGGGCTCAGCATTTCACCATCCATCCTCTCCCACGGGACTCTTTGCTTTTTAAGGAATACTCACGCTCTCTGTGGTACCCTTTTACTCTTCAGCACTGCCTCCAGAATTCAGGAGAGCCCTGGAGGACCTCGAGGCTGTGGAAAATGGCACAGCTGCTCTGCACTGTGAGCTGACCAAGCCCGCTGTGGTGGAGTGGAAGAAAGGGCAGGAGGTGCTCAAGGCAAGCAGCAAATATGAGATGAGCCAAGATGGTGCTGTTGCAAAGCTGATTATCCACGAGCTGGACGTGGAGGATGCTGGAGATTACACCTGTGTGTGTGGAGATCAGCAGACAACTGCCACTCTGACAGTCAATGGTAAAAACAAAGGAAAAAGTTCCAAGGTTTTCTGAAGACAAAAAAATAAGAGCTGTGGTTTAGGGTTGCTGAATTTGATTACAAATTGTGAGGTGTGCAGGATAACCTGGTTTATACAGCCTCAAGGATAGGTAGAAAATGGGAACTGGGATGCAAAACCGTGCGTTTTTCAGTGTGTTACAGTCAGGATAATCATAATCTCTCCTGCAAGTGGCCTGCCCTAAGAGGGAATCTGATCTCTCAAAATTCCCTGCTTTAAGAGGGAATGTGAACTCCTAAAATTCCCTGCCTTAAGGGGGAGTCTGAGCTCTTAAAACTCTCTGCTGACCTTCTGACCACCTTCAGTGGTCAGGGTAACGTGTTGGCTACTTTTGGAGTAGGAAAACCACTGTGCCATCTTTAGGTCACAGATTACATTAAACTTCCACACACTTCAATGTAACTTCTTCAAACCCATTTCTTCTTGCTCTGTAGATATTCCTGCTTCATGTCTGGGGAAATAGCCTTGTGCTTTGAGTGTAGAATATGGAAATTTAGAGACATCAACTAAACAGGCTCTTTTGGTGCTTTCATTTTCTTTCTCCCCTCTCTTTCCCGAGCCCCAACTGCAGAGCGTTGCAAGTCATTTTTCTGTTTTGTAGCCCTACCAGCACTTTTTAAACGAGAGCTCCAGGACACCGAGGCAGAGGAAGGAGGCACAGCCACACTGAGGTGTGAGCTGACCAAACCCCAGGCTCCAGTGGAGTGGAGGAAAGGGGATGTCCCTCTCTGCCCTGGTTTGAAATACGAGATGAAGCAGCAGGGCTGCACCGCTGAATTGGCCATTTCTGACCTGGGACTGGATGATTCAGGAATATACACCTGTGACTCTGGACACCAGCAGACAACAGCTGTGGTGACTGTACATGGTAGGCATGGTGTTAACCCTTGGCTCAACAAATGTGGAGTGGAAGGAGGTTCTCTTGGTGTTCTCTACTTGTTTTGCTGCTGGTCCGTGCCAGAACAAACCTTCTTCTTTGGCACGACAAATGGTCAGGTTAGAAAGGTTGTTCTTGCAGGATCTTGAGTGATTCATGAGCATCAAAGCTTATTAGAATCATAGAATGGCTTGGGTTGGAGGGGACCTCAAAGATCATCTCATTCCAACCTCTTGCCATGGGCAGGGACATCTTTTACTATCACATTGCTCAGAGTCCCATCCAGGCTGGTCTTGAACATTGTCACAATGTCAAAATATGCTGAAGTCTCCTCCCCTGAATGCAGGGAGTGTGGCTGGGTATGGGAATGGCATAAGGGGTGCCTAGTTGGACATAGTGTCCTATTAGAATGATGAGAGGCAACAATTAGGGGAGAAAGGATGGCTCTGACAGGTGAATGTGCTCTGTTATCAATGAAGGCTTTGAACTTCAGGTGTAAATGTTCCTCCACCCTTTCTTCTACCATTCAGAGCGAGACCTTGCCTGAAATCTGAAATTCCTCTCCCATTTATCAGTCAATGTGTTTTGGATACTACTTTGATCACTATATGTTTATACAAGCTCTATTTGGGTGAAAAAATACTCTTTGCTTAGTATTGCAAACTCCCAGACCTCCCTTAAGGAACAAGGGTTTGTGTGAGAGAGAGCATGTCCCAGGGATCTTTGCCTAAAGCACCTGTATTTGGCATGGAGACACTTCCATGGACTCCTTCAGACCACAAACCAGGCCACAAAGCACTTTCTAAGACCAGATCCTTCCTAATTTCTAAGACCAGATCCTTCCTAACCTCACCGTCAGTCCTCGGCTCTTGGTTCACACAGTGGTTCAAGAAAGATTTCTGAAGAATGATGGTAGGACTGTGTCCTTCTTGGGCTAAAACACTCCTGAAACGTTTCCCTCTCAAATTTTGCAGCACTGCCTGTCACATTTAAGCAACCCCTGCAAAATCAGGAGTCCGAGGAGGGGAGCACAGCCACGTTCCGCTGTGAGCTCTCGAAACCCAGAGCTGCTGTGGAGTGGAGGAGAGGAGGAGTGGGGCTGCAGCCCAACCAGAAATATGAAATGAGGCAGAGGGAATGCCTGGTAGAGCTCTTGGTACATAACCTCAAATTAGAAGATACAGGAGAATACAGCTGTGACACTGGGGATGAGGAAACCAAGGCAGCCTTAAACGTGAAAGGTACGTGGGGTGAGCTGACTCCTAAAGCAGCAGATCCCATCCAGCGTGCAAGGCAACAGTTTCAGTGTGCATATTTTTAAGTATATTGTTCTTTTTCTCTATAAATATTTTCCTTTTCATCTGATAAACTGGGATTTTAGTTTGTTCTAATGAGAATGGAAGAGGATGATACTTTGTTCTTCCGGTGCTGCATTTGAGTTTTGGGTTCTAATTAGAAATATTTTCCACCTCTGTGGCTGACAAGAAATTAAAGAAAGAACAATAATTTAACATAACATCTGGATATTTCACATGACTTGTTGTTTAAGTATTTTTTAAAAGTATTTTCTTCCAAATCCTGTAAGAAGACAGACAACAACCTTCCTGATCTGTCAAGGCCGCCCATGGAGTTTTGAATCTCTGTGCTCTTGTGATCCTTGTTAGACCAACTGAAGGATAAATTCACTCAAAGAACTCAACCCCGGGAAGGATTTGAGTCAAGAAACAAAGGAAACAAAGGAAGTAAATGTCATGGATGCTTCTGATGTAGCAAGATCTGGTAGCTCCAGGCGAATTAGAAAACGTGGATCCTGCGCAGGAATATCTGACTTGAAAAGCAGAGCATCTTCTCTGAAGTATCAGTCTGTGCCAACCAGGACTTGACTCAGGCTTCAATAAAAGCTTCTTTCTTTTTGTCTCCTTTAGCCCTGCCAGTTCTTTTCAAAAAGCAGCTCAAAGACGAGGAGGCAGAAGAAGGAGCTGCGGCGAAATTCCGGTGTGAGCTGACGAAGGACAGCGCAGCAGTGGAGTGGAGGAAAGGCACCGTGGAGCTCTTCCCCTGTGCCAAATATGACATCACCTTAAGTGGCCGCACGGCTGAGCTTGTGATTCACAACGTGGAGCCAGAGGATGCTTCTGATTACACGTGTGACACGGGAGACCAGCAGAGCACTGCAGTGCTCAGAGTGCATGGTTAGCGTGGCACCCCCTTGGAACAGAGGGGAAAAGGCACTTGTGGAAATGTGTGAAAGATGTTGTTTAGTTTGCTGGTGAATATAAATCCTTCTGAAAGTTAAGAGATTGAGGGAAATGGGTGCTCAGCCATAAACAGAGCACAGAGAAGTGGATCTTGTGGGACAGGGTTCCTATTTCAGCCTCTAAAGCACAGTGTGCAGTGCACTTCCTCTGACATGATAAAAGCAAGAGACTCTGGATCATGGGGATCTTTATATTCTAACAGACCTTTATTTCTAGCATTTCTTTTCTTTATTTTTATTTTTATCTATTATTTATTTTATTACTTATGTCTAGCAATTCTTTGCATTCATTCCTGGCTCTCTTGAGCCAATAACTAATCACACATCATTTAAAAAAGCATTTTAAGCTTAACTATATTTCATCTTCCCACGGAGACCCTGGGAATGCTGTGTTTAACCAAACCAGGAATGATGGCTGTGATTGATCACAGAATTACAGCGTGGCTAAAGCTGGGAGGGACCACAGCAGGTCATTTGGTCCAACCTTCCTGCTCAGGCAGGACCACCCCAGCACCATCTGTGAAACCATTTGTGGTCATCTCAAAGGGCTGGGTGGAAATTGTGGCTTTGATCTAAACCACAACCTTCCAAACTACATCCTCTGGCTGAACTCAACCCATGAAGCAGCCACAGGGTCATCACTGAGTGAGAGAGCCTGTGATTGCTTTCCATGTCTCACAGCAGGGTTTAGACAGAGGGAACCACAGAGGGAACCACAAGCACTGAGTTTCCAGTTCCCCCAGCTGCTCACACACACACACACTCTGGATATTCCCTTCTTGTTTCCACCTGGGACAAGCTGTTGTCTAAGCACATCCATGCCCTCTTGAATACATGTCCATTTGTGCATCATCTGGAAAGACTCACTGGTGGTGGTCCAGGGTCTTGAAAAGATAACTGAGAAACCAGAAAGGACTTTAAAGCTTTACGTCATTTAGGTGTTGGAAATCACGAGTATTTCTATAAAAATGAACGAATTTATGCCTGTTTTAATCAGAAAGTACCAGGCTTTGCTTAGTCAAAATCTTTCTCTGTGTGTTGAAGTTTTCAATATCCAGAACAGGTGCATAAAAGGTTTGATGTGGATGCCCTTAAGGGAAACTTATCTGGGGAAGTTTCTGATCCTCTCTTTGTCTGGGTATACACAACCTAAGGCAAAAAAAAAAAAAGATTTTATTATCACATAACCCCTTAATGCAAAACTGCCCTGCAGCACCAGAGCCCAGGCACTTGTGCTGGGTTGTGCCCTCCAGGGAACAGGTCCTGTATCGTTTCCTCCTCTCTCACCCTGCAGCCACCAAACCCCGGCTGAAGCAGCAGCTGAAGGACGAGGAGGTGGAGGTGGGAGGCACGGCCAGGCTGCGCTGCGAGATCTCCATCAGCAAGGCAGAGGTGGAGTGGAGGAAAGACGGAGCTGTCCTGCGCTCCAGCTCCAAGTATGAGATGTGGCAGGATGGGACCCTCCGGGAGCTCCGTGTTCACCGCCTGGAGCCTGGGGATGCCGGGGAATATTCCTGCAAGGCTGGAGATGAGACCAGCTCTGCCACACTGACCGTGAAAGGCAAGACCTGTTTGTTGGGGCAAGGAGGTTTTCACTTCAGGAGACTGAGGTTTCACTGCATAAGCGCTGTTACTGTGAGGAACACAGAGCATAGGAAGGGCATCCTTAAAAAAACCTGGTGGTCAGTGGATGCAGCGAAGCAAAGATTGACGTGGTGGACAGGGGAGGATGAAGCAGCTGTGATTTGTGACTCATAGCTTGAGATATTTGCTTGACATCATATACAGGGGGGTGAACAGATGGTCCATCCCCAGCTTCCAGTCACATGGCAGCTGCATCTGGCCTTGATGCCATCACAGAGCTTGGACCACTAGTGTGGAACAAACACTGCCAGCATCTCTACAGGCTACTCCATGTTGTAGATTCTCTGCACATTGCACCCAGCTGCACCATTTGTCATGCAGATGGTGACCTCAGCTGTAGGAATATCTACTGTGCTTGCTCATATGAAGATTTCGCTGCTTTTTTTGATGGTGGGACTCAACAATCTTAGAGATGTTTTTCCAGCCTTAAGGATTCTTTGATTCCTTTGGAATTCCCCAGCAGACTTGGGGTACATAGAGCTTTGGGGGTGTGCTGGGGGACTGTCTGTATGATCTTTGCACAGATCTGCAGGCGTTCAGCTGCCCTAAATGCAGGACTCAAACAAACTGTGCTCACATTAATCCAGTGAGTCCTGCTGAGGGGACAAAGCCAACCCGCTCCTCAAGACATTTGGAGCATCAGCATGGAGTAAATGCAATTCTGTTTGCAAAAATATGATTAAAAGGATCAGGTTTTAATGTTACTCTATGAAGATATCTAAGTTCAAATGTAACAAATTTCAAAACCCTGATTTTGGCATCTGGCATTCATGCCTTGTTCACCCAATTAGCGTGTCAAACATTTAATTAAAAAATCACTATGTTGTGTATCTCTGAGAAAGGACAAGTGATAAAACCACCGCCCCAAAGTTATTTACCCTGTTACCAAGTACACTGAAAGCAGAATTTGGGATGAGAGGCTGTGCTGTCTCCATCCTTGGAGGCTCTTGAAGCTCAGCTGAACAAGGCGCTGTGAGCCGGCCCTGCCTTGAGCAGTGGTTGGACCAAGTGACCTCCAGAAGCCCCCTAGAACCCGTTTTATTAACAATTCTATGATTTGCTCCGTGTTTCCCCTTTCATTCCCCGTTTCTGACCGCTTGCAGAGCCCGACGTGACCATCGTGAGCGGCCTGAGGGACATGGCAGTGTCCGAAGGGGACGACGTCACGTTTCGGTGCCAGGTTTCCCACGAGAACGCCAGGGACGTGGAATGGAAGCTGCAGGATGTGGCCCTGCAAAACAACGAGATGAACGAGATCTCGGTGGAGAAAGGCAAGGTCCACACCCTGACCCTGAGGAAGGTGACGGAGCAGGACGTCGGCACCGTCACTTTCCGAGTGGGACGTCACACGTCGACGGCAGAGCTCACGGTGAAAGGTAAAGGTTCTGTGTGATGTGGGATGGGATCAGAGAGGATCTGCTTTGCTTACACTGACAGTAAATTCATGTCCATAATTCACCCCTTTTTGGGTCACGTTAGTGCTTCAGAGCACACATGGTGTGGTGTCATAGACTGCAGTCACCATGGATAGACAGTGAATGTTTCACCAGGGTCCTGAAGCTAGGTGGTTCCTAAAGAAATTCCTGTGTTGACCTCTGTATTTGGACTGAAACACCTGGAATTTTCACTGCTTCCACTCTTCCTTTTAGAAACTCAGAATGGTTTGGCTTTGAAGGGACCTTTAAAGGCCCTCTAGCCCAACCCTCCTCCTTCACTGAGCAGGGACATCTTCAATAGATCAGGTTGCTCAGTTATTTTTTTCCTTCTTCTTTGGTGTCTTTCTTTCTCTAAACATTATTTTATAGGAATTCTCCACCCAACATCCTTCCCCCTCTGAAGCTTGTTTTAACCCCTCAGTAGAAACTCAAAGCATTTTTTTACAATACTTAACCATTCAGCCGTGGCTTTAACACCACAGGGAAAAGACACAACGATGCCTGGAAATGCCTTTGCTGTGCTTGTAATTTCAGTGCCACCTCCAGTATTTAAGGAGAAACTGCAGAGCCTGGAAGTGCAGGAGGAAGACACAGCCGTGCTCCGCTGCCAGGTGTCCCAGCCCAGCACTCAGGTGAAGTGGAAGAAGGGCACTCAGGTGATCTCCCCGAGCTCCAAGTATGAAATCAGGCAGGAAGGAACGGTCCACACCTTGAAGATTTTTCACTTAAAGCCAGAAGACTCCGGCAAATACACCTGTGATAATGGGAACGAACAAACGACGGCCACTTTAACTGTTAAAGGTGGGTTGTTTTAAGATGGGAAACTTGCTCCACTTCCTCAGTTTGGCTCTACTAAGAGGGTTCTATCAGCTCTCCTTGACTTCAGATGTCCTTTGTTGGCATAAAGCAGCTGAGACCTTTTCCTTTCAGAGGTTAAATCCTGCGTTGTCCTGAGCAAAGAAAATGGAGGGACCCCAAGTGCAGTAAATAATTCTGCAATCTGAGACCCAAGGGCCTCTATCTGGCCACTCAGAAAACCAAGGCTGGAGCTAATATTAGAATAAGATCATTTTTAATGCCTGAGCATCCTTTGAGCTGTAGTTCTACCTCAGAAAATGATGCTCAAGTGTGACAAACTTAGACACTCAACTCCAGTTGACAGGCAGCACTTCTAGTGCCAAGGGTCTGAAAATAGGTCTAATGTGTCAATATATCAGCTTTTCCAAATTTAATCTGATATAAATACTGTGCTAAGGTGATTTTTCTGAGATACAAGGTCATCAAAAGCAAGGAGGATCCAGAGTATTATTGTGAATTACTGTCTTTTGGAATATCCCTTGAGGATTCTCCCATTAAGGGCACTCACCTGCCTGCTATCACACCAATGCCAGGATTTGGTGAGACCAGAATATCAGTGCTCTAAGCAGATCCTCTGGTGGTGGTTGCCTGTTTGTGTCCCTGTGAGTGGTCTCAGCCACTCCAGCACTCCTTGAAAAAAGATTGCAAACCCAGGAAGCTGAGGAAGGCTCTGCAGTCACCCTCCAGCCTTGATCCAGCCATTCCCCATCAGACCCACAAAATACACTGTCCATTCCTACACCAACCACAAGGACTTTCAGATCTCTCTCCTCTTGTCCATGTCTGATGTCCAGTTCCTGTGAATTCCCTCTGAGTCCTGCAGCCCAACCTCCTCCCCTTGTAAATACTAACCCATAAATGTGGAGCCACTGAGGTAATTCCAGGGAACTGCACTCAAGGAGCCAAACACGTGGCACATCGTAAATCAGCCCATCAAAACTCCGTCGTGACCCATCAGTGGCACCATCAGTGCAGAGACTTCCAGGGTTCATTTCTCTGCTCTTTTCGAACAAGGGGCATTATACAAAGATGTTTCTCCCAAATACCCAAGAACTTAGACCAGGAGTAGGATTTTGAGTTGTGGCTTTGGTATCTATTTGGAGAGAAATGCACTTAGATTCTGAGGACTCTGTATCCATGACTATTCCCGTGTAAGAAGGAGCATAATCCTAGAGGTTCTTGGAGTGTGCAGCGTCCAGTGACTCTCCAGGAGTGCAGAGTGCTTAGAGCCCCTGGAAACCCATCACTTTCTGCCATTCCTTGTTTCAGCTTTAAAGTAATTCAGGAACTGAGTTTGAACCAAATTTGGAATGGCACCAGGGTTTCATTTAACACGAGACTCAGTGACGCAGTCATTGGAACATAACATTTTTCCCCTCTGATCTCTCCTGGTGTAGCTTTGCCTGTAACCTTCACACGGCCGCTGCAGAACCAGCAGGCTGAAGAAGGTGGCTCCGTCACTCTGAGCTGTGAGGTGTCAAGGCCAAACACCACAGTGCAGTGGAAGAAGGGCGGGGCTGTGCTGAGGCCAAGTGACAAATTCCAGATGCGTCAGGCCGGGTCTGTGGCCGAGCTGACCATCCACAACCTGAGCGGAGCCGACGCTGGGGAATACACCTGTGACACAGGGGACCAGCAAACCACGGCCGTGCTGCACCTGAAAGGTGGGGCTCTGGGTGTGGAAGGGCTGAGCAGAGCGTGCTGTCACAGCAGGGGCATGCTATTAAATCATCTGGCAGCTAAATGTTGTCCCGAGCCCAGACTGAATCCTGGGGATGTCAGAGTGATTTCAGGGGGATAAGAACTGGGTCAGTCGTCTCTAGGGAATCAGAAATGGGTCTTTAGTCACTGAGTGTAATAATATCACCCACTGAAATTTGTTGGCAGTGTTTTCCCAATATATAGATGGAATTATAAATACAGATTTTATGGATTTGTTATCACAGAATCACAGAATATTCTGAGTTGAAAGGAAGCCACAAGGGTCATCAAGTCCAACTGTTAAATGAATGGCTCATAGAGGGAGCAAATGCATGACCTTGATGTTATTAGCACCATGCTCTGACCAGCTGAGCTAATCTCAGGGTCCTTATCTGTTTATTATGTACATAATAGAGTATAAGATGCATACTTCTTAGTCTTATGGGCATAATATATATGCAGACATACACAAATCATGGATCTGTAAGGTTGTAACAGGTTACTACATGCCTGTGTACCTACATTTCCACAAATTTAGAATCATAGAGCCACAGAATGGTTTGGAAGGAACCTTGAAGATCATATAATTCCACTGCCATGGGCAGGGATGCCACCCACTAGATCAGGTTGCTCAGGGCCCCATCTAGCCTTTCCTTGAACACTTCCAGGGATGGGGCAGCCACTGCTTCTCTGGGCAACCTGGTCCAGGGTCTCACCAACCTCACAGAGAAGTCCTTTTTAAGATCTAACCTAAACCTGTCCTCTCTTGGTTTAAAACCACTGCCCCTTGTCCTGTCACTATCTATCACTATAAAAAGTCCCTCTCCCTCCTGTTTATGAGCCTCCTTAAGGTCTTGGAAAGCAAAGAGGTCTCCCCAAAGCTTTCTCTTCTCCAGGCTGAACACCACCAGATTTAGTATTTAGGGCTTCAAATAACAATAGCATACTGCTGTCAGGGAAGAGCAGAAGGAAATGTTTAACCCTTGAAAGTAGACACCAAACTGTGTTGACCTTTCCATAAAGAGCCAGCAGCAACCATAGTGGAGGTGCTGAAGGACGTCACCTCGTACGAAGGAGAGGACGCGGTGTTCGAGTGCCGGCTGTCCCGGGAAACAACTCAGGATGCCCAGTGGTTCCTGGGGGATGTGCCCCTGCAGTCCAATGAGATGAACGAGATCAGAGTCCAGGGGACACGTCACAGTCTGATCCTGAGGAAGGTGACCCTGGAGGACTGCGGGTCCATCAGCTTCAAAGTCGGGGAGCACACGTCGGCAGCGCAGCTGAAGGTCCGAGGTGAGCAGCTCCCCAGGGAGAGGGACTGGGGAGGTGCTGGTACACCCTGACAACATAGCTTTGGCTTCTGGAGAGGTGTGTTTGGGATTAGGGGTCCTGAGAAATGTTAGGATATTCTGCTAACCTAATTTAGGCATTTGGGAGTTAGATATGGACACCTGATCTGGTAGTTTCAGTAATTTTTATTGCCCATGGATGAAGATTAATATGAATATCCTTTGGAGACCATCCAGCTAAGCAGCCAATCACATGGTGGAATCAATGCTGAAGGATGTCAGTAATATGTTCTGAATTAATCTCCTACTCATGATGTTTTTGAATCATATTTACTAAAAAAAAAGTCTGAAAATTTAAAAAAAAATGTTCTATTAAGTCAGATAGAATGATTTTGAAAGATGACTCGTGACAGTATTGCAGGTTCCTCTCTGATCTGGTTCAAAACATAACCATAGACCCCCACAGCTCTGGTCCAGGGGTGATGTGGGTCAGGCTGTCACAGAACTGTCGGTTCCCTCTTCCCCACAGCGGCTCCGGTCACCTTCGTGAAGGCGCTGCACAACCTGGAGCTGCAGGAGGGGGGCACAGCTCACCTGTCCTGTGAGGTGTCCAAGCCTGACGTCCCTGTGGAGTGGAAGAAAGGCACGTCTGTGATCCACTCCAGCCAGAAGTGCAGCATCCAGCAGGAGGGGAAGGTGCACACGCTGGTCATCCGCGACCTGAACCGCGCGGACGCGGGCGAGTACAGCTGCCAGACGGCTGATGGGAGGACCGTGGCCAGGCTGGAGGTTAAAGGTACGGTTTCCTCTCTGTTCAGCAGTGGGGAAAGGAGGACACATCAATTTTTGGGGCTCTCTAGTGCAAGAGAGACAATGATTTAGCGGAGTAAGTGCAGCACAAGCCACCGAGATTGTTAGGGGGAGTTGGAGAACATGAAGTATGGGGGACAAACTTTTTAGCAGGGGGTGTCGTGATAAGAGGAGAGGTGGTGGTTTTAAACTAAAAGAAGGGAAATACAGACTAGATATAAGAGAGATGTTTTTTCCCAGTGAGGGTGGTAAAACTCTGGCACAGGTTGCCCAGAGAAGCTGTGGCTGCCTCATCCCTGGAAACGTTCAAGGCCAGGTTGGACAGGGCTTGGAGCAACCTGGGATAGTGGAAGATGTTCCTGTCCATGGCAAGGGGTTGGAATGGATTGGTCTTTAAGGTCCCTTCTAATTTAAACCATTCTAGGATTCTTAGTAAAAGGAGAGGTAAGGGCAGCTGCATTTGTTAAGAGTGGGGAAGAGAAGGTTGAAGGGGGACCTGTTTGCTGTCTGCAGCTTCTTAATGGAGGCCTACAGAGGAAAGAGAGAATTTTCTTGGAATGCTCAGTAAACAGATGTCAGGCAACAATTGAAGACTGCAGCAAGAGAAATTCAGATTAGAGAAAACCCAGCCTTTCACCGTAAAGGGGTGGTCAGACATTGGAAGAGAGGCCCAGAGGGGTGGAGGAATCTTCATCCATGGAGGACCTCCAGAGGTCCCTTCAGCCTTAATTATTCTGTAATTGATCCCTGACTGCATGCTCTGATGCCTCAGGTCTGCAGGTGTGAATTCCTTGAGCGATTTTATCCTGTTCTGTGATTTTTATTTCAAGGATGAAAAGCTGTCTGCCCTTCAGAAATAAATTACTGAGATTAGTTGGGAATTCTTTGCAAAAGAAGTTTGGGATATGGGGACAGAAATGTAGCTCATATAAAATTCAAATTCTCCCTGCTGATTAACTCCCCTTCCTTCTCCTCCTCCTCTGTCTAGCCCAGGCCTAGTCATCCCTGTTCTGGCAGCTCTCCTTCGGTAAATCCAGCCGGAATTGCACGTGAACTTCATGAACGGCACTATCAGTACCTTTAAAAATAAAACAATTCCTCCATTTTCTACTTTTGCTTCACCCATTTATTTTTTTTTTCCCCTTCTTCGCACCTTTTTCCCCCCATCCTTCAAGGCCTCCCCGTGCTGTTCAAGCAGTGGCTGAAGAACGAGGAGGTGGAGGAAGGTCGCACGGCCGTGCTGTTCTGCGAGCTGACGAAGCCCGGCGCGCGGGTGGAGTGGAGGAAAGGGGACACCGTTCTGCAGGCGGGCGACAAGTACGAGATCCGGCAGGAGGGGACGCGCGTGGAGCTGCTCATCTACGAGGCTGAGGCCCAGGACGCCGGGGACTACACGTGTGACTCGGGGGATCAGCAGACCACGGCGTCGCTGCAAGTCAAAGGTAGGAGGGGGATTTTTGGCTGTGACCGTTCTGCACAGGGGGCGATCCTGGAATCATCTGGGGCTGGCTGGACGGGGCTCTGAGCAACCTGGGTCTAGTAGATGGTTTCCTGCCCACGGGGTTGGAATGAGATGATCTTTAAGGTCCCTTCCAACCCAAACCATTCTGTGATTTAGGTTGGAAAAGACCTCTGTTGAGTTAACCCAACCATTAACCCAACACTGCCAAGTCCACCCCTAAACCATATCCCCAAGTGCCCAAACCAGACAGAATTTTTGTCACTGAATTGCCATGAACGCTCTGTATCTCTGAGTTACAACTGCAGGAAAGGGTTTGGTTCACAATCTGTCCTTCAGAGAAGAATTCAGTGCCTTTTAAACCCAGTTCTAACTCTGCAGTTGCAGTTTTGATCTTGCTGTGGCAGCTGGGAGCAAAACTGCAGCTGCTGCTAGGGAAGGGTATGTACAAGAGCAGTTAGAAAATTTACCTACTACCTGACAAGAAAATGAGGATATTTGACCATATCTAGAATAAACTCACTTTAAATGGAGCCACTGTACCAGTTAGTGCCTGAGCAGCCCAACAATTGTGGCTCTTTGCCTTTTTCTAGTGGCTTTATTTTTGGACTTCATAATAAGAATTCTATGTCTTTAGACTTGAACAGCAAGACTGTATTTTTAGATCTTGGGCTTGGTCACCATAACCAGCTCCTGCTCACTGTGAGGTTTCAGTGACTAAATGTCCAAAGTCTTATGTCCCAGCTGAAGAAACTGGGTTTTTCTAACCTGGAGAAAAGCAGGCTCAGGGGAGATGTTATCACTCTCTACAACTACATGAAAGGACGTTGTCATGAGGTAGAGGTTGGTGTCTTCTCCCAGATCAAAAGCAATAAGATGAGAGGAAACGCTCCCAAGACTGGATGCAGTTTAGACTGGATCTAAGGAAAAAATTATTCACTGGAAGGGTGGTCAGGCATTGGAACAGGCTGCCCAGGGAAGGGGTGGAGCCTGAAGATATTTAAAAGGCATGTGGCACGTGGGAACATGGATTAGGAGTGACCTAGACAGTGCTGGGCTAACGGCTGGACTCGAAGATCCCAAAGGTCTTTTCTAACCTGAATGATTCCCGCTCTGTGATTAGTGATGTTGTACCTCTATCTGCTTACACTGAAAAATGGTGGCTGTGCCCATGTGGAGACCTTTAGAGCCCCTGTGACCTCTAACAACCCTTTATGGAGCAGCAGTGGACACCCTGCCACCATCAGCAGCTGATCCCCTGAGCGCCTGGCTGGGGCACAGCTCAGGGTGTGGCTCAGAACGAGGGCAGCAGCCAAGCTGGAGAAGTTACAATCGAGTTCCTCACCTCTGAGAGCTGTCACTGATGCAGTTGCTTCTCCACCACAGTACTGCCAGTGCTGTTTAACAGAGAGCTGAGGAACATAGAGGCTGAAGAAGGGGGAACGGCTGTTTTGCACTGTGAGATCTCCAGGCCGGACGCCCCCGTTGAGTGGAGGAAAGGAGGGGTGGTCATTGAGCCCAGTGACAAGTACGAGGTGAAGCTGAAGGGCAGCATAGCTGAGCTGATCATCCATGGTGTAGAGCCTGATGACTGTGGGGATTACACCTGCAGCACCGGATACGAGATCACCACAGGTTCTGTGTACGTGCAAGGTAAGGGGAAACGTGGTGGAAATGCTCCCATTTGGCTGCCTGGGTTCCTCACTCCAAAATCTTTGGGAGTAACTGGACAGAACAGTCTCAGGTGCAGACAGCTGAAAGGCCATTCATTTCTTTCCTGATTCCAGTGAGGATATAAACACTCACCTTCAGGCTGGGGTTGGGCCAGTGTTTATAAGTTAAACTAGTTCAAAGTACTGTGAACCGTAACAGATGGTGGTACTGCTGAAAAACTGCTTGCTTGGAGCAGTGGTCATAAAAAATACTGACATTCTTGTTATAACTGATTTCAGCCTCTATCTTCTTGTTGCTCTTATTATTCTTTAAAGCACTCGAGTGAACATTTAAATCTTAAGCTACATCTCTGCCTCCCGCCTCATACAATGCCACTGCAGGTGGCTGCAATGCACAGGCATGACCTGGTCATGGAATGGAGTTTCCTCCCAGTGAAATGGTGTTTGCAGAGACACCTGCAAGCAGGAGATGGAGGATGGAAGGTGGTTTCTAACTCCCTTCAAGAAAATTTTAGCCCTTTTTTTTTTTTCCCCCTGGAACAGCACTACGAGTTTAACTCTCCAGGATGACTTACACTTGGGTTAGTTCTGCAGGGAGCCTCGTGTGTGTGTGTGTGTGTGTGTTTATGCTCTTGTTTTTCCTTTGGCACCTTCTCTTGCTCTGTCGTGCAGAAGAAGCAGCAGTGGTAGTTTCTGGTTTAAGGAACACAGACGTCTTTGTGGGCGAGTCAGCCACGTTCACCTGCGAGCTCTCGCACCCGGGCGTGAGGAACGTGCAGTGGTGGCTCGATGGGACTCCCCTTCACAACAACCTGGTGACTGAAATCTCTGAGCAGGACGGGAGGATCCACACTCTGACCCTAAATGACGTGGCCTGCCACGACTCAGGCACCGTCACCTTCAGAGCTGGGTCCCTTATATCTTCAGCTAAATTATTAGTCAAAGGTACTTCCCTGTCAGAAAGAAACACTCGGCCACCTCTGGACCTGCTCCATGTGCTGGTGCTTCCGCCTTCCAGGCTACCCTTACTAAACCCCTTCACAGCTCTTCTGTGCCCTGCAACCCTTCACTTCTGCAAGTCACCAGTACTCACCCCAGAAGTCTTACAGGTACAACCACATGGAATTTTGCAGTGGTTCAGGTGAGGAAGGGTTGCAGGCTCAGGGCTGCTGCTTTCCCCTGACGTCAAAGAAGAGATGAACATAAACAGCTGTTGTAGCACCTGACTTTTTATCCCCACTTCAGCATTTTCGAATCATACCCCAAAATCTTATGGAGCTGGTAATTCACAAAATTATCACAGTCAGGCTACTGCTGCCCAGCTCAGCATGTTCCCAGGACAGGACTTTGGGCTGTTCCTGGAAAGCAAAGGATATATGACGTTGCAGGAACGCAGTGACAAAATGAACCTCGTTTGTTGAATGGTCCTCACTGCCCTAGCAGAGCTTTCTGGTCTGTTAAATAACTATTTTTCTCATTTGGTAAGGGTAGCCACAAGCTGCAAATAACACTGAGCTCCAGACTTGACAAAGCAAGTTCCCTCCCAGGCAGTCCTTTTACAGCATTGGGGAAAAGCTGCTATTTTTCAGACAAAATGAATGCTTGTTCCTTGCTTGGAGAAGGGATTTGTATATACAGAGATATAAAGTGTTAAAAATCCTTATTTAAATCTGTCCCACCAGGAACGATCCACAATATGGAATTGTAGGCAGTGGTTGATGTCTCCTCTGTATAAAGAGTCCCTTGTGCATTCAGAAAATTTGAATATCTGCAAAGATAACGTGCCAAATCACTTCTTCCTGATCTCAGAATGGTGCAGCAACAACAGTGTGCACACCCCACAGATCCTGTGTCTGTCTGCATCAATTTGGAATGTCACATTTTCAGAGACAGAACCTGGTTCTGAGCTGTCTAGGGAACAAATTCCAGTGGGTCTAAAACATGAATAAAAATAAATGCATCATTAGGTCTTCTACTCAGCCAAATAAAAGGCTCCTGAGAAGTTTCCATTTCACGGAATCACAGCATCATTGATGTTGGAAGGGACCTTTGGAGATCATTTACAGATGCTAGTACACATAGGAATGGGGATATTTTGTGCTTCTATGAAGGAAAGATCTCTTTATTGTGAGCCTGAATTACAGTAGTGTATGATTATAATTGGTTTAGGATTAGAAAGGTACTTAAAAACACCTCAGTTACACTGTGCTCAATAACACTTGATTTAATTAGAAAGTGAAACACCAGTAAATTCCCATTGTCCTTGTATTAACAGACAATTTCAGGCACTTTTTGTCCATAAATTTAAAAGCATATCTGTCTTTGGACTGTATTTCAGTCTACCTGGCTATCCATGGCTTGTCCTTCACCAAGGAACAAAGTGACTTTCTCTCTGTTCCACATGCCTCATTCTCCTGCTTTAAGGCATGCTGGTAACTGGATATATCCCATAATAAGTGAGGTCTCAGCTCTTCTTATTGGGCTTCCACCATATCATTGCCCTACATCTGTACTTGTTCAGTGTCCCAGTGTGACATCATCATCATGTCTGGGAGGGGGGAGAACGGGAAAGGCTGAAGGAGCTGCTGCCTTCTTTCTGACCCCTTTGGGCGGGGGAGAATTGCAGGTCCTGTTGCCCACACTGGCTCCAAAGTCCCAGGGAGCCTTTCTGCCATTCTGCACAGGTGAATAGGGGCACCAAGGTCCTTTCCCAGCAGTGGCAAAGAGGGAAGGGGCAGTGGAACCAGGACACTTCCCTTCTGCAGCACCACAGGCGATATTTGCTGTGAGAGACACGTTTCTACCTCTTATGAAAGGAGATAGTGTTGTGCTCCCCAGCTGCACAGATCCCTTCTGGCTTCTTCAGTCCTGGTGTCACCAAAACCTCTCCCTGGTCTTCGAAGCATCGAGGCCTCCTCTCCATAAACACACGTGCAGACACAGGGAGGGGCGGAGGGAACCCCAGTGAGCAGGATCGAGCCTTGCAACAAAGTTCCCAAAAGGTGTTTGCAGGACTGTCTTTGCTTCCCGAGGTCTGCTTGTAGCATCCCAAATCCTCAACCTGATGCACCAGCTTCAGGAGGAGCCAGGCTGAGGTCCTGTGTAGTTTAGTCTTGCTGGTTTGTGATCAGAACAACTCTTGGAAAGATAAGGGCATATCAAAGAATTATAAGATGCCCTGAGTTGGAAGGGACCCACAAGGACTATCAAGACCAATTCCTGATGGTATATCAGCTTTCTCTGACTGTCCTTTTGTAGCCTTATCATTTTTTTTTTTTGGAGGAAGTTGACATCATTCTTCTGAGAATAATATTGCAGAGAGACTTCCACTTTCAGCCTTCATTGAGATTTTTATTTTAAGCATGAGTGGTCCAATTTGAAAACTCATGAGGGACTCCTTGGCTGCTTTGGAAGCTCACAACATTTTAGGTTAGATGTATCTACAGTGCCCTACAGCTGCCTCACAAGAAGCTGCTGAAAAGGAAATCATATTGTTTTCCCCCAACTATGTGTCTGCTGCAGAGGAACCAGTGGCTAATCAAAACAATACATATCTGCCCCAGTGGAGTGCCCCTTTTTGTCACAATTGTCCTGGATCTTTGCTCCTCACGCTGCCAGTGACTCCTGACAGCCCAGGAGTGTGTGTTTGCATTCGAGGGCTGGGTTTCTCTCCCATGAGTGGTTGCAGTTTGCTCATACAAGGAGCCTCCAGTAGGGTTTGGGATGTTTTGCTGTTTCTCTGTGAGGGGGAGAGTTACAGGGAACCGCTCCCAGCAGCCCACCCACTGCTCTCCTCTGTCTTACCCTTATCCTCTGCATCCAGGAAAGCAGAACTGTTTCACCCCCAGTGCTGCCCCATCTGGAAGATCTCAGCGATGCTGGGAGAAAAAATAAGCCCAGAGGGAATCCCTACAGGTGTTCTGCTCAGAAGTCCACATTCAGGAGTTTTAAAGCACGAGCCTTAACTGCTGGTGGCCCATTTTCCAGTGTGATGGTCGTGTTCTAACACGCCAGTTTGGCTTCAACCCTGCTTGATGCTGACACAAGCACAGACTAAACTGCTAATTCCCAGCTTGCACTGACGCTCTGCTTGCTCCTCACGGGCTCTGTGCTTGTCAAAAGACTCTCCAAGTTGCCATTTCCACGGGGATCCACTAATGCATGTCCTTCCTGACGTGTTGGTTAACAGATCCCACCATTGAAGTGGTCAGTCCCATGCAGGACATAACTGTTGATGAAGATGGCCCGGCAGAGTTCATATGCCAATATTCTAGGCCAGTGCACGCCATCTGGAAGAAAAACGATCAGGAAATACATGCAGATGGGCAGCGAGTGATTATCGATCAGGACTGGAATGTGAGCATGCTAAAAATTAACCCTACGGTCCCAGAAGACACTGGCATCTATTCTTGTGAAGCTGGAGGCACTAAAGTGATGGCTACACTTGATGTTCAAGGTGAGGCCTTCCAGCCAAAGAGGCAGACTGTCACGGTTTGCCAAATAAAAGAGGCAGAAAAATCATGGCAGCACTTCGGAACACATCAGACACCTGCTCTTGGTATTCACTCCAGTACTGAGAGTAAACTGGGAATTAGTGGGAACTGAGTGTGAAAATGCAGCGTTAGCTCAGTTCTAATTAGCTCTCCCTTATTGCACCACTCACCCATTGCTCCTCTTCTGCAAAGAACTGGAACCTCAGTGTGATGGTTTGTGTCCTGCTGAATTGTTGTGAAACCACAGATACAACCTTGGTCCAAATGAATTATAAGAATATTTTTTGCTCTTGAAGAGCATTTTTACACCCAGTGTGCCTTAAAAAGCAGTAAATAATGGCTAGTATGGAATTCCATTTGATTTCTGCTGAGCTAAGGTGATTTACTTTTTCAAATAGTGACCCTTCTCACTTGGCATCAGCACTTGGGAAGACCCCGAGGAACAGTAATTAAAAACATTACAACTAAATTTAGGATTTTACATGGATGTGTCGTCTTTTTTTTTTTTTCCTGCTGCACATGGAATTACTGTGTTTGCTTTACCAAGTAAATTACCGTGATCAGCAAGAGTAGTGGTTCTGATTTCTGAATATTTGTGGCTGTTTTGCCTTCCTGCTTAACTGGAGCTGTTAGTGCAGAAGAGCAGGGTATTATTTATTATAAGGTTTTCTGTATCTATAAGCACTTTCCATTTTAGTGATTTAAAAAGATTTTAATGAATAAAAGCAATTGGCTGCTTTCCATAACTAGGGAAACCAACACTCCAAAAGTGCACAGATTAACAGCTTGGATTTGTTCTAAGAAAATTATACATCATCCAAGAAGGGTTTTCAAAAACCTTGTTCTCCATAAGTATGAATATCATAAAATAAAGGATTTTTTTTTTATTGTCATGAAATCCTAGAGTGGTTTGGGTTGGAGGGGAACTTAAAGATCATCCAGTTCTACCCTCTGCCGTGAGCAGGAACACCTTCCACTATCACAGGTTGCTCAGAGCTCCATCCAACCTGGCCTTGGATACTTCCAGGGATTGGGAGTCTATACACAATCTCTCTGGGCAACTTATAATCAGTAATAAGTTAATCAGTAGCTAATAACTTTTTGTTGTTAAATTAATTGTTCATTTGTTGATATTTTTTAAAATTTATTTATTTTTACTAATATCTTTTTTGCTTAGCAAAGTTCCACATAATGGCTCTAGAGACCTAAACAGGAATGTGTGTTGGGTTATACCCCAGATCATTCTGACCCCTGGACGGCATTTGTGTGAACTGTATTTACTCAGCTGTGTGTCCCCACTCCTGTGCATGCCCCTTGTCCCTGTAACTGGTGCAGTACAGGTTATATCCCTCCCACACCAACCCACACATTTAATTTTGCACCAGGTGGATTGTTCATGTCCAGGTGCCAAGCGATGCATGACCGCGTGGGCAGATGGAGTCTGGAGGTCTGTGCATGTTTCCAACCCCACAATTCACCCCACACGCGTGGCAAAATCACCCTGATTGTCACAGGGCTTTTGTGATAGTTCAGAAATTTCTGCTCAAAGTGCTCCTAATACAGATCTTCACTTTCTGTGTGTTTCCCAGAGGCAGAATTGCCTCGGGTGACAGTCGCTGTAGCTTTGCCAGCCATAATATTCTCTTATATTTGCTTCACAAGAAAAGTAACAAGATTTTACCATGAACTGCCAGTGGATTCACAGCTATCAAGTTCTGATGATGATTGTGCTGTCTGGGAGATCTTTGGGGAATGTTTCCTGCTGTGGGACAGAAGGAATTTGGTTATACTTTGCCTTCCTGAGCTATCCCTTCCTAACGACTGTTGTCCTGATTCATACAAACAATTCTTTATTTGTAAAGAAAAGCCAGGGTTTTGGAGGAAATCTAGGTGAAATACTAGAGGTCCTAGAGTTTTATTGTTATTTTTAAACTATCTCACTACTTCAAATCTTTTTAATTTTACTTAGAGGGTGGTTGAAATCACTTAAACCTACAAGCACACTTTATCACTTCCACATTTTTCCGTCGGCTTTCCAGCAGTGGGAATCATCCAGTGGCTTGTTCCCATTCAGATATGCATGGCCAAATAACTAATGCTGTCCGTTGTCCTTCTCTTCCAGCCAAGAACAGCATCGTCCAGGGCCTGGAGAACGTGGAAGCGGTGGAAGGAGGGGAAGCCCTGTTCGAGTGTTACCTCTCCAAGCCTGAGACCTACAATTACAACTGGCTGATTGACGACGAACCCGCCAAGACCACGGAGAACACCGAGATGGTTTACTTCGAAAATGGGCTCAGGCACATCCTGCTGCTGAAGAACCTCACCCCCCAGGACAGCTGCAGGGTGACCTTCATGTGCAGCGACGCGGTGACCTCGGCCTTCCTGACGGTGAAAGGTAAGTCGAGCGCTCGGTCAGGGGGGAGTCCTCAGCATTCTGGTTGGAAAAAGGAAAAGGAACCAGGGGAATGTGATGAGCAGCAGGGAGGAAAAGTTGCGTTTTGTTGCCTGCTTCTTACCTAAATCTTCTTCCTGCAAGATAAATCATAGAGTCATTAAGGTTGGAAAAGGTCTCTAGGATTGCTGAGTCCAACTGTTAACCCAACACTGCCAAGCAACCACTAAAACAAAGAATCACAGAACCATAAAAGCAAGGAACGGTTTGGATTGGAAGGGACCTCAAAGATCACCTGGTTTTAACCCCCTTCCCATGGGCAGGGACACCTTCCACTAGCCCAAGTTGCTCCAAACCCTGTCCAACCTGGCCTTGGACACTTCCAGGGGTGGGGCAACCACAGCTGCTCTTGGCAACCTTTGCCAGGGCTTCACCACCCTCACAGGGAAGAACTTCTTCCTAATATCCCATCTAAATCTACTCTCTTTTAGTTGAAACCTGTTCCCTTTGTCCTGTCATTCCAGGCTCTTGTAAACAGCCTCTCTCCATCTTTCTTGTAGCTCCCTTCAGGCACTGAAAGGCCACAATTAGGTCACCCCAAAACCTTCTCTCTTCCAGGCTGAACAAACCCCAATTCTCTGTTCCTTTCATGGATGATGTTTTACTGTTTTCATATTTGCTTGTTCTGTAAGACATGACGTGGTTAAAAGCAGCAACACCTGGCACTGAGTGAGCAGCAAATGGCTGTCTCACAGTTGTCATTAATGATTCTGATTAATTGGGTTGTGTTTATATGTTCTCCAGGGCTTTAGAGGTGAGAGTTGTATCAACAACAATATTATCTCTGTGTCCTTGTACTTTATGCTATTATTGGAGACTCCCGTGGGGATCAGGACCCCTTTCAGAGTACAAGGACAGCCATCAGTCCCCAGTTATGGGTTGGATGGGGCTTTGAACTTGGTCTAGTGGAAGGTGTCTTTGCCCATGGCAGGGGGGTTGGAATGAGATGGTCTTTGAAGTCCCTCCCGAATCCAACCATTCTGTGATCCTATACCTTCAGTTCTGGTGATAAACATAACCTCCCTTTTAATGATCTCCTTGGTCTCCAAGGCCTGGCTGCCCAGAGCTTCAGCATGAATATTCCCAGCATCTCCTGATTGTTTCTGTAACAGGGGCCTTGATTACCGATTCTAATCTACAGGATGGCGCCTGCAGTTCTTGCAGCCTCTCAAGGATGTGGAAGTCTCTGTGGGGGAGAAAGCCACGTTTAGCTGTGTTCTGAGTGAAGCTGTGCCCGTTAATGAAGTGGCCTGGTACAGCAATGATGTAGAGATCCAGTCGGGGGAGGACTGGGAGGTACACGCGGATGGAAACAAATACAAACTTATTCTGAAAAAAGCCCGGCCACACCACTCTGGAGAGGTGACCTTTGCTTCCAGGGAAGCAATTTCATCAGCCAAGCTTTCTGTGATAGGTAAGTGCCTGTTGTTCCAGCCCAGTGGCACTTGGAGTCTCAAAATCTGGTATTGAGCTAAACCCCTGAAATTTCTAATCTTTGCTCCAGTTCTTTCCCCTTTGCCTCGCACGTCCCAAGGTGATGTTCTTAGTCTGAGAAGATGCTACTGGGCAATCTGTTCTTTGATCAGAAATAGTCCATCTAATTCAGGCTGGTGATGGTAGAGATGTTCACCAACTTTTTTAGCTGTAGTCTTTGTAAAGTGTGACATAGGCTCTAAAGAAAATCAATTTTTTCAGAGTTCAACATCACCCTCAGAAAATGTGGATGTAGGAGGGAGCTGAACTGGAGTCCACATGGAAAAATTATCCAGGACAGCAAAGAAGTCTTTGTAATCTGTAAATCAACTCAAGGGCAGGGCAACCAGTTTTCCAGATTAATGAGTTCCATATTAAAATCTCCATGTGTGGGACGTCCATGAAACACATAATTTGTTTTCTGACAGATTTAAATTGTCTTTACCTTATTTTGGGCACCTGCATTTTAGGAACTGCAAAATACAATCCTCATGAACTCCTCCTGTTAACAGATTTTTCTGTATGACATTTAGCTGACAATAGAGAAAAAAAAAGCTTTTTTATGTTATTTTTATTGTGTCCAGAATTAAAGAACTGCCTGTTGACCACATTTGCCTAGTACATCGTGGCAGGTAATTTACATGGTAAATGTCTTGAACTTGAAGACTAAAACAATTATTTCTGTCTTCTAAGCCAAACTATAATTTAATTATGATTTAATTTCCAGTGTACTGAATATGGGGGTTGGAATTGGGTGATCTTTAAGGTCCCTTCCACCTCCAAACCATTCTGTGATCATCAGTAACCTGTCTGGTAGGGCACCAGATCCTTCAAAGGACAGATTTATTTGTTATTGCCTGATGTTATGACATGTATCACAATTACACAGAAATGATTTGCTATTAAAATACTAGAGTTACACTTTAGTTACCTCTTTACCCATCAATACCTTGATTTCCATTAAAGCCAGAGCTAAACTAAACATAATCAAGGCCCAGATATACCTGAAGTTTGCAGCTAATTTCCTCGATGATATGGACAGTGAAGGGTTACCTTTATTTTGGGAGCTGGGTGGGACAAACCAGCAGGAAAACAAATCACAAAATATGGCACAAAGAAACACTACAGGACGCAGTTCCTTTGCTGTCTGATTAAATTCTTGATGTTTTTGGTAATTTTTACTCCTCCTAAGCTAGTGTAAAGCTATATTTTTTTATACTTTCGAGGCTGGGATGAATGCTGCTTGGAATAATCCCTTTTTTATTGTTTTTACTGTTTCTTCCTCATCTCACTTCAGAACTGCCTCACTTCTAAACATTTAGGATCTTCCAAAAATCTCTAGAACTGCTTGAATACTGGGGATGGGTAAATGAGGACTATCAAATAAACACAGGAAGGGGAAAAATGCAACCACTTCTGCATGTATAAATTTAGATGGAGATGGGTTAATCCCTGGAAAAACTTGGAAGGTTGTTTTAGTATTGTCTTAGGAATTGCAAACTTTGGATGCTGCCAGCCTTTTTTTTTTTCCCTTTGGTTGTCTACAACAGTTGATGAATCTATAAATGTTGAATGGGGTGCTTGGAGTGATACAGAGTGATCTGGAGTGCCTTGGAGCCAGATTATGATCCGTTCTTTGCGTTAATTCATTTCTATTTTTGCACTTGCAGAGCCTCCAGTTACAGTCACCCAGCCTTTGGTGGGAGGATCAGTCACGGAAGGTGGGGTGGCTCGCTTGGAGTGCACATTATCCAGTGAAACTGGGGAAAAAGTGACGTGGCTCAAAGGAAAAGAACAAATAAAAGCTGGGGGGAGGTACGAGATCCTCTCCGATGGAAAAAAGCAGACGCTGGTTATCCACGGATTCAGACCCGAGGACCAGGACACCTACACCTGCATGGCTTCTCCTGAAGTCAAATCTGTTGCCAGCCTGAGTCTTGAAGGTACAGAGTGTGCATTCCTGTGGTGTTACATCAGTTCTGTGTGTGGACACCCAGGAACATCTCCACAGCCTGGATTGGAATTTGCTTTCTTTTACAAACCCTGATAGCAATCCACAAGCAATTGTTATTTTCCCTTTTTTTGGTATTCCCCAGTATGTTTCTGTGTCTCAAATAGTTCTGAGTTGCTCAGCTAAGACTTTCCTCAGTCAGAAATTTAAGGTGTGACCCCACGTGTCCCTACATGGGGGTTGTGGTGCCTTCTGAGATGCTCCTGGGTATTCCATGGGTGTCCCAGACAACCTGGAGCATCTCTAAAGGCACTGTGGAGAAGCAGGTGAACGTGTCCTAGAGGGTGAGTCACAACCTTCAGACTCAGACACATCCAAACAGGCAGGTGAGGTGTGTCCATGGGAGGTGGGAGTCCCAGCACCCAGCATGGCCACTGGAGATCTGTTAAAGTCAGCCAGTGAAGCTCTGTCTAAATGTAAGAGGGGATTATCCTGAAGAGCTTTCCAGCCTCTCCTGACAGTCTCAGTTTGGTGTTCATCAACTGCAACGTTAAAAAGGGGCAAAAATATATTTATTTGGTTTAAAAATGCAAGGAATAATAACCAAAAAAAAGTTGTTGTTTGGCTATGGTTTAAGTGCATGCATACAATCACAGGGTGCTTGAATTTGGAAAGGACTTGTGAAGACAATGTGGTCCACCCCTCCTGCTCAAAGAACAAGTTTCCCAGGGCCATGTCCAGCCATGTTCACCTCCCAGAGAGGTTGTGGAGTCTCCTTCTCTGGAGATATTCAAAAGCCATCTGGACTGTGTCCTGAGCAACGTGCTCTAGGGGACCCTTCTTGAGCAGGGAGGTTGGACCAGGTGACCTCCAGTGGTCCCTTCCAACCTTCTGTGTGATTCTGTAAATTCACATTTTGTCCCCAACAGAATGCTTAGTTAAATGCCACTGATACTCCTGTGCTCAGGCTTTAGGATAACATTTCCGTGTTTCTCAGAGCTCACTCACAAGGCTTTGTCTTTCCACGTCTCGTCATTTTGACTCTCCCCAGTCCCCACAGCGGCGATGCTGAAGGAGATTGCCAGGGAAGCACCCGCTGCGAGCCAGCCAGAGGAGCTGGTGGACGGCCAGGTCCAGCCCAGCTTGCCCCCTGAGGCTGCTCAGGAGGGAGATCTTCACCTCCTGTGGGAAGCCCTGGCCAAGAAGCGCCGGATGAGCCGGGAGCCCACCCTGGATTCCATCAGCGAGGTGCCCGAAGAGGACGAGAAGCTGCAGAAGTTGAGGAAGGAGGAAGCAGAGATGTCCCACTACTACTCAGAGGAGTATTCCACGTGTGATGAGCTGGCCAGGACGGGAGAAGCCGATTTCTCTTTCACGAGCTCAGATGATGAGTCCAGAGCTGGGACTCCCTCGCTGGTGAACTACTTAAAAAAGAAAGCTGGGAAGACAAGTATCGGTGTCACCAGCAAGGTTCAGTCCACCTCCACAGGAAAATTATGGAAGCAGTGGGAAAAAAACACTGTGGAGACTTCTGTGACCACCACAGTTGCCAAACCAGCTGAACCAGAGCTGCCGGACTTAGACGACCCTTCCATGAACAAGGCTGCTGTGAAGATCCAAGCCGCCTTCAAAGGCTACAAAGTCAGGAAGGAGATCAAGCAGCAGGAGTGCCCGGTGTTTGCCGAGACCTTCAAGGACTTCTCTGGCGAGCCTGGCAGCACCCTGCACCTGGAGTGCGTGGCCCACAGCAAATCCGACATGAAGGTCCGCTGGCTGAAGGACGGGCAGGAGCTCTCAGACGGCCGCTACTACCACATCGACAGCTACAGCGACGGCACCTGCTCGCTGATCATCGCCGGCCTGGACAGGAAGGACGCGGGGAAATACACCTGCGAGGCGTCCAACAAGTTCGGCAAGGTCTCCCACAGCGCCACGGTGGCGGTGGGCGCTCAGGAAGCTCCGGTGCCGCCCAAGAAGCAGCTGAAGCAGAGCACCGACAGCGAGACGGAGAGCTCGTCCGGCAGCGAGCTGGACGACGCCTTCCGCAAGGCGGGGAGGAGGCTCCACAGGCTCTTCAGGGCCAAGATCTCCACGGAGATCTCTGACGTGGAGGAGGAGCTCTTTGTCAGCGCGGACGAGGGGGACGTCGACGTGGTGGACCACCAGACGTACCGGGAGGACGACCAGTACATCTACATCAAGTTCGAAGTCTTGTCCGAGGCCAAAACGGCCGCCACTCGGTTCAGGGAGATGTTCGGGGCGCTGGGGATCCCCGTGGAGATCGACATTTTGGAGCAAGGCCCTAAAAAGGTTGAGCTGCGTATTGGGAAGGCGTCGCCACCCACCTTTGGGAAGTTTGCCCCACCAATAGCGAGACCTCCGCCGCCTTTGCTGACTTCTGACACAGGTAGGGGAAGCAAACCTTGGGGATTCCTTTTTTTGCTTGTGAAAAGACAGCTGGAGTAGGTCAAAATATTATCTTTTCACTCACAAACAACTCAAAAAAACACCTCTTTTTTTCTTTTTTTTCTTTTTTGGGGCAGATATTTTTCTGAAAACTTTGCACTTTCAAGGAAAAAAAAATTAATTTTTTAGGTTTTTTTTCATTTAGAGGGAGAGAAAGGACCTTAGAGCTTAAGGAGGGGGTTGTAAAATATCAACTTCTCTATAGAGCTGCTTCTCGCAATATAAATGCCTCCTATTACAATAATAGAGCCACAAATGCTATGACTATTACACTTAAATGAACAAAACAGTTTTTAGAACGGTCCTGAGGGGGACAAGACATTTTGGCAAGGAGAGGAGGAGAGGAAATGCACAGTGGGCAACTGTGCTTTTGGAGTGTCTTCATGGCTTTTGTCAGGGAGTTCCTTCTTGACTGTTTTCCTACACATCCCCCTGAAAATAAAAACCCAGAAACCACAAGTCTTCAGGCACTGAGCTCTTCAAATGCACCTTTTAACACGAGTTTTCTCCTTTCTCCCCTCCCACCACCCCCACTTCAGCTCCCATGTTCATGACTGAGCTGCAGAACCAGGAGGTGCAGGACGGGTACCCGGTCAGCTTTGACTGCATTGTCATCGGCAAACCACTCCCCACGGTCCGCTGGTTCAAGGACGGGAAAGCTATCGAGGAGAACGACCACTACATGATCAATGAGGACCAGGAGGGGTGCCACCAGCTCATCATCACCGCCGTGGTCCCCACCGACATGGGTGTTTACCGTTGCCTGGCTGAGAACAACATGGGAGTGGCTTCAACCAAGGCTGAGCTTCGAGTGGACTGTGAGTCTCAAAAGTGCTGTAGGAAAAAAAAAACACAAGGGAAAGTGTCCTTTTGGGAGGTGGATAATAATTATTTTTTCCCCAACAAAAACATCATTTACTTATTTATAAAAGTATGTGTTGCCCAGCTGTAAAACTCTGAAGTTTCTTAAGTTCAGCTGGGTTTTGCCTCATGGGTTCAGGTGGGTTTTGCCAACTTTAAGGCAGGGCTCAGAGCAAAGCTTTTCAGGTAAACAGAGGTGTTTCCCATAATCCAGGGTTATGTGGGGTCCTGCTGCAGGGAAATCTTAGTGGGAAATCTACCTACAAGTCGCTCTGGAATTAGTAAAGAAACTTATTTTTCTTTTAAATCCCCCTACTTACTTATTACGCAAGAACTATAATAAGTAAAAAAAAAATAAAATAAAAATAGTTTCAAAGCTCAGATTATCAAAAACACATCTTCTTCCATTTAACAGTGACCAGCACTGACTATGAGACAGCAGCAGATGCAACAGAGACGTCCTCTTACTACAGTGCCAAAGAATATATTTCAAGGTAAAATATCAAACTCTCGCTCCAGCTTCTGACTTGATGAGATCAGTGCATATATTTATGTCAAGCCTGGTTTTACCCTGGCTAGCAGGACCAGTTTAATGTCACAAAGGAGCAGCCAGACCAGCTGAGATGCAAAAACTGCAGCAGCTGGACGTTTATCACATGCACATTTGTTCTGGCTGCCCTCAGGCAAGCCTGGGTATTTCTTCATGGTGTCACTCCATTACTTCAGTGTCAGATGGGGCTGAATCTGCTGTTGTGATGACAAGACCCACAGTCTGAATTAACCTAAAATAGGCCATTCTCATTCCTAACTCTTATCTGCCTTGCTGACTTCCCTCTTTCTAATTCCCGTTGCTTCTTAGCCGGGAGCAGGAGGAATCCACCACTGAGGAGGAGCAACTGCCCCAGATCTTTGATGAGCTTCATGACATCCACGTGGCACCTGGAGCATCGCTGGCTAAATTTCACCTGAAGGTCAAAGGTGAGTGGATCCCACAGTGCTGTCAGTTTTCCAGGTTTGGTGTCAGGTTGAAGCTCTGGACAAGGTTTTCCGAGGTGCTTTTCTGCTGCTGCCACCCCAATTTGTGCACCTTGCACCAGGAGAGCCCAAACCAGCCTGGAGAATCATGTTCATGCTGATGATGAACACTGACTTCTGCAGCTGATAAAGTGTCTCCAAGCATAATGACAGGCAGGTGCTTCTGAAAACTGAGTTCTGTGTTTCTCTGAGCACAGGAGCAATAAGGAATAATAATAACAATAATAATAATGATGGTAGTAATAATAATAATAAAGTAAGGGTTTCCTTTATTCTCTTAAATAAATTAAACAGTCGTGGACTTGCCTTATTCCATGAGGAGGTGGCTACCACAACCTAAAAACTGCCAAAACATCCTCCTGGTGTTGAGTGTGGCAGGGAGAGGTGGGGATTTTCCTGTTTTCTCCAATTGCTGCTTATAAAAATGATAAGAACTGATTCGGCCTCAGCTTTTCTTCTTGCGTATGTTTCAAATCAGCCCCAGGGGTTGTTTTTCCAACCTTTAAAGCTTTTACACTCATAGCCAACATGGGGAGTGCCAGAAACTGAGGAGTCAGGAAAGGACTTTAATGGATAAATAGAATTTAATGAATTTTTTAGCCGTTCCTAATTGGGTGAATGCTTGAAACAGCAGCCCAGGGCAGAGCTGGGGGTTCATTGCCTCCTGCTCAGAAGGGTCTGCCTGTTTGGAGACGCTCCCAGATGGGTTTTGCCAAGGAATTGTGTTCCCCATGTCCGTAACTGCTCCTCACAGGGTACCCACAGCCTCGTCTCTACTGGTTCAAGAATGGGCAGCCCCTGAAGGCCTCTGATCGCATCCTGAAGACTGACAGGCAGGAGTTCCACTCCCTGGAAATTCGGGATGTCACCAAGGCGGACGCTGGGCAGTACCTGATCTTTGTCATCAACTCTGCTGGCTCTGCGTATTCCTCAGCCAGGCTGGTGGTCAGAGGTGGGCACTGCACTGGTTTGGGGCACTTGCTTTTCTCTATTCCAGCGGGTTTTTTTCCCATTTTCTAAAGTTATTTTTCTTGAGAAACCCCACCAAGGGAGCTCAAGTGAGGTGGGCAAGTCTGTAGACGAAAGAGGGCGTGCTTTAATTTTGGTTCACCAATAAATTCACTGTTTAGGAAGATGAGACATGCCACTTCTCTAAGTGCTCACAAACATGCATTTTATTCCTGCCCAACCTCATTAACTTTCAAAGTTTATTTTATTAAACTGAAGGCCTCTTATGAATCATAGCAAAATTTTTGTGTACTATCTCCAGCAAGGAATAACCTCCTGGAGTCACCTTTGGGATGTTTTTTTCTGTATTTTTCATTTTGTTTTTTCTCCTTTCATTACAGACCCTTATGAGAAAGAGGAGCCATCCAAAACAGGTGAGAGAAGCCACAGCAGGACATACCAGAACCCCCAGGAATCTTTCGGTCTAAACTCACTGTGTTCCATCAATAATGTTATTTTCAGATTCCCATGAGCAGCTGATACCACCCAGGTTCCTTGAAAGATTTACCAATAAAAAGGTGAAAAAAGGTGCCAGCATCACATTATCTGTGAAGGTGGAAGGTAAGTGGGTTGATACCTCGTGTCTCTGCTTAAAAAATTGTGTAACTTTATGACACATTCCGGACTCTCTCTGCCCCAAGTCACTGTAACCTCATCTCCTGTACCTCAAGTCTGGGATTCCACTCCCAGAGTTTGCAGCTCTTACAAAGAGACTTTGCACAAAAGCATCTTATTCGTCTTCACCTCCATCTTCCTGTATGTGACAACAAGGATAATGACATTTATTAGTCTTATGAAGATTTATTAACAGTTTTGGTTTTACTCCTTCTGAGTGTGCTGTAAACTAATTTATAATATATATTATGCCTGCTATTGCTGGAAAAGTGTCAGGAAATGGATCAAAACAACATTTACTCCCAGCATGGCTCATGTTTGCGAGGAAGGAACACAATTAGGAGGATTAAAGCTCATCGCTTCCCTTTTCCTGTAGGACATCCACCCCCAACTATTACCTGGATGAAAGAGGAGTCCCGGGAGGACATCCTGTGGATCAAACCGGACACCCCTGGCTATAAACTTGCCAGTTCCAACATGCACCACAGCCTGATCCTGCTGGATGTTAAGAAGAAGTACAGTGGAGCTTACACCTGCATCGCCACCAACAAGGCCGGCCAGTCCATCTGCACGGCCAACGTGGAGGTTGCAGATGGTAAATCTTTGTTACAGCACAAACACACTCTCTGGGTTTCCCTTTTATGCAGTGCCCAAGAGGAAAAAAGCAAGTGTGACTGATGAGGAAATTATCAAATCATGCGCCAAAAAATGCGTTTTCTCAAGATTAGCCACGACTTTTCTCACCTTGCAAATGGTTTTGTTCTTTACTTCTGTAATATTTTAGATTTTTGACTCTATCTTGTATTACGGGGGCACTTTTTCTGTATAAACAGGGGACAAGTCTAAAGAACAAGCAAATTAAGCACAAATTAGAGAGAGAGAAAGAAAGAAAGAAAGAAAAAAGAAAAAGAGAGAGACAAAGAAAAAGAAAGAGAGAAAGAAAGAAAGAGAGAAAGAAAGAAAAAGAGAAAGAAAAAGAGAGAGAAAGAAAAGGAGAGAGAGAAAGAGAAAGAAAAAGAAAGAGAGAAAAACAGAGAGAAAGAGAGAAAGGCAATGTAACATAAAAAGCATAATTTTAAAAATTACTTTGAGTGCTTCACACTCTTATTTTGCAATGTAAAATCACCTTAAGGCAGCTAAAATTACTTGACTTCCCTTTTACAGAGCTTTCCAGGGCCTCTTTTGCCACTTGTTCCTTCAGTAAAATGGGGGAAAAGCAAATGTAGGCTGGGAGTAGGGGCAGCACTATGAAGGACCCCATTTTGCTGTCATCCTTCCTTGCATCCCACATTTTTTCCTGTACCAAGAGCTACAGGAGCAGAGCTTGGGCAGTGCAGAGAAATGGGGCAATCCTGTGAGCGTGACCAGGGGGAGGAGCAAACTCTTGGCATCAAAGGAGTAGGAATGAGTATCCCAGGTCAGGAGCTGCTGCAGGTTCAGTATTTCACTCCCAGAGTTTGCAGCTCTTACAAAGAGACTTTGCACAAAAGCATCTTATTCAGTCTTCACCTCCATCTTCCTGTATGTGACAACAAGGATAATGACATTTATTAGTCTTATGAAGATTTATTAACAGTTTTGGTTTTACTCCTTCTGAGTGTGCTGTAAACTAATTTATAATATATATTATGCCTGCTATTGCTGGAAAAGTGTCAGGAAATGGATCAAAACAACATTTACTCCCAGCATGGCTCATGTTTGCGAGGAAGGAACACAATTAGGAGGATTAAAGCTCATTGCTTCCCTTTTCCTGTAGGACATCCACCCCCAACTATTACCTGGATGAAAGAGGAGTCCCGGGAGGACATCCTGTGGATCAAACCAGACACCCCTGGCTATAAACTTGCCAGTTCCAACATGCACCACAGCCTGATCCTGCTGGATGTTAAGAAGAAGTACAGTGGAGCTTACACCTGCATCGCCACCAACAAGGCCGGCCAGTCCATCTGCACGGCCAACGTGGAGGTTGCAGATGGTAAATCTTTGTTACAGCACAAACACACTCTCTGGGTTTCCCTTTTATGCAGTGCCCAAGAGGAAAAAAAACAAGTGTGACTGATGAGGAAATTATCAAATCATGCGCCAAAAAATGCGTTTTCTCGAGATTAGCCATGACTTTTCTCACCTTGCAAATGGTTTTGTTCTTTAACTCTGTAATATTTTAGATTTTTGACTCTATCTTGTATTACAGGGGCACCTTTTCTGTATAAACAGGGGACAAGTCTAAGGAACAAGCAAATTAAGCACAAGTTAGAGAAAGAGAAAGAGAGAAAGAAAGAAAGAAAAAGAGAAAGGAGAAGAGAGAAAGAAAGAAAAGGAAAGGAGAGAGAGAAAGAAAGAAAAGGAAAGGAGAGAGAGAAAGAAAGAAAAAGAGAAAGAAAAAGAGAGAGAAAGAGAGAGAGAGAAAGAAAGAAAGAAAAAGAGAAAGGAAAAGAGAGAAAGAAAGAAAGAGAGAAAGGCAATGTAACATAAAAAGCATAATTTTAAAAATTACTTTGAGTGCTTCACACTCTTATTTTGCAATGTAAAATCGCCTTAAGGCAGCTAAAATTACTTGACTTCCCTTTTACAGAGCTTTCCAGGGCCTCTTTTGCCACTTGTTCCTTCAGTAAAATGAGGGAAAAGCAAATGTAGGCTGGGAGTAGGGGCAGCACTATGAAGGACCCCATTTTGCTGTCATCCTTCCTTGCATCCCACATTTTTCCTGTACCAAGAGCTACAGGAGCAGAGCTTGGGCAGTGCAGAGAAATGGGGCAATCCTGTGAGCGTGACCAGGGGGAGGAGCAAACTCTTGGCATCAAAGGAGTAGGAATGAGTATCCCAGGTCAGGAGCTGCTGCAGGTTCAGTATTTCAGTGTCCCCAGTAATCCATGCCTAGGAAATGTGCCTACACTAAACACATAAAAAAACCCCAAACAAACCATTCTCTGCCTTCTGTCCCCTAATGCCAAACCCTAATCTTGCAGTGAAAGAGGCTGAAGTTCTGACCCAGGAGCGGGTGATGGTGTCCGAAGCCATCATGACCACACTGGGGTAAGTGCTTGGCCAGCCAGGGATGGAAAGTGCTGTAAACACTCTGATACCGAGGTCAGACATTTGTTCTTGATGGTCAGGCAGGATGGGAACGGGGATGAAAAAAGTAAATGAATTTGTGTAGGTCATATAAAACTATTTTTCATCTCCTGAGCAGCATGCAAAGAAAATTCACAGGGCCAAGGATCTGGCTGTCACTTGCCAATATTGAAATACACAATAAAAGGAGATGAAAAGGGTCCATTTCACAAATTTCTTGTTCACAAACGTATCTCAAGGTTAATCTCTTCAATTCACTGTTCTTGGTTTGGACTTTAGGCAGTCTGGAAAGTGCTACCCCCTGAACATAAATTAGCTTCTGGAAATATGTCTGGCCTAAAAGAGCTTGACCAGTTTTTCCTCTGAAATGTGAAGGAAAGGCAGAAAGCTGCAGTGTGACTTCACCTATTCCCCTGCAGCCTCTCCCAGTGATGTGTGATTCAGTGATAATGTGATTTATCATTTATCAAGTGGGGTGAGCTTCCCCCTGCTTCCTAACAGAGAATTAGGGATGATCAGCTTTTGCAGTGAAAATTTATATCCTCCCCCCAAAAAAGCTCAGGAATAGCAGAGATGTTGACATCAGGATAATAATTTTTGCAGAGCTTTAGCCTCGGGAAATACCACACAAGTTTTCCTCAAGAGACCCAAGCAGATGCTGGTAGTTCTTCACATCTGGGAAAAAAAATCTGCTCTTTCCCTGCTGGCATGAATTAATTTGGGGCTGGTGAAAGCTGTCAGTGTAAGAAAGGGCTTTTTGGACCTCAAAACCATGGCAGTACCACCTTGTTTCCCAACCCATGGGCATCCTGATGTGATGGGAGCAGATCACAGCAGAGCTGGCCACTTATTACCCTGACTTTGCTGTCCTGATGGAACCACAGGGAACTGCTGAGCACTATTAGTTGTCTGAAAACTGACTGACACCACAGATCCCACCTGACATAACGTCTCTGCCTGCAGAAGTCTTATTGCAGTGTCAGCTGGGGAAAAGTAGCACCAGGGAGATGGAGCCTGCTCCGTTCTGGAACCCATTCCTGGGCAGCTCAAGCGCCAGCTTGAAATGAGAGTCAGGAATTAAGGAGAATTCTCAGATGGGATTTGGCTCCAAGTTTGAAAAACCCACTTTTTTTGTGTGTCCATATGAGCCAGGTGCTGCAATTCTCATTTCTCACAGCGACCCTGGTGTGCATCAACAACTCCCAGCACCTGCAGCCCAAACCAGGGCCCTAATTTAGATATTCCCTTTATATCCGTGGTGGGAGAAGAGGGAATGTGTTCCTCGTTTAGCTCTCCTTACCACCCATTTTACTTTCACTTTTAACTCCGCTTTGCTTTATTTTTCAGAGCTATTCATCCCTCTGAAGCAAGAGAAGGTAAGAGAAGATGTTTCCTCTCTCCTACTCCTGCCTTTCACATCTACAGCTGAGGTTGTCCATGTATTTCACGATTACCACCTAATTTTGTCCCATTTTCTCAAAACTGCCTGAAATTTTGGCACTTTTCAGTTCTCAGCCTGCTCTCTGTTCAAGGGTGAATTGTTTTGGGGGGACTGTGAGCAAGCACAATTTTAAAAGCAGGAGAAGGGAAGAAAAACAGACTTCCACAGCAGCTTTTATTACTCAAAAAACAAACAAAAAAAAGATTCCTTCCCAATTCCCATCTTAAAATCAGATTCTCTCTTTTCCAGGAGACCTTGAAGGAAGGGAAGGTGTTCCCAAAAGCCCTATTTCATTAGCTGATGTCGGCTCGGAGGAGTTCTTCCAGAAACTCACCTCACGGATCTCGGAAATGGTGTCTGCAAAAATAACTCAGGGTAAGGAACCTGCCAAACACGGTTTATTTTGTGTGGAAAAAAAAAAATCAATCCTTTTTTTTCAGGTGCTATTTAATTAAAAGTGAGATTTATGCAGTAGGATTGGAGCCAATTATCCCACATAAGCTCAGGACTAAGGAACTTTAGTGGGAGTCCATCCAAACTGTGTCTTAGTTTACAGTTTGGAACTAGGAAAAAAAAAGCTATTTTAGTAAGTTCTAAAAATAGAAGTGTGTTTTTCCCATCCTAGGTATTTCAGTTTCCTCAGATATTCAACCCTCCTGAGTTGGAAAACAATCCTGCTTTCAAGGCTTCCCACATCTTCAAGTTTTAGCTCACAGTGGGATTTTAAAACCAAGTTAAGGCTGGAAACTCAGTGCAATGAGTTGCACTCTCAGCCACAATTTATTAATGAAATAAACGAATTAAATGAAAATCCTGGTTTGTGTTTGTCCTGATCATCTTGTGGAAAAATTCTGACTCGAAACAAAAATAGAGGCATTATTTCTCCAAGAAATATTCTTGCAGTGCAGTGGCAATACCTGTATTAAAACATCCCAATATTTTATTTAATCCTAAATATCCGTAGGAAACAACGTTAAACTAACTACAAATGCTCTTCCCAGGGAATGTTTGCCTTGAAGAAAGTGAAAACTATTACAGATTTATCCTTATTTCACACTTGGCTTTTCTTTTTTAGCCAAGCTTCGGGTGCCAGGCACAGAAAGTGATGATGATTCAAGAACTCCATCTGCATCTCCTCGCCATGGACGGTCCAGACCTTCATCCATAGCTCAGGAATCCTCCTCTGAGTCTGAAGATGGGGATTCCAGAGGAGAGGTACAATATCTTTAGGGACAAGTTTGACACCAGGGGAAACCTTGCCTCAGAATAGCCAGTTTTTTATAATTTAGGGCTGTAATTCACTTTAGAAGGTGCATTTAATAGTTAAGTGTTTGATTTGTGGTGCAAAGTATCACATTCTGATGAAGAAATTCTGATCAAGACTTGAACAAGTTGTTCAAGTCAACGTGGTCAGAACTCATCCGTCATTTGGCACCTCTTGTTTTCATGGCTGAGCTTCAGAGAGTCAGAGCTTGATTTTCTGTGGGCCTTGGAGACAGTTTGTCAGGAGAACTTTGTTGCAAAAATGAGAATTTTGTGAAAAATTAGAATTTTTTTTTAGGTGATCGTGTCAAAAACGCTTCCTAAAAAAAAAAAATTAATTAAAACTTCTGAAATGGTAACTTATTTTGAAATTTTCAGGACTCCTGGTTTTGGAGGTTTTTGGGTGGGTTTTTCTTTGCCTTTGGAGGAAAACTCTCTGTTTCATTGTGTAAATATGAGCCAGCTCAGAGAGACAGTTCTGAAAACACCTGAAAACCTCCAAGACCTTTTCAGTCTTCCACTTACAAAAAGTGGTTTTCTTCGCCCTACAAAGGCTGGAGAACGAAACACTACATGGAGATAAGCACTTTCGTTCTGCTGGTGTTGCTCTGCCTCGTTTCCAGACCCCAGAATAATTGTTGTTTCATTCCTGCAGATCTTTGATGTCTACATGGTCACTGCTGACTATGTCCCTGCTGCACCTGACAGGGAGACCATCACCCTGAAGGAAGGGCAGTACGTGGAAGTCCTCGATTCAGCTCATCCTCTCAAGTGGCTGGTCAGGACTAAACCCACGAAATCGAGTCCCTCTCGACAGGGCTGGGTCTCTCCAGCTTACCTGGACAAGAAATTGAAGGTGACTGATCGTCCTTGGTTATTTTTTCATCCAAAATTCCTTGCTCCTGTGGCAGTTTAGAGCCATCCCTTTTGGAAGGAGCTTGAAGGGATCCCTTGTTGAAGGGATCTGTGATGTGGCCACAGACTTTTTCATGTTTTGATTAGACAATAACTGTGGTGTGTGCAGAGGTGCCTGGGTTGGAAAGGCCAAACCACCCTCCAGCGAAACAGAAATGTCCCACGGGTTTGGGAATTCTTGAAAGGGACTGTGAGCACGTGAGGGACATTCCTCAGCGTGCATTGATAAAAGCACTGCAGAGAAATAAAGTGATAAAGTCACTTAAAAGAAAAATGTTCCCTTTTTTTCTTGTGTTGCAGTTGTCACCAGAGTGGGGGACGACAGAAATCCCCGAGTTTCCTGGAGAGTTTGTTTCTGAAGATGAGTATAAAAGGAAGCTGAGGTGAGCTCGTGCCGTGGGGTATTTGCACCTTGGAGTTTTCCTGCCTTTTCACCTGACAGGAGTGTTGACATCCAGGTCCTTCCTGTCAGAGTCACTGTTCCTGTTCTGCTCAGTCCTGCCCTCTTCCCTTTCCCAGGATCAGGCAAACCCTGGATTAGATCAGACTCATATTTTAGGATCTTTGATTGGATTTTGCCATTGATTTCAGCCTGGGAAAATTCCAAGTGTTCCCTGAATGGTTTGGGTTGGAAGGGACCTTCAAGATCGTCCAATTCCAGCTCCATGCCATGGGCAGGGACACCTTCTACTGTCCCAGGCTGCTTCAACCTGGCCTTGGACACTTCCAGGAATGGGGCAGCCACAGCTTCTCTGAGCAAGCTGTGCCAGGGCCTCCCCACCCTCCCAGCCAGGAATTCCTTCCCAATATCCCATCTGACCCTGCCCTCTGGCAGTGGGAACCCATTCCCCCTTGTCCTGTCCCTCCATCCCTTGTCCCCAGTCCCTCTCCAGCTCTCCTGGAGCCCCTTTAGGCCCTGGAAGGTGCTCTCAGTTCCCTTCAAAACCTCTTTTTCACATTGGATGACTTTAAAGGAGGGTTTTACAGCATGTAATCCTGGAAGATCTCTGATTTCACAAGATCCTAAACTGCAGCATCTCAGCACTTTGGGGTGCTCTGTGTCTGAGGATGCATCTCAAGGGCATTTGTGAATGATTTCTCTGTGATTTCTTTTTAACCTCTTCATCTTCCCCTCAGTGTTCTCATTCAGGAGCTGCTGGTCTCCGAGGAGGATTACATTCAAGACCTGCAGTTCCTCCTGACTCATCACCTCAGGTACACAGAGACCTGTCCCAACGTCCCAGGAGCTGTAGCCAGCCAGAAATCCACCATCTTCAGGAATATTGATGACATTGGTCGCTTCCATTCCAGGTGGGCATTCCCATGTGCCTTCCTTTGAGAGCCAAGGAGTGGTTCACATACAAGGTGTCAGAGCCACACTATTATTATTATTATTATTATTATTATTATTATTATTATTATTTTGCTATTTTATTATACACATATTATATTTTTTATATATTATATAATAAAAATAGTGGTATTAATGTGAAGCACTGGCAATAGGGAGGTGCAACAATACTGATGTTCCTTTCAGGATGATAAATGATGTCATGGCTTCAATCAGAGCACAGGGTTGGGACTTCCATAATACCCTTCAGAACTTCAAGGCTTCATATATCCAGCTTATTTCTTACCCTTTTAAGTGAATTTGACTGGAAAATAGTGAATTATTATTTAAAAAAGGCAACAGCGTCTTACAGGAACTTCAGTGGTGTCTTCACAGAGACCTTAATTCATCTAAAACTGAACATCCCTGCAGTCCAAACACATCCAGCTGGGGCAGGCTGCCCACATGGCACAATGATTCTGCCTTCTCCAAGGATTTGCTGCAGATCTGGGCCATGAAAACAGAGTTCCCTTCTCCTTCCCCCTTTGGCTTTGTACACATGAACCTGCCACCACATCCCCCATGAAACAGAGTGGGGATCTCTGTCTTCACTTCCGTGGGTGGCTCAGAGATCCTTAAACTCAGGCATAAGGATCTGGAGAGGGTTTAACTTCCCAGTCTGAGCCAAGACCTTGGAAGTTCTCCCTGCCTTCCTTGCAGGGCATTTCACAGAATCATAGAATGGTTTGGAGCCTTAGAGATCATCCAGTTCCAACCCCCTGCCATGGGCAGGGACACCTCCCACTACCCCAGGTTGCTCCAAGCCCCGTCCAACCTGGCCTTGGACTCTTCCAGGGATGGGGCAGCCACAGCTCCTCTGGGAAATCCATTCCAGTCCCTCCCCACGCCCTCACAGGGAAGAATTTCTTCCCAATATTCAACCTAACCCTGTCCTCTGCCAGTTTGAAGCCACTGCCCCTTGTCCTGTCCCTCCATGCCCTTGTCAGAACTTCCCACACCTCCATCCAAGCTGAGAGGTTCAGCATCCTGCTGGATGAGGAGGCACCAAGCTGTTTGATGCTGATGTGGCAACATCCCTCACCCCCTCCCCGGCCATCTCCTCCGACCTGTCTTCTCCTGACACGTCCTGATTTCCAAGCCTGGCTGCTGGGGCTGTGCTCCAGCCTCATCCCACCCCCTTCTCCTCAGCTGTCCTCTCCCCTTTGCCTCCACAGCGTCTTCCTGAGGAGCCTGCAGGGCTGTGACACCGATGATGACGTGGCCATGTGCTTCATCAAGCACGAGGCGGAGTTCAGCAAGTACATCCAGTACCTGGTGGGAAGGGTACAGGCTGAGTCCGTCGTTGTCAGCAAAGCTGTCCAGGACTTCTACAAGGTAAGGCACTGACCAAACCTGTGGGAAGTGCCTCCTACAACCCACTGCGTGGAGAAATGTGGTTAATAGTCACAAATGGGATTCCTCAGAAGGATTGTTAATACCTTTTGTAATCTTACGTACTCAGCAGTTACTGCAGCCTGATGCTCACTGCAAAACAAATGCCCATGTTCACACTCACCACCCGTTCCCATGGGTAATTACTCCCATTTTCCAGGGAGTCATTACTTCTATTTTTCTTTGTAACAACCTTTCCTCATTCCTCCGTGTATTTTTTTCCAGAGGTACACGGATGAATTTGAAACTAATGAAGATCCTTCACAGCCACTTATCCCACCACTGCAGCACTACCTGGAAAAGCCCATAAACAGGATCCAGCAGTATCAGACAATAATTAAGGTAAGGAGGTTTTGGGTGTATCTGACAGGTTTATGTTCTGCTCTGTGCAGCTTGGAGAGAAAAAGATGTTATTTTTATTTCCTATTTCTTGTCTTCCTTCTGATGCAACTGCAATTGAGAGCTGATTATATAAATAAGAAAGTAACTATCACCAGTGGTGATTTTCTCTAAAAAGTTCTGTAAATGTAAGTCCAGGTAGAGGTTCACAATCTCTGACCACTTAAAATTCCATGAGCTTTATCTGAATGACTTTTAAATATACCTATATAAGAATGTAAATATATATATATATATTATATACATATATATGACTTCATATATTTATATATCCATGACAAGTATCAATTTGCTTCAAACTCAGCAACACTTATGTCATAAAAATAAGCATTTTCCAATGTGTAAGATATTGACTTACCACTTTTTTAACTTGTGTTTTGTGCTGCCATTGCAGTAAGAGGGAGTTTTTTATTTTCTGAAAAGCTTTGCCCCATTCTACCACCCCAAAATATTTAATCTTTCAAGCTTTAATCTGTCCTGCCGGCTCAGGTTCTAGCCCAGGCCGTGAGCAGACATTTCAGAGTAGCATTTTAAACAGCATTTTCATGGGCAAGGGCATTAGGGCATCCAGGAAGAAGAGAGTCATGCCAAAATATTTAGGTGTTCTAGTGTTATATAAATGAACAATTTGAATAGTTTGAAGAGATTGCTAATTTTGAACACGTTCTTGGACACAAACACTGAATTCTTTAAGGGTGTCCTGGAGGAGTGAAAGCACTTTCCCTGCCTTCATTGCTGAAAGAGAGGAACAGGAACAAATCTAAAAAAAAGGAGGAAAACTGACATTTCATATTTCTCCCAACCTCTCTTTGTATTAATCTGATGCCACCTCTCAGTTCAGCTCTGTCACATGAATTGCTTGTCCCGTGGTGTTGTGAGGGGAAGCAGAAGAGAAATGCAAGGGATACATTTTGGTTTTGAATTGTTGGGTTTCGGTCACTTTCTGTATTTTTATTTGTTTCAACTTTGTTCAATATTAACTGATATAAGGAAAAGCCAAACTGGTCAGTCATTACAGCTTTAGGAAAGAAAATACTTGATTATCTAAGCAGCACATGCTGGGAAAAAAAAGGGATAAAAGTTGCTCAGGTGAAAGAATTGGAAGAGGTATTGAGAAACTCTTTGGCCCTGAAGGCAGTGTGGGTTTTTCCTCTGATTGCCCTTCATTCATCTACAGGAATTAATCCGAAACAAAGCCAGAAACAGCCAGAACTGCACCTTGCTGGAACAGGCTTACGCTGTGGTGTCTGCACTGACCCGGAGGGCAGAGAACAACCTGCATGTCTCCCTGATTGAGAACTATCCAGGGACCCTGGAGAGCCTTGGCGAACCCATCCGGCAGGTAACTGGAATTTCTCGGTGGTGTTGGTGCCATCTGTGCCTCCACTGGCTCCTGAGTAGCCTGAATTCCTCCAGGAAACTCCTTTAGGAACCGTGTGTGAAAGAGGGTTTTTGCTTCCCCCCATTTCTTGCTGCTCCAGAGCAGAGACACTGATGGAGCAGCTCACACATAATGGGATTGTTTGCCTTTCTGATTCACTCACCAAAAAGCAAGAGATTTGTTCTGGGATCCCACATGATTTTAAAGCATTTTATTTTTATTTCCTCCTCCTCTCTTATTATTCCCACGCTACAGGCCAACTCCTGAAATTATTGTCATCTAAAGGCCTGATTCTCCTCCAGGTCTCTCCCATGAACCAGGTGTGGGATTTAGGATCACAGAGGAAAGATGACCCAGCTATTAGGACACCAGTCTGGGATTTTCAACACCCTCAAATTCCCATTTCTTTATAGACTTACTTGCCATTCTGGGCAAGTCATTGATTGTGTCTGTTTGTATCCAGTGTTTTCCATGGGAATCACGGTGCATTCCTGAGTGGAGTTGTAAGGCTGAATTACAGCGGTGGGGATTTATCTATCCATGTTTAGACACTCAAAAAAAGAGTCCAATCACACCCCAAGAGTGTTTACTTTTTCTTAACTGAGCTATGTCTGAAGGTATGTGGAATTAATGTCCTGCTCTGGTGAAGGCCACAAAATCACCATATAAATTGTCTGTATAACACACAAAATGCAATTTTCCATTGGTGTTTCCAAGAGTGCTCCTGCCTGGCAAGTGCTCTGTATTTTTCTGGCAGCAAACCATGCCTTTGAAAGGACAGTGTGATGACAACCCCTGTGTGTGCCCCCGGTGGCTCTGTCAGTCTGGTGGGTCACCTTTAGCATTAAAACCCATCTGTTGTGCTCTCATAAACCAGAGACACACCAGGTGATGATGTCACAGGAAACATTTATCTGTTCATTGAAAAATTATGGTGAGATCATCATTTTTATTACTTATTTTTATTATATTACTGTTATTATATTATAATATTACTGATATTTATTAATTATTCCAGATGCATCACGAGGTGCTCTCCCTTTTTTTTTTCCTATCAGGGCCACTTCATTGTGTGGGAAGGAGCTCCAGGAGCTAGAATGGCATGGAAAGGACACAAAAGACATGTTTTCCTCTTCAAAAACTACCTTGTGATCTGCAAACCGAAGCGAGACACAAAGACAGACACCTACAGTTACATCTTCAAGAACATCATGAAGGTCTGACCACTTTATCCTCCCCTGGAGCATTTCTCTGTCACTTCACATTTATATCCAGCTTGGATGTTTCTCTAATCCTTTTGGGCTATTCCTTTGTTTCATAAAGTCTTTGAAGCCCAAGTAAAAATCTACAGTTATCCCAAAATATCATTTCAGAATTGACAGAAACATGTCAGAAACAATCAGAACCTGGATGTAGCAATGAAATTACGAGTATTAATTCATTACTTCATTGAGTTAACACCATAAATGCATTATATTGAGGTGAATTTTGCTGCTTATAGTATTTACTGGCATTTGTAAATCTCTGGTTTTGGCAGTCTGTAATGTTGGGAGTAAATTGGAAGAAATGTTATGCTGCATTCCGTGGGGTTCTCTCTGCTGGTTACACCCTTTCCAGATACAAATTCCAGTTTAGAAATGAAAAAAATTCAGAGTATTTGACCAACTAGTCTTCAGACATTCAGAATTAAGACTGAAAGTAATCGAGGAAAGAGTTTTCACAAGGCAAGAGATGCTCAAATCAGTAAAAAACACCAACTAAAAAAAAACCAGGGAGTTCTTGACCAAGCTCAGCCAGGACATCCTGGAAGTCCTTATCTCTGTCTTAACTGATATTCATGAGAAGATATGTTACATTATTTTCTTGAAATGGGATTATTATTCCCAGTAAAATGTCAGTTTGGGAACCAGAAAATCAAGTATAGTGAGGGAAAATAGCTCTCAGAGAGCACCTCTAATCGCTGTTCACCAAAGCCACGTTGCGACGCTCACACAGTCCCAAAAAAATCTTTAAAAGCTGCTGAGAATTCCTTCTGCTGCTGGGAATTCCTAAGAACTTGCTGAGTTCCTTGCCCTTCTGCCACACAGCTGAACAACATCGACGTGAACGACCAGGTGGAAGGGGACGACCGGGCGTTCGAGATCTGGCACGAGCGGGAGGACCTGGTGCGCAAGTACCTCCTGCAGGCACGGACCGTCAACATCAAGAACTCCTGGGTGAAGGAGATCTTGGGCATACAGCAGCGCATCAGTGAGCCCATCTGGAGTAAGTGTGGCCCAAGGCAGCCCAACCCTCCTGTTTTGTTTTTTATTTTCTGGGATGATTTCCTTGGCTCGGGAAGGAAACGAGCGCAAGGGGAGAGAGTTTGAGGTGATCCAAACACCACGTGGGCAGAGCTGAGGGAGGTGGTTCTGCCCCTCTGCTCTGCTCTTGGGAGGCTCCACCTCCACTGTTGTGTCCACCTCTGGGACCCCCAACATCAGAAGGATGTGGAGCTGCTACTGCAAGTCCAGAGGAGGCCACACAGGAGATCAGAGGGTTGAAATACCCATTCCATAAGAAAAGGTGGAGAGAGTTGGGGTTGGACTCTGATCCAGAGTCCTGCACTCACCAATATAAATCCCCCTGTGACTTCTTTTGGGTATCAGACCCTCTATTTGACTTCTGGCTTAAACAGCTGTTATCTGTGCACTTGGGTTTGCTTTGGAATTTTCTCTGGTCATTCAGGCTCCATCATCCTCAGTGTCATTTGAGATTCCACCAGTTTTCTGTTCACAACATTTACGAGCAGGGATATTGAATCTTTATTTTCCAGGCATGAGCTACAAATGGTGTCCACTACAGTGTAAGGATATCTGGCATCTTAAAATGCCAGAGGAGGGTTGTATTTAATCTATATACCCTGAAAACAAGTCTGGGCATTTAATTTTTGTTCCTTTAGTCAGATGTTTTTATGAGGAAGGCTATCAAGAGTAATTGTGCATCGTTTCATATGGTAATAATGAGTTAAAATAAAAGTCCCTTAACAAAAGAACAAGTTGCCCAGAGAAGATGTGGATGCCTGGAAGTGTTCAAGGCCAGGTTGGACAGGGCTTAGAGGAACCTGATCTAGTGGAAGGTGTTCCTGCCCATGGCAGGAGGTTGGAACTAGATCATCCTTAAGATCCCTTCCAACCCAAACCACTCTAGGATTCTCTGGCTCTAGAAAGCATAGATTTTATTGGATGGAGACCAACAGTTTGGATATCCAGGGTACACTTTATTTGAGGAATTATGTTAATGGTGACATGTGTGTGAATAATGGATGTGCTCATTAAAAAGCATGGTCAGCAACAAATCCCTTTTTTTTTTAATATGGCCTATCTTTATGGCCAACAACAGACATCTGGTGGTCTGAATTTAGTCTCAGACAACCAAGGACAACATCTCACCTGGAAAAGCTTGAGCTTCCCCTTCTGAAGCTCAGAGATTTGCAAATTTATTTTTATCTTACATAGCAGCAGACCCTCCTCCAGACTAACACAGCTTCTCCTGATGTTTCAGTACCCCCAGACTTTGAGGAAGAACTGGCTGATTGCACGGCTGAGCTGGGAGAGACAGTCAAGCTGGCCTGCAAAGTGGTGGGAGCTCCCAAACCCTCCATCAGCTGGTACAAAGGTAGGGGCAGGAAGCCATGAAATGCCTCCTCCTAAATTGTCCTCTGCCTGTATTGTTTGGTTGGTGGGTAATCAAAGAGCTGCTCACCTCGAGATACCCAGGTGTGGTGACCATGTTCATGGTCACTTTGGAGGTGTTCCTGTGGCTGGCAAACCAGAGCTGTGAGTGCACAGCACATTGGAAAAAATGTCACTGTTCAGGGAGGGTTGGTGATGTGTGAGGTCCCTCAACAGTGCTTTGCCCACAGGATATCCTACAGAGAGCTGGACAAAAAGATGAGGAGCTCATTCCTCAGCTATCAACGTCAGCTGCAATAAAAGAAATCCAGCTCTCAGTCCTCTCAAGTGGAAAAGCTGGATAAATCCCAAGGAGAAAATGTAATGGCTACTAAGATATTTTAAAAAAAATCACTTCCCTTTGCCTTTCAGATGGAAAGCCAGTGGAGGTGGATCCCCACCACATTATAATAGAAGATCCTGACGGTTCCTGCACGCTGATCTTGGACAACCTGACAGGTGCTGACACGGGACAGTACATGTGCTTTGCTTCCAGTCCTGCTGGAAATGCCAGTACCTTGGGAAAGATCCTTGTTCAAGGTAAAGTCCTGCACAGATGCATCATTTTAAAGGGGTCTGCTGTGTGATGCTTTATTGTGCCAGGAATAGTGTGGCCAGAAGGACCAGGGCAGGGACTGTCCCCTGTGCTGGGCACTGCTGAGGCCACACCTCAAATCCTTGGTCAGTTCTGGCCCTTTCACTTCAGGAGGGGCATTGAGGGGCTGGAGCGTGTCCAGGGAAGGGGCTGGAGCAGCAGGAGCAGCTGAGGGAGCTGGGGGGGTTCAACCTGGAGAAAAGGAGGCTCAGGGGGGACCTTCTGGCTCTGCAATCCCTGACAGGAGGGGGGAGCTGGGGGAGGTCGAGCTCTGCTCAAAGAGAACAAGGGACAGGAGGAGAGAAAATGGCCTCAGGCTGTGCCAGGGGAGATTTAGATTGGATCTTAGGAAAAATTCCTCCACCAAAGTGCTGTCAAGCACTGGAACAGGCTGTTGGAGTCCCCATCACTGGAGGTGCTCAAAAAACCTGTGGATGTGGCACCTGGGGATGTGGTTCAGTGGTGGCCTTGGCAGTGCTGGGGAATGGTTGGACTCCATCATCTTAGAGGGTTTTTCCAACCGAAATGGTTCTGTGTTTCTGTGATAAAGATCTGTATAACACCTACTGGATAAGGTTTTAAAAAAATTATTTCATGTGGTCTTCAGTGTCCTGTGTGCAGACACCATGAGAATGACCTGGTCAGGGCCACATCCTTCCTTTCTGGTCCTATTTCCAGCTACTATTTAACTTACCTTTGCTTTGCAGTGCCCCCAAGGTTTGTGAACAAGGTCAGGAACGCTTATTTTGTGGAGGGTGAAGATGCCCAGTTCACCTGCACTGTGGAAGGAGCACCAAGGCCTCAAATCAGGTCAGTCCTACGAGTCACACTGGAACAAATCCTGGTTTCCAGTTTTGCATAGCCAGGAAAGTCTTTTGGGGTTATGACCCTTTCTTCTCTGTCTTCCACCTTTACCCCATCCCAATCCTGGCTCCTCCTGATCCCAACATTCCTGAGGTTCTCAGCTGTTTATTGTAGCTAGGGATCTTAAAAGAAACACCTACAGATAATCCCTGGCTGTATCAGATCTAACATTTTATCATTTCTTTATTTTATCATTTCTTTATCCCCCCTCCCTTACACCTGAACTGCTTTTATCACCGACCAGTCTTCAGACAAAAAGCTCAGCCAATCTTTGCGTCATTTAAAGCCCTTTTCCTGCACTGGCTGATGAGATTCCTTGAGAAGAATCCCGTGCAGTTCAGTACCCATGTGTAACCCACCTGTTTTCCACACACAGGTGGTACAAAGACGGGGTGCTGATAAAGGACACGAGTAAATACCAGGCTTTCAGTGAGCCCCGGAGCGGCATCGTGGTCCTGGTGGTCAAGAACCCTTCCAATGAAGATATGGGACACTACGAATGTGAGGTGAGTTCACAGAGGTTGAAGTACCTGCCATTTGCAGTGATACAGAGAGAAGAATTCATTTCAGACCCATGGCATGAGAGCAGTGGCTGGGTAACTGCTGCCACCTGGCATATAAAAGAAAACCCACATAGAAAAGTCAGGCTGAACTGATCTGGAGAGTTTCTGCACTGTCTTTGAGTTATGACACATTCATGCTGCTACTAAGAAACTGTCCCAAGCTAAAAGAAAGAAAATAAATCTAATTAGAAGGATAAACCACTGAAATTCCTGTTTGTTTAGCAAGTATACATGGAAGTATCTAATGAATTAAAATAAATGCAACATATTTTCTGAAAATTGGTCATAGTCCATGCATTCATTGTAATAAAATAGTAATAAGCTCTGAGGGCTTGGCAATAAAAATAATTGATCTGGGTTTAGGAAATTAATGGGTCAGTTGCCCCCTGGTAAGTGGTTCAGCTCATGGAAGTTTGCTATGGGATGTTTGCTATAATTTTAAGACTTCTATTATAATTTTAGCAAAATCAGACTACTTTGATATTAACTAAGACCCCAAGGTCCAGTATCCCCTTGGATGAGTAAAACCCCGTAGATTAATGGATGATGAACAAACAAAACTCTCTTTAATTACCTCCCAAGGGCACACAGCACAGTTCTGTGCCTGTTGGTGGAGACAGAGCTGAGCCAGGCCCGAGCCACGGCTGCAAACTGCAAATAACTAAGTCAACAACTAAGTTTGCTGGTCTGAGTTTGCTGAGATTTGTCTGTGTGGGTCATTTTTTGGTAAAATATCACCAAGAACCCCACTGAGCAGCAAAGTATATCCCTTCAAACCTCATCTTAACAGGGGGGTCACACCTTCACCCACTCCTGTTGTTGTTCGAATGCCTCGAATTGTTTAACGTAGCGTAGGAAGCTTTTTATTGCAACCAAACACCCCGTGTTTCACTGGGTACTGCCCAATTCTCTCCAGCTGATGAACAGATTAGGGTCTGCAAAGAGTGGAGCAGAGCTTTACCACCACAGTGCTGCAGCCCTGACCCAGGAGAGGAGAGGAGACCAAGCCATCACCATCGAAGGTACGGTCCTTGCCCAGCTCCGTAAGTAGGTCCCTGAATTCCTCCAAAACCACCTCACTGAGGGCCAAATATATTTGCCATCTTATCCATGTTGGTTGTTGGTGTTCCTGTATCTGTATGTCTACCCAGATGTGCATGGGCAGAGTGCAGCTCAGCTCTGGCCCCATCACCATCTGTTGATTTCCAAACCTGGCAAATCAACTTCATATAATGCTCGTCGACGCATTATATGAGGAAGGAGGAGCAAATGAAGGGTATGTCACACCTCTAGTGCAAGGAGAATGTTCTCTATCCCGTTGGAATACTTGAAAATGTGTGTCATGCCTGGCAGAACGTGAGTTACAGGGGCCAGTAAGCAAAGCTGGAGGCACATTGTGATTGTTTCTGAAATGCCACTGAAGAACATCAGGAATGACTGAGAGAGCAGAACTGACAGCAGTAAATCCTGAGCAATAGTGGTTCATCCAAGATTTAAGACTGTTCTGGGATAGTCACAGAGTCTGTTCCTTTTTCTTTTGCTCAAGTTTACCCTGGATTGAAGGGTGATAGGAATTGATTTTATACCCATCCAACAACACCTCTCCTTCCTGACACCTTTAGGTATTTCTGCCTAAAGTTACCTTCTCATCCCAGGGGTTTCCACACAGAGTGTTAGACAGGCTTGTTACAGACCCATCTTTCAATCTGTGGGTACATCTGTGTAAGGGACTTTTCCTGGCATAGGAAGTTGGTTCTTTGTACATCTTGGAAGTGTCCTTGTCTGGCTGAGCATGGACCAGCCAGTGCTGCCTTTCTTGAATAGCTCGGGATGGTACAGCCAAGGGACCATCTTTAGCAGGTAATAGATGCTGATTTGGAGGGTAAGAAAGAGGACTAGAATAGGCACAGGCCTTTCCATGCCAGCAAACCTTGGTTCCAGAGACCTCTCCCAGATGTGGTTGCTGGAGACATGGTCAACAAAAGCCAGAGGTTTGCCAGCAGCTGTAGAACCTTCTTTCCTCATCTTCACTGATTCCATGTTGCCTTGTGATAATAACAGGAGTTCAAGTGCATGTTTGATAGGAGATAATTGATATTATCAATATCCACTAGGGACATTTTGATTCAAGAAGCTGCTATGTAGAAAATACTGGAGTCTGGAAAGATATTCAGAGAAAATGGTCCTCCACTCTTATTTTCTTCATCATTTTCTATAGTTCTCTGCTGTTGGCCCTGTCTGAGACAGGGGCTTATTCTGGCTGGACCTGTGGGCCAGCCCTCTCTAGACACTGATGTTTTGTTATTACATTAAGAAGATCCACTCACAATAAGCTCTTAAGGTTTGTATCCTCATCTGTGGACTTGCTTGACTTCATTTTAAGCTCATTTTCCTTTTATTCCTTTCCCGGAGTCCCATCAGAGAGCACTACAGGGAAATGGTGTCAGTGTAGAAACACATTTTTCAGCAGAATAAACCTTCAAGTACTTGAATGTTTTGTCTTTGCTGTGCCCTAAAGAGAGAAAAAGAAGTTGTGTGCAGGATGCAGAGGAACACAAACAAATCACTGTTAGGGTGGTGTGTCTTGATGAAGTTCCCTTCAGGCAGAAAATGTTAGAAAGGAAAACAAGGGTTGTAAAGAGTGTTAGGAGCATTTTCAGCTCTTGGGGTTGCAAATGGGTGTATTCAGCCCCAAATTACTCATCTGCTGTTATTCCTGCAGTCATAAACAAAACAAACTCTGCACTTGATTGAAGAGATATAATTGGAGTTTGCCTGGAAGCTTCAGAAATGTTATGAAATAGGTTTGCTCTGTGATGTGCAATTGCTTGAATTTGGTGATAGGGAAGGAAATAGATCCCTGAGTCATCTGCAGGGAGAAACAGAGGGAGAGCTGCTTCAGGCCAGTGGAGAAAATATGGAACAAGTGGATTGTTGTGAGCAGAATCCCACCAGAGATGAAATTTGACACGATGCATTTGACCAAGGAGGGAACTTGTTGCTTTCTTGAGAATCAATAACCAGCCTTGATCTGCTGCCTGTGGGAAAAAAATCAGGTTCATCTGGCAAAGAACTGGAGGACGGGTGGAATCTCATGGAGGCTTTCTCTTCCCATCCTTACCCTCTATTTGTGAATAATGGGATTACTTGTAACTTCACCAAGAGGACAACATTGCTGCTGTCACCACAGGACAGAGATGCCGTGTCTGCTCCCTCGCTCACCTGCCCTGGGGGGTCTGAGTTTTACCTGATTTGTCCTTGGTTCTGTGAATTGACCACTGTCTGGGTCTCCTGAGGCAGCCCAGGGGCCCTAGAGGCAAATGTTTTAGTTTTTATCCTCCTGCCTTTGTGTCCTGTGTCCTGTACTGAGCCACTGTCAGAGTTTGGGACACCGTTAGCCCAGTGGTTTGGGAGCCCTGACCTGCAGCGGGTGACGATCCCCAGTCCAACCCCACAGGTCTCACAACCGAAATTCTTGTTCGAATTCACACTGTGGGAATTTGCAGGCCCTTTGGAAGGGCAAATTCCCCAAAAAAAGGTGGAAACCACTGGACTAAGGGGTCCCCCTGTGAGCTGAGACCTGCCTTCAGCCACGTCTGGTCGCTGCGCTGAAGTCAACGGAGAGTTGCTTAAAAAAAATTGCTCTTTCTGCGGATATTGGAAGCATTTTAAACACCTAAAATGTAACAGAATAAGATCCTTCTCTTTGACTTCAAGCTGATTGTCTGCTTTGCACCTCGCTGCTTTAACCTACACGTGGCAGATCTGGGCTGTTGTGCTCCGGTGTCCCTTTTTAACATGTCACTGTTGTGATTCCCTCACCTCCGGCTCACCAAGGGTCATTTTTTAAGAACAGCCCAGTTTTTGAAAGGTGTTGCATTTTCCTATGAGTGGGCAGGTCCAGGACGTAGAACGAGCCAATGGCAAGGGGAGGAGTCAGGTAAACGAGTGGAGATAAGCAAAGCCATAAATAAAAATTCCCAATGCAGTTACAGCCAGGGAACAGGAATTTCTCCATAGTTTTGCCTTGGATCTCATGCAGAACTCTGGGCAGGTTTAGTTGCCTTATTTGGTAATACCCACCTTTCAGGGAAAGGCTAAATATTCCAAGACTCTCCCACGGAAGATTGTTTTAAAACACCGGAACAGTAGATCTCCTGGTGTCACCTTTTTACTGAAGAAATAGGGCATAGGATTTTTTCCCCTCACCACTTGGAAGTTCACTATTTAGGGTGATAGTTAGAGTATTTACCTCATTATTTTTATGCTGTTGTCACCACAGATTAGTCACATTTTTAGGCTGACCACGTGGTTTTCAGAGCAAATTCAATCTGCCTTTTTACAACCGTGTCAGTCACTGAAGGAGTGGAGGTTTTTTGGTTGGTTTGGTTTAGGGTTGTTTTTTGAAAGACAGAAAGCTCAAAACACTTGCATTTCATTCACACAGTTTAGGAAACTGTTGTCCCCATGAACTGAGTCACTGATGTTTTGAAGACCTCTAAATGTGGCTCTGGGGACACAGTTTAGTAATGAACACGACAGTGCTGGCTGAGCAGTTGGACTCGAGGATTTTAAGGGTCTTTTCCAACATGAATGGTCCTGTGATTGTGTGAATTGCTCATTTTAGGTTTAGCTCTAGCAGTTCATGTCAGCTTTGTGCATCCCCTGCTGCAGATTAATCTCCAAAGTGTAGCAGAGAGGGGAGAAAGTGCAGCAGTGCTCCCATGGCTCACGTCAGGAAAAATAGGTTTATGCTCCTGTGAGTGGAGAAAACAGACTTAAAAGTTGTGACAGAGGCCATAAACCTCCTTTCATCCATTCAGAATTCACTTACCCTCGATGTTTCACCACCTGTGAGTCAATGTTTTAATATATTAACCAAGGAGGAGTCGGGTCCTGTAGAAGCACTGGCTGATCTTAATGCTTCCAGCTTTTAACCTGCTTATCAGGGGCTCCTGCTTTGCAAAGCTCTTCTTCCTAAAACGCTACTGAAAAGTTGAAATGATAAATCCGGTGCTGAAATGGATGCAGAATATTTTCCTCTCGGGGGGGAAAATTAAAAAAAAAAAAAAACAACAAAACCAAAACAAAACAGAAAAACAAAAACCTAAAACAAAAAGAGAAACCCAAATTCTCTCATCCTACTTTCGTGTGGTTCTATCCTTCACATAGGATTGCTCAAATCCTCTCCCTCACACCTTGGATAACACATAAAAAAATTGACTTTATTTTCAGCTTTCTCATCTCAGGTCTTTTCAATATTTGAATATTGAAGCCCTTTGACACCTGTCACGTATAAGTGACACTCAGTGTAGTTTGGGAGGCCTGCAAGAGCAGACATTAATAAACATTAAAGAGACTTTTCCTCACAGACATTTTGAGATTTCATTAAATTTTTTCGTTTATTTAATTTGTATTATTTAATTCTCATCTCAAAACAGTTGCTCTTAAAATAATTGTATGAAACACCTATTTTCAGGTGCATAATCAAATTAATTAACACCTATTTACATCAGGACTCTTCACTCTCTAAGACTCTTCACTCAGATACCGCTTATGGGTTGATTTCGTGAGATTATTTGATGAGATTTTCCAAAAGTTGCATAAAAATTGCACACTATTATTTGAAAATTCAGTGAAAATCTCAGCCCTGGGCACAGCAGATTTTTTGAGCGCTCAGTTCATCTGCCATCGTTGTGTAATTATCATCCCACCATTTAAAAAATGTTTGAATTATTTTTAAAAAATTATGAATTAAGGATAGGTAAATGGCCGTATCATAATTGTGTTCAGAGATAAATCTTTGAAAACAGTTTTGCCTTTTTTTAACCTGAAAAGCGCAAAGTCAAATTTCCAAACGGATTTCGTTTAAACCCACCCAGTTCTGCAGCAATTCCTGCAATTCCACAGGAAATGATTCCAGGCATAAATGAGACAAAGCTCTGCAAAGAAAACACGAGCTCTAGGTCAGACATTAATATCAATATTTGCTCAAAATTCCTTTTTCATTATGCTGGGACTT